GGTGCAGTGCACAACGTGACACAGCTGTGCTTCTTTGATGTGTTTACCAAGTGACCCAAAGAGTGACTTCAGCATAGGAGGTTTAATACTGTTATAAATTTCATGGGGGACTATATAATGGGGCGGGGACAGAGACAGGAGTGGGCGACCATGACTGACCTGCCTCTCGAATGCAAATCTCTGCATCATCTTCTCCTCAACGCTGAGTGTCGGGTCATTCTCTCCGAATCGCTTATCGATAAACTTGTTGGCTTTGTGTCTCTGCTGGTACTCCTTGAGAAGTGTGTCTTTCCGCTGGAAAGGAAACAGACGTTGCGTTCATGTTCTTCAGTGTGAACTGTCAGTTACGTCAATAGCACTACGAACTGGCTTAGCGTAGAGAGTTGCCACACCACCAATGGTAGAATCATGTGTACAAAGTCTACAGGGTGTGCATAGCTTCATGGTGCATTAAAACTATTATATATGTCACTTTGGGGGTGCAACCCAATGTAAAAAAGTTGCCCACCACAAATTGCCTCAGCACATATGAAGAAATATCTGATGGGTCTTGCCTTTTTGATGGCCTTTGACCTGGAGACCCCTGGAAGTCCCTTGGCATGTTTGCTAATCTTCTTGCCCAGGATGTGGTGCTTCTGCCGGTTGATGCGAATTTCAAACGGATTGTTCTTGACCTCTTGGGTGGACTTGCCATGCCGGACCTTTTCTGCCAGGTTCCGTTTGTTCTTCTTTGACTTGGCCATGGCATGAGTGGGTGCTACCCCTGGCAACGCTGCTGAAATCATGTCCAAGAGTGGTTAATTTTTCACAGTGAAGGACCTAAAAATCACTTACAACTTAGGCTGGTTCCCTCAAAAATAATGGTCGGTGTCTTTTGGTCTGGGAACTAGACGCGAAGTTTCTCTCCACTAGGTGCTTGCATAGGTGCATCAAATCTTCACACGAGAAGTTTTTAAATAATTTTTATTGTTTCCTATTTAATCAGTTTGAGAACCCATCGACAGAATGTATGTTTCTTTGGGGCAACAGTTTGTTTCAAATGTTTAAATGTATATTTGTGTACTGAATGTCTTTTAAGTGTATCCCGAAAAATGAAATAAAATTTGTTCCGTCCGGGATCCTACTTTTAGTGCATATTTTTTTTCTGATTAATGGCTCTAAGGTTCTACAGGGAAGTAAAACCCACATTAAATGTCAACAGGGGAATTTAATAGCTCTTATGAGGCAATATTCATCACAAAGCTTGAAACTAACGGGCCAAATTTCACCTGACACGTCGCTGCAGGCCTGTACCTGTGCCCCCTAAGTGCCACGCTTTACAGAATCATCATGCAGCACAAATCAGTCCTGAAAATATTATGTTATCGCTTTATGATTTATCGTGTTTAATATGCCCAACTTAACATTCTTGTTGGTGATGAAAAATAGAATTGGCATGAATAAATAATAATAATACATTACGTCACTTGACCCCTCATCGTCTCGACGGCTGTTTCATGTCAAGACATACCTAACACACGGACTGACACATGACTCAGTAATAAGATACTAAATGTACCAATGGGCTCTTCCAAAACTTTGGCAGCAGTTGCAGTTTAGATGTCTTGACATGGAACAGCTGTCGAGAAGATGAGGGGTCTAGTGACGTAATGTTCAATGACCTTATTTAAAAGATGGCGACTGTGAGAACGAGCCTGTGAGATTGAATAGGTGAAGGCAAAAAGACTGGAAAATACCAGAACAACGTGAGTGAAATCATTCAATAAATGGTGCTAAGAAAGCGGAGAGGCTAAGGATCATCTCTGTGTGCAAAAGAAATTGCGCCCACAATGATCAGTGGGTGTGCCAAAAATTTTCAGTACGCCGACACGAAATTGTGTATACGAATGTGTGGCTAAGGATGGAGCGGGAGAGAGAGTCTGTACCACACTAGTAGTAGTAGTCAGGTAGTAGTGGGGCTACTCATGGACTAGCCCCACTAGTGTGGCACGGATCACTCCCAATTTATCCTTAGCCACACATCCGTATGAGCAATTTCGTGTCGGCATACTGAACATTTTTGGCGCACCCACTTATAATCATGGGCGCAATTTCTTTTGCATACGAACAGGATTCTTGACCTTTCCGTTTTCTAAATACCATTTATTGAATGAGTTCACACACATTATTCAGGGATTTTCCAGTCTTTTTTCCTTTATCCATTCAATCTAACGGGCTCACTCTCACAGTCGCCATCTTTAAAATAAGGTCGTTGAGCATTACGTCACTTGACCCCTCATCGCCTCAACGGCTGTTCCATGTCAAGACATGTAATAAACGGACTGAGCGATAAGATACTCATGTACCAATGGACTCTTCCAAAACTTTGGCAGCAGTTTAGATTTTGCGCTCACGATTAGAAATTGCGCCCACGATTATAAGTGGGTGCGCCAAAAATGTTCAGTACGCCAACACGAAATTGCGCATACGGATGCGTGGCTCAGGATAAATCGGGAGTGATCCGTGCCACACTAGTGGGGCTACTCATGGACTAACCTGGTACCGTTTAGTTTAGCCACAACTTGACAACAATAGCCACACGTTAACCTCTGTTATATAATTTATAGGAATTTTTATTATTATTATCATTTATTTATGCCAATTCTATTTTTCATCGCCAACATGAATGTCAAGATGGGCATATTAAACATGATAAATCATTGCGCGATAACATACGTGACATAACATTAACCATGGACTTCGACTTGTCACTCCTCATCAAGTTGTGTACGTGCCTAGGCCTAGTAAGAAGCCCTAAAACAAGCTTACACTTTTACAGATCTTTAAAGCACTGTCGATTTTTACAGAAATCTCCGTATCTGAACTGTACGTAGCTACCAGATGATCAGATGACGTACATTTACATGTACTGTAGCCCTACATTGTGGCTCCACACGCATAAGTGAATCATGTTCACACATAGATACATGTCAGAAAACGTGTTCACCATCCCCGCCACATCGTGTTCCCTGCCAACCTGTGACATTCGTTTTTACAAAAAGACGTCAAGATTGCAGACGGAGTAAGAACTTCCAAGGTAAAGCCCGCCCTCTATTGATGAACAAAGGCAAAAAAGTACGTTCCAAGAAGATGTCCTGCCATAATGTTAATTAATGAAGTTGGTAAAGAAAGTACCTGTATGCTTCACATACTGATAAGAAACTCCAACCTTTTAGATCCACCTTCATTTTTTCCAAGATGTAAAGATAAATACAATTCGTTGAGTAGCTCTTGAAGGTTTGCATGGTGGAATACGTTAAGTTAGAGGGTTTGTGGATACACCATGTGGAAAATATCTCTTTGGGTATGTGTGGTTTTAAAAAGAATCGGTTACTAGACTCGACGTTTCGGACAGTGAGTGCTCGGTCTGTCGTCAGGCCTGATGTTCGTCGCTTGTGAATACAGCGCCCTCTACTGGTACTGCTGTTCAGCTGTGCTCGCCAGCGAAACAGCGCCTGCAGGGTGCACCCAAGAGCCGTCCGCAGAGCTCATCAACAAACTTGAGTAAAATATTCTATGACCAAGAGAGTCCTGAGAGCCATGGAAATGGGGAACCGAGGAACTATGGCACTGAACTTCTGGCCTGGACTCAGGGCTTCCAATTCTGAGCAATTTGGATGCAGTTTGATCTAAAAGTGGTACTATTTAGGCGTTTTGCAGAGGGATCCATTTTTAAAATGGCTACTTTTCCGGGTGAAATTTCCTTCGTTTTAGGGGTGGTCTGTTTAGGGTGAGAATTTCTCAAAAATTTCATCGGTCAACCAACTAAAAACTGAAAGGAAAATGTCGAAAGTTATTTTTCTGTCCAGCCTGGAGACCTGTGGGAATTGTGAGTATTTTACTTTTAAAATATAAAGATTTATCATTGGTGTCTATGGGAATTTAATTTTAGCGGTGCACCCTGCAACCGGCCAAAACAATAAAAACCAGTCTTGGGGCAAGACTATGCTGAACTCTGCACTGCGTCTTAATAAGTATTGTCTCCTTAATTACTGCGATTAAAAGTGTGTGCTGGTGCGAAAACATAGGTACCCGACTTACCCACCCGATCGCTGTCGTCGTCAGGTATTGTAACGGATTCACGCCACCGGTCGGGGGAGAGAACCGTCTCATCTTGGTCCCCATGGTGTCAAGCAGTGTGTCACCACGGCTACCTTCTTTCACACTTCCTACCTCATCTACATATCGAAGAAGTTTGGATACAAATAATAATGGGGTACAGTCTGTTGTGTAACCGAGCTTTCAATCAGCGTTCATTCGGTATGCGGTGTCTGGTATCGTGTATATCACCAGACAACACCCTTTTTAGTAGGCCTTTCAAGGCACCAGTGGTGTACCTCCGAAGGACCTACTCAATTCTAAATACCAGCACCCGTTTCATAGAGCTGGTTCGGACCGAAACCTCTCATTTCATTTTGATGCTAACGTACAAAGCTTTGAAGATTTATGTTAGAGGCCCTTCCAAAGTAGAAAACCCCGCGAAAGACTCTGAATCTATAGTAAAACCTTGTGCAAGCCCTTAACCCTAAAGAGTTGGGATTTTTCAACTATCTCAAAACTGGAGATTCGCTGCCCCCAGAACTCTGCTGTCATATGCCCGATTTTTTAAAACTTGATACGCATGTAGGCTACAAACACTCATTTAGCCCAAGTATTTTAATCTAATCCTACATAGGTTCATTTGAAGTCTATGGCCTCCTGCATGTCGGCCCTGATAGGGAAGAGTACAGATTTTTGGCCGACCAGAAAAGTGGGCGTTTCGCTAGAATGGTTTGTCCGGCTGTCACATAGTTGGTGTCTAAATGACCGCAAGACATTTACTGAAAAAAAATCGTCTGAATGATCGTAACCGAAAAAACTTATGCACTCAGCCAATAGCTCTTTCGGGATTAGTGGGCTCTTTTTTCTCAGGGTGGGCCTACTGAGTAATGAAAAAAACTTGTGCCTTCTTATGGAAATTTGTTTTTTAAAAACAATCTCGTAAATTTCATGTCCCAAGAATAAGACAAGTGAAAGAAAACCAGTTTGTAACTGTTTGGACATACCCTGGGTAAAGAATGGAATAAATAAATAAATGAATAAATAAAGTCTCTCCAGTTGAGAAAAAAGAATTTTTTTATCACTGGATATAACCACAATCTCACATAGTTGTAACGTGTATGCGAAAGATTTCGCTTAAAAGGGGTTTTTATTATGTTCACAATTGGTTTTAGGACTAACATGTGCGGGTTTCGTAAAACGTGATTTTAAATGACCAAAAAGGCATTGGAAGAAGTCCAAACTTAATTTTAAATGTAGCAATTGGGATTTAATTTAATCGCCCCACACCCTGGATACAAATTAAGCTCGGGAGACGGTCTTCTGTAAAGGCGAATGAACAACACAACTTCCGTACCATTATAGACATCGCAAATCAAATCTCTCGGACTTGAAATGAAATTTTAGTACATTCAGAATACAAATTGAATCCACACGAAGCACTTTCCAAAGACATTTTCCTAGCGGGAGATTGGAAGCAATTCTTCTGGAGAAACGGACGGGGATAAACGTGGATCATCTTTCCACCTTTCAAGGTAAGATAAAACACAGGTCACTCTTAAATTGGTGGGGGGGGGCACATTTTCACAGGAAATGTCACAATTTGAAGAGACCTTCCTCAATTGTTGTATGCAGTCTACACAAGCGCACGTGCTTTTGTTTTCTTAAAATACCCGCAACCGTGGAGCGCTATATTGTTCTTGTTTACTTCAACTTTTTCGGAATAGTTCTTACTGTTTTGTATACGATCTTTATATCGCACGGACAGTCGATCGTGAATCCAACAGTCGTCCTCTTTATTTGTTCAACGTCAACGATTCTAAATGCACACGTCTATACTTAAACACACCACGCTTAGTTGTCAAAACTCCTGTGAGTGACCCATTTTCCCCCATTATGAACACTCCTTCAAGCTGGGATTTTGGCGATGCTTTCCTGGACTATATCATCTTACTAATTGGAACACAAATAACCCTGACTTCAAAATGCCTCTCAAACTTTTTTTCAGAGATGGGAAATGTTGGAAGTCAAAACCACGCCTTCGAACCCAGCATCGATATGACGTGGGCCTCTTTTGTTTCTTTGAGACGCACACATGAATAATGTAAATCAAGGACTTACTTTTGTTCCTCCTTTTTTCGCCCATGTGAACTCCTTTTTTTTTCAATTCGAAAATGTCACCGATCGGATTTCTGTCCCCAACTCGAAAAATGTGTTTCATGTGCGTCCTGTATTTACTACGTGTGTACACCCACTTGCTCAATATTTACTGCCCGCACTTCAAATTTCATCGGGAAAATTGTGTAAGTTCAAAACTCTAAATGGAACCGAGGAACCATTAATTAAACGAATGCAAACGGGTGAGATATGCTACCCGGCTGACGTGTCAAATTTTAACACAAGTCTTATTTTTAGCACTTTTTATGCGGCTGACCCTGTCTGGAATTTCCTGCCAAGAAACAGAAAATGGGAAAAGTGATAATCTTAAGCATTTCTGGGGACAAGCAAGTGTTTACCCCCTCTTTTGTCCTGACCGACCGACCCTAGCTCGGGGTAAAAAATAGTAGAACATTGGATTATTAACCACGGATCATCCTTACCGAACAGCGCCACTGGAACTAACATGCAGCCGGTTTTTGGAGAGAATCACGTGTTACATTCCCATTAGTGCGGTGGGTGGAGTTATATCAGCCAACAGCCTGCAACGAAATGCTTCAACCAATCAAACTGTACCATTTTCTAAAGTTTCCGCACCAAGGGTCATATAAACTATATTGCCGTGCGTGCGTGCGTGGCACGCATGCTTTCATTCGAGCTGCGGAAATGCTGTGTGTGGGCTGAATTCGCGCTGAACTTCAGCGGCGCTCGACTTGCGAAGCTTCGAACCGTCTGTTCCTTACATTAGTTAGTTGTCATCTGGGTCAGACATGCTGGTGGCGGTCCTGCCCTTCCTGTGGCTGGCCGGCAACATCGGCTCAGCAGTCTGCGATCCCAACGCTACTCAACTCCATATCCTTGGTCTCTATCCGATGTCTGGCGCCTGGTCGGGTGGAAAGGTGTTCTTGCTATCTAGCCAGCTCGCCGTAAAACACATCAACGCTAACCCCGATGTACTGCCAGGCTACGAGATAGTTATTAAGCCACTCGACACTAAGGCAAGTATGCATTTTCCTCCTTTTGTAAATGAAGGGGCACCCCAGACGGATCCGGAAATACATTTTCGGGGGGGGCTTGTTTTTCGGGAGCCACAAATTTCGAATTTATTCATTTAACCTTTAGCCTTTCTGTGGAGTGTTGCTACATTTAGGGGCTTTCTTTTTACAAGAAGGAAAAAGAAATAGACCAACAAATTAGCCTTTTCCTCGTGGTAAAGAAAAGATTGAAGGAGTGGGCCCTGTTGCGCCAGCTGGACCTGCCTAGCCTTATAGGGGGCACTACAGACTTTACAACGTTTGCAGCATACTGTGACTGGGCAGGGGCGGATCCAGGAATTTTTCCGGGGACGGTTCAGGCCGGACATTTTTCTTGACACTCATTTTGCGGACAAGTGGAAGCGATGATTAAGCATTACATGACTCACATTTTTTAAAATGATGATAATTTAACAATAATTTATTCATTTATAAAGAACAAATTTCATATAGGTATGTTCAAATGCGCTGTACAAGAAGAGATTAAGCGTGGAACAGCGGATACATTTAAACATAGTTGAGCCGATGGCATACAAGGGCGCCTCGGGCAGCCGCCAAACGACCCACATTCACCAACATCAGTAAAGGGGAGACAATAAGAAGCAGTTACAGTTTTAGAGGTGGGAGGAAAACCCCAGAGGAATATTCTGGGTAAAACCCACGGAGTCAGGTAGGGACTGAAAACCCAATCCACGTGTGGACCGGGCCGGGAATCGAACTCGGGACCACAGATGTGGAAGGCGAGGAAAGAACTGTCTTGCCAACCAGACTCCCCTAGATGATATCGGTGCATTCACCATTGTTGTACTCTTTACTTATGCTTTATGTTTTCCCCATTTGTTTTTTTACCCTTTTGTGTCTCAGAGTAAGAGGGTTTTGGGGTCGAACCCCCCCCCGGACCTGCGCCTGCTGCTGATCGTGCCCACGCATGTCCCAATAATGCCCATGCGCTTTTCCTGATCATGTTTGCTGACCAATGTAATTATGCCCGACTCACGATGTCCATAGGTTCATTATGTCCGGCTGATTGCGTGCGGTGGTCTATTGCATCTAGCCCATCCGATAGTTATTCACAGAACCCTTGTCTCTCGTCATCGTGCATTCATTTATGGAACCCATTTTGTCCGGGCAACCTAGTATGCCACGCCCACTGAATTGCAGGGGCCCATTTTGCCCGAATTATAGTGCGTCAGCTGGCCCACCATGTCCGTCCCATAATTTATCTTATAAATCGGCCTTTTTTATGACCCCACAGCTGCGGGCCATTCCACCCTCCTCCCAAGGCTCTTGGTTTTCCAGACACCAACCAAGCTGAGCAAAAACATAAAATAAATTTTCATTCCACGTTCACCTGATGGAGCTTTAATTCAATCCGACAAAGGATTTTAAGTGTTACAATCGTTTTAGTTCACGCTAGTCGTGCTCTGCATATTTTGGACTACACCTGCCCAAAAGATCTGAATGGTCCTATTTCCATAGCATTTGCCTCAAAATGACTGAGAGATATTCCCTGGGAATAGATTGAAAGAATCACCACTAGTCCTGAGCATGTCCCATATCGTTATGCTTAATAAAGTCTAACAACAAGGTTTTAACCCAGACATGTACATTTTACATGTAAAGAGTTCTAACATTGACAGAGGCAATTTGCCAAACAGATACCAGACGCATAAGGGATCCCAGGGGACCAGTTATTTGCCAAGGGACCATGGATATCCATACAAGTAGATTCATAGTCCACTGTCATAGTCCACTGTCTTTTCATAATGAATGCAGTGCGACGGAGGAACGGCAACGGATGTTATGTATCGGGAACTGTACGACACCTCAACGACCAAGATAATGGTCCTCGGCGGCGGATGCTCCGTTGTTACAGAGCCCACGGCACAAGCGTCTCATCACTGGAACCTCATACAAGTAACGGCTAACTTAAACTAGCCATCTGAATTTACCTCTGGCAGGAAAAAATTATTTTGAGAGTTTAATACGGCCGTTTCACATTAGTGCGCCTCCAAGAGATACAACGCGTTGGCCAATCACAATGCGCGAAATTTGTCGACCCAATGCGCGTTTGGAAAGGGTCGACAAATTTTGCGCCTTATGATTGGCCAACGTGTTGCAAATTCTTGGTGGCGCACTATTGTGAATCGCTTGTATTGGGATGTTTCATTAAAAAAAGAAAAGAAAAAATGCCACCGCAGGTAAACACACTCATGTCAAACCACAGTACTTTGTATGTTTACCCGCGATTGTGCGTCGAGACCGTATTATTTACATATCGAAGGTAGCTCACGTATACCGCTCCAACTGTACGGTTTTTCGATCCACAAACGAGGTGGATACAGATTTGCAGGTTAGGATGCGTTGTCACGCTTAAGGTTATGTTTTCAACAGGAATCGAAAGACATGGCCCGGACTGTCACTATACCACGCCTTTGGGGCAAGTAATCTTTTGAGTATAAAATTTCCCGTACGTGTTTCGGGAAAAGGTTTAATTAAAGAAAACGCATAGGCCCAGTTTTAAAAAGTGTTGAGCAAAATAGTATTAAATTTTGTACATAAATAATTATTATGATGGAATGGGAACCTCGATGACTAAGTCTGAAAGGGAAGGGAAAGATGATGAAAAGTGAAACCAGGTTCTCCAAAAAAGACAGTGTACTCTGCTGTGTATTGGGCCTGTTTGTATCACGGGAATCCATTCATCGTTGGTTCACATACACCAAAACCCGCCTAATCGGGAGGGCGCGAACCAGCGATAGGGTACACCGATCGAGATCTACAATCCTAGCCAAATCTCCTTGAGCCCCAAATCCCCAGGCTCCCTCTCAATGTTGGGTCTCAATGAGTAATGTTCGCTCCTACCCGAGATGACAACATTGACTGGGGGACTGGGGGACCTGCAAAGGGTATGGCTATCGACATGGTGTCCCAACACTTTTGTCCAGGATTGTCTGGGTTTCTACGTGCCTAGTGTTATGTGTATCCGGCGAGGTACTATTTCTTTACATCTTTGGACATCGTCGATTGGGCAATAGAATTTAAGGACTCCAGGTCTAAACTCTGTTAACTTAATTTGGCAACAAGATGAAGTCTAAGGGACACTGAGCTAATCGTGCATAAAATGTTTGTGAAATGCTGGGCAATGATTGCATGTACACTTTCTTCGCTTTCACCGAACAGAGCGGGTAACATGCCCTCACAAATGCGGCGCGCGCGATATACAGAATGACAACGGTGAGCCACAACACATCGTTACAGAATTTGAGTCTGCCCTTTCCTTTCTTTTGGGGCTCTTGATGGATCATCGTTGCATTTTTCGAGCCAATAACGGAATGATGAAAAAGGAAAAACCCCACAAGATTATCAGTTGTTTCTGTACCAGAATGGGCCTTTCAAAATCAGAAACGCTTCAATTTTGGACCCATAACTGTTATGGGACGAAATGCCACGGTGTATCGTAATACGTTGAACCCCTACTTGTACAATTTGTCCAATGATATACCTTCTGTTCAACCGCCGGCTGCCATGTTTTGTTTTCCAGGGACAACGACGGAAAGCATACGCAAAACCACCCGGTAGTACGATGCACAGTCACATACACTGACGACTCTGAACCAATTCAGACTGAGTTTATACGTGCCTATTATGTGTATCCGGCGAGGTTTTCCTAACTTTACACCCCTAGACATTGTCAATAGGACTGTGATGGATTTCGTTATGTAGGCTTAAATCTGTCTACTGTTTGTCCCTGACACTTAAAGCTTGAATGGACACACAATCTCCTCTTCATCACCTTATTGCGACTAATGTGTGTAATCTTAAATTCACCAGATCAGATCAGCAGTAAAGATTCAACTGTTTATACGTCACATGTCTGGTCTCTGAAACAAGATAATTCTCTCAATATAAGAATTTAACCGGGGAGTTGGGATCTGCAAAGGGTATGATGGTTATACACCATTTCAACCCAAGTGACTGGATTGCACTGAATGTGAACAATACTACCACACGTGGACCGCCTTGGCCACGGTGATCGCGTATTCTTACAGGCAGCTTCAACCACGTGCAAGCACTCGTGGGAACACTGCATGTTTGACTACCGTAACATGGGGTAACTTTGATCGGCGGGACCACTAGAGGGTTTGAAACGTTGTTTTTCTCTCAAACATACAGTGGATGCAGACGTATTTAGTATCATTTTATCCAGAAATATCATAGTCATTCATTATGTAACATCTTCGTTGTTTGTGGTAACCATTTATATTTTGATTTTCATGCCCCGTTTTGATGAAGACCAAAAAACGAAAGGTGGCCAATGTTTCCCCAAACCCAGGGTAACTTTGGTCACCGCTTTTTTAAGCCTCAAGACACCAATAAATTTTGAAATTCCTTTTTTTCAGCATCGACGTTAAGATGAGTATCACAATGCTCTGAAAAGAAGGGAAGTTGATTGAAGAAATGATAACATACATGTAAAAAAAAATGGCCCAAAGTTACCCCATTTACGGTAGTTTATCTTGAATAGGTAGATTAATTACCACCACAACACTATGCACTCATTACCATCACAAAACAGGTACAGCACGATCGTGACATCACAAGAAAAAGGTCTATATTAACATGTGTCCCGAGAAGCTTGTCCAGGGCTGTAGATCCGTTTGAAACAACCAGGCCCTCTATTAACTACAGTCATGCACGCGCACGTTCTACTTGTTAAGGGCAGTGGCGCTCGGGGGATATCAGAGTGTGTTTTTTTTTTCTTTCTGAAAACCGACGACAGAAAGTACACCGACATAGCTCTGAAATAGCCGTGGCGCATCCGGGTGGGGGGGGCGGGTAGCATCATGAGATATTTAGGGGTGAATTTCAATTCGGTTACCACGCCACAAAACGACACTGCATGATTACGGGCGCCAGTTGGTTACTCTGCCAGATTGACGCTAATCCCTTTCGCCAACAGTCACACGGCAAAACCGCGTGAGTGGGCGTGATTTTCGTTAGAACGACGTCAGACAGCGGCTAACGAACGGGATAGTGAGTGCGTCGATACAAAGGTGTTTGAGGTACCAACAAAATGAAAAATGAATTGGGGGCGTGGATTCACAGGATCTACATGTACAACTGATTCTCCGATGGTTTCGTATCAAGCGAATGGGATAAGCAATTCACCTCCGGCAAGCAAGGCCTGCTGGATATGAATTTTTCCCCGTGGTACAAGAATCAAATGTCACGATGCCACATTGTGAAATCAGCATTGGGGCTCTGGGCTCATTATAACATTAGTGGAGTCATAAAAAAATCACAGGTGTTTAGTAAAGTTTTGGAGGGAAAAACTCTTAACAAGGCGACAAACTGTAAATTTTTTTTGTGCTTCTCTTGTTTTGTTTAAGCTGGCTTTCGCCTCGTCGTCCTCGGAGCTGTCGAATCGTCTCCTCTATCCTCGTTTCTTCCGCATGACGCCTCACGAATCTGTTTTCAACGTGGTCCGATTGGCTGCAATGAAGAAGTTTAACTGGAACAAAGTGGCCACGCTACACCAGTCCCGTGACCTCTTCTCTCTTGTAAGCCTCATTTCTCTGAAATTCCTTTGAAATTATTATGAATCGACACCATTAATGTCTACCGACCCGGTAATGTGCTTGGTCATGTGACTCCCAAGTCTGTTTGCGTGCAGTCAGCAAGAGTTATATTACATGAGTCCCCTTAATTGCACAGGTGCTGTGCCATTCAATGTGAGATTTGGAGTTTGAAATTTGAGAAAGTTTTTTGTTTGATTTTTTAAAAAAATGACATGTACTCATTAATGCCAGTGTCATAGTCGGCTTCCTTCGACCCTTTCTCTATAGGAGCACGTCAGCCATTCGCGTTATTTCCCCTTAATGCAATATTGAAACCTCCCTGTTAGACCGCTCTCCAATTCAAAGTACATGTAATTTATAAGGTTATCCTACACACAAGAGACGGGTCTGTACTTTACAACTCCCGTCTACGCTACGAACAGTAAAAGTTTTTCGTGGCCAAAGTGCTGTGTCTCATATTCAGCCTAGGAAACCAAATCGAGAGCCTACTGCTTCCCGAATAAGAACCCATAAAAAAGAAAGGAAAAATACAACTCGTAACGTCCACGCGTGATTTCCAGCTGGGGGGAGAGAGGGCTCAATTTTCTTAGCACGTAGCGGAAGCTCCTTTGGTCGGAGCTGAACTTCGCGGCTCTTTTCACCTGATAACAGGGTGCTTCTGCTTGAGGTGGATACCCATAGACACAGGTGAATATCCTTCATTTGTAGTTGTCAAAGAGTAACAAAACAAATTATCGTTGAAAGCATCCTTGGTTTAAAGATGGCTATGGGACAAAACTCTTTCTTGCAAACTGTCATTTTGCAGAAATGACAGGAAAGAGGTCTAACCAACAATGTGTCTAAAGACGCCTTTTTTGAGAACGAGCCAGTTTAAATTTCGAAAAAGCAAGGTCGTTCGGAAACAAGCCACACGTGCGAGCCTGCCTAGGGCCGCGCCGATAGGGAAGACCTCGCCTGCGCGTCCAACTGACATTGCATCTAGTAATAAAACTCCTGAAGCTATTTGTCGGTTGTAAATGGATTCCTTTATGTTCTTTATTTGGGCTATAAATAGACTAAATAAAAAATAGTGTGGTTTTAACCTTCGAAAGGGAAACTAATGAAAGTTGTCATTTGATAGTTTTGTTTTTCCTCCCTCGTGCATTTCTCACCAGCAAGACCTTCAAAGTGCTAAATTATTCCAGATCGAAAACATAATCAAAGTAGCACATCATACTACACCTGTCTGCAAACAGTAATTTTTCGTAACAAGAGTGCCGTGTCTCATTTTCAGCCTGGGAAACCAAAGAGCTGATAATGCATCCCGAAATGTGCTTAAACGACAATGGAAAAGGAGTTGAAAATATCTGGCCATTGGTGAATTCAGTTGCAGTCAAATCTCTAAACCAATGGGGTTGGAAAAATTGAAGTTCTTCACTTGTAATTTTTAATATTATTCACAGGGAACCATATTCGGCGATATTCCCTGCATCTATCTTATTCAATGTGATTTGTGGGCCGTTGCCAGACTATTTTGGGTGCTTTTGGCTTCACTTCCATTTTTTTTTTAAAACGTTGCTTAAAACATTTAGACATCATAAATCACAATTTTTTTAATTATTCATCATTGTAAATGAAATTATTCTGTAATTAACATTCACTTCATTCCTTTCATTTTTTTCGGTTCCCAAAATAAAAAGAAGCTACCCTCGCTTTCAATTCAATCTTCACGACTTTTGAAAATAAGGTAAATTTGATTAAGTGTACCCACAAATTTGATTGTCGGGTTATTACATTTGTGTGCAAAGAGCTAAAATTGAACCATCTTTCTATTAATGCCATTCACAGTCTTAAACTGCATTCAAAATTAAGCTGAAATGAATTTGAAGATTGAGCCAGAAAACCATGCATAAAAATGCATGCTTATACGGCTGCATTACCATCCATTTTAACTTTCTTGCGTGTGTCAAAATGGCCATATAGGTCTATAAAAAAGTGTTACCGGATGAAGTTGTCAACTTACAATACCGTAGAAAGCTTGTTTTTTTCCCGAAATAAACTATGTTTTAGTTGTTTTACTATACCTCATATACGCATTTATGGTCGAGAGCGAACTCTCACTGGTCCGTTCTTCATCACGTGACAAGGATCCGCACATACGTCAAATGTACTATTGCACAGGACTGGTGAAGTATCACGCTCGATCGTCGACATGTAGCCATACCAAAGCGAATGCATCACTTACATTCTCTAAAGTGTGTAAAAGGCATCAGTGCGAGAACCAGCACGTGAACCACGCTTGCGTTCTCCATTCGTTTGTGCAGCATTTACTGGTTCTACATGACGTCACACTTTGGTACTCCATAGAGTACTCTATAGAGTACCAAATGTGTCGCCATTTTGAAGCAGGGTTTTTTTAATCATCCCCACTATTTGGTGGTGAGAAATAAATTAAGGCAGATTATGAAAAACCTACTGGACTTCCTAACAACAAAAATGTATTAAATAGCACTCAAAAGGGGAACAATTTTGAAAAGCCACAAACACGCCGTTTTAATGTAACATTCTGCAGGAGTGTCATACAGATGTTACAGACGTACATCTGTATCATGAACATCGCCAAGATCGTTTGTTGGCTCACACGTGTTGCATACGGGCATCTTTCCCCAATTGGGCGGACATGAGTAAGGGTGGGTGCATATGCAGCAAGGTATGAGACGGAGAGAACCCCCCCCCCTGCTTTGTGTTGGTCACTGTCTTGCAGGAATCTGGGGAATTCCTTTAGGGGGATGTTTAAGTAACAATAGTCTGGAATGTGTATAGGGATTGGACATGTTCGGGGGTACCCCTCAGTCTCATTTCTTGCTGGGTATAGGTGGGTGACTGATCGAATACAAGCATAGCACTTGAATATGTATGGTGTATGGCAACACATGGTTAATAGTGCTCGGCGTCAGGGAGCCATACACTCAGTGCACGCTCACGCTAGCTTGAAACTATCCGATGCAACAGTCGACGTTACTAAATGAGGCTTTTACAGTAAAATGTCAACATTCGGAGCGTGTAAGTAATAGGCCTATAAGTATTATTGCAACGCCTCACCCACAGATTCTGTATATTGAAACGCCGAGAGCCAGTCACATGGCATTCGCTGTTTTCGTTATTGCTTTCCAGGGCCGAAAAGAAATAGAGATATATTTAACAAAAAAGTTCTATTTCCATTGTACTTCAGACGTCTTGACTACTGACAATGTCCGGTTACAAAGTAACAATCGACCTCGCGTATTTTGGATTGCGGTCTGAGTGGGTGCATAGGAGAAAATGCTTCAATTGTTATTAATGCGTTCTTGAATTAAAAAACAAAATCCACTTTTACGTTTGATGTCTATTCTATCTCTGCATTCCGACATCCGTCAAAATCCATGACACCCAAAAGTATATATTTATGAAAGATACGGTGCCTAGCTGTCTACCGCTTTATAAGATCGAGCCTGCAAGGTCGGGTTTTTTTTTTTTGTCTCATTGCTGATAATTATGTGCCTTCCTGTTATGTCAAAGGCGGTATCTGACTTTCAACGGGACGCCAGATCTTCCGGCATAGACATTCTGGCAGCTGAGAGCTTTGTCGAAGACCCTGCTATACAACTTGAAAACATCAAGGTATGTCAACACTCTGTAGTTCAACAGTTAATGATGTCTTTTTCCTTATATTTGCAATTTATACATGTGCCCACATTTTGGAATTTCCTAGCACTTTTGGCATTTACTCTCCTGGCACTCGTAACGTTCTTACGGTTGTTTGAACATCAGCATGGTTGGCCGATACAAATTACCCTCATCTAAATCGTCAATTTAAATCAAGATTTAAATCAACATTGTTATGGCAAGCTCTTGCATATTTTCACTCATTGGCACGTTTTTCCAGGTTTCGTGAATTTAAATGGCAAATCAATGCACTTCTCTGAGCCCGAAAGCAGACTTGTGTGACTCGTGACTGGGACTCGAGTCTGACTCAAATCACATTTTTAATGACTCGAACTTGAGTCACTTCGACAAATTACTCGGACGTGGACTTTAAATTTCGGTCTCGGACTCAGACTCAACTTGAGTGACTCGTGACTCGGCAGAAATTACATCGTTAAGTTTTTTTCACTGAGCAAAACAGCTCCAGATGCGGCTACCGCGGTGCACACGTGGTTGTCCATATAATGATTGATCAATCGATGTAGCAAAGCATGTACCTTGTCGTCTAAACTTGACTTTGCGTTGATGCAATGATGTGACTCGGACTTGGGCTAGGACTCGATGTTTCGTGACTCGAATACAAGTCTGACGGAGAGCAACTGCTGTATTGGAAAGTCTACTATGGCCGCACATACACGACATAATCAGAACTAATCTGGATTGACAGAGAATCATATTCAATTTGCCCGCCTGCTCATCGACGAGAAAAGGAAGAAAACAATGGCTCAGAATGTAGGATTTAAGAATGTAAGATCTTCATGTTTGTTGTTCATTCGCTTGGTAGAATGTTGGGGCCCGTATCATTATGGGCAATTTCTACAGCAACATGGCAAGACGAGTTTTCTGTGCAGCCTACCACCAACAGATGTACGGTGCCAAGTATGTCTGGATAATACCAGGTATACAAGAAGTCATTTCTGCTCCATTTAGTTTGAAGAGATACTGTCTTGTTTACTGCTCTAAAATATGTATAAAAATTTAAATAAAGAGACGCAGTATTTCATGGATTCCATTTCTTTATGAAATTTAAACGGTTTTATCACCGAGGAAGCTAATTAATGCTTTTAAGGGTGGTTTGCGACGGGATGGTGGCGAATTCCAGACGATTCCATTGACTGTACCATCGATCAGATGGACGAGGTTACCGCCTATTCCTTTGGGGTTGCCGGAGTTTACCTTCCCGTAACAGGAAGCAGAAAGCCGTCAGTAGCAGGACTTGTAAGTCAAACGATGCTCTGCAGAGAATCTTTTTTGTTGTTGTTAAAATGTTTCATCCCATAGTCTGCCCTGAAAAAGCGAAGGACAATAGAAACGAAATGACCGCTGCCTTAGAAGTTTAATTATGGGTAATGATTGTTATTGGGTCCTGTTATAACACTAGCACACTAGTGCTTGCTCGGAAATGGAATTTATATCCTGTTAGGCCTATTGCTTTGGATATTCTCCCATGCCTTTGAACATTGCTCACTAATCAACCACCAATCTTTCAATCAGACGGCAGATACGTATACAGAGGCTCTGCAGGCTTTTGCGGGAGACGAAGCTGAGGTTCTGGAAGTGTACAGTACCCTTGGGTACGACTCGGTTTGGAGCGTCGCCTTAGCTCTCGAAGAAGTGGACAGTCAGCTTCGAGATTTGGGTATACTTTCTAATACACGTTCCACAAGTAGGTCACGGCACCGTTTGCGAACATTAGTGATTGAAAAATTGTAATTTCAGCACCTGTTGGAGGTATTAGCCTTCGATGAGTTGCCTTTTTTTCTTGCTTTTGATAAGCTGAAGAACAACATTGTGCTTAGCATTGGGAAGCATTATGGTCGAAAACATTTGCGACGGCTCTGTGTACAGTGAAATAAAGGGCTCGTGATGTGCATTTTATTTCACAGCAAAAACCGTTGTATTTAGCATTGAAAAACTTTTTTCTGAGCATTTTCTTGCTCTAGTTTGGAAACATGGGTAAACATATAGTGTATAGATGGGTATTGTTTGACAGTGCGCGCGAGCAGTGGCGCATTGGTGCCAAGAATAGAATGGATGCCACTCTTAATATCATGATTGACATTTGGACGTTGGAAGAATCCTAGGAGCGACAGATTTAATGGATCAGCCTATTCCTTGGAGAGACATGGAAGATATCCACAGGCCATTGGGTTAGCGGATAAGATGTTTCTTATTAAGGAAAGACTGGCAGTGTGATCGCTGATTTGAATGCTTTGTACAGCTGCGATACATTTTTAGGGGCAGATCAACGTACGGGCGAATGCCAAGCAACCCTAAGCATTTCATGGTTCGGGGCCAAACGCTGCTATCAGGACTGACTACAATCTTACCGGTATCTGAGACCTTCTTAGAGGCTCTGTCGGTCCGCACATTTTTATTCTAATCAGTGTTTTAATGTATTCAGTTGTGCAGTGGCTTGCTTTTCTCTATACAAGTGTGGATCCCCCAACGAACCTCGACTTCTGCGAAGGTCTTGCATAGGCTAATTATTATATCGATTAATCCTAGCTGGCTTTGCTTCACTTCCGACAAACTGCCCCCAGAATTTCGAGGGATTACAATCAACGACTGAGCCAAAACCTATAATTTATAATAATTTTAAATGGTACTATTATAAGTCCGAAATTTTACAACAAAATTTTCGTTCAGATGGCTTTAGAATGTGTACAAAGTACGCTGATACACTATTTTGAAAATTCCACTCATTGTGAACTATTTGATCTGCGTCTATCCTTTCATTTTGCTCATGTTGTGTGGGGCAATACTCTCTTGAGACTCAAGACGCACAGAAACGTTGAAAATAGCTAATTTTTTTCCCACTACATGTAGTTACATCTATGGCGAGCTGATGAGGGGCTATACCCCCTGGGTCAGAGGAATTTTACGTGTACTCAGTTCCGAGCATCCAAGGAATTGATGGCCTCGTGTGTGAACGTCAAGTACGTTGCACTTTTACTTGTATAATTTCAGCGCAGCCCATCATCACTCTTGTCACGTGAGTGATGTACACTACCCCATAGACTGCTCCCGCCATCGAAAACGATATATCCCAGATGTAACTACACGACTGCAGAAAATTGCGCCCTCTGTTGATTGAAATTTTCTTGGTATTGAAAGCACAGGTAATAAGCCACTTGCGAGTTAAATTTGAATAAAATCTGGTACACTGTGTTATCTGAATGCACAGAAACGTAACAATTTGAATTCCCCAGACTAAAGAAACTGTTGCTATACCTCGTAATTCGGGGCAAGCTTTTGCATAGCGACCACCATCTCTGGAATGGAGTGGTTCCTTTGTGACATTCTTATCCATTGAGAACAGTGTATTGTTGCAAGGCGTCTCTTATGTAACTAAGCAAAAGCGTGCCCCAAATCACGAGGTATAGCAACAGTGGTTTTAGTATGGAGAATTCAAAATGTTATGTTCACATGAATTTAGAGAACAGAGTGTACCGGTACCAGATTTTATTCAAATTTAACTCGCAATTGGCTTATTGCTCGCGTATTAGATAGTAACAACTTGAGCCAAGACTAGCCTGATTGTTGTACTGCCGTTCCATTCTATGAGGATCCATTCCATGTTGTTCCATTCCATTCGATATTATTCCTTTCTATTCTGTGACGAGTCGAGATGTGAGGTAATGCGACGTGACACACGAGGTACATGGAGGTTCCTTAAAATCTGAAAACAAAAATTATCAGAGTGTATATGACAGTATTCGAATACAGCAGTCCGCAAGGGTAATTTGGATTCATAAGAACTTATAAACCCAACGCACTAAGGTATTGCTTCTCTTTCTTCTTTTTTTATCAGATCCTCCCCGGACGCTAGGTGATTTCACGTACAACGACAGTGCGACTTCGGAAATCCTTTTCGACGTCATGAGCAATATGCAGTTCGAGGGAGTGTCGGTACTTACATTACACTTGCATCGCCCTTGTCCTATTTCAAATTGTAAACAGACAGAAAATGGAATTTTTTAATTCGCTTGAAGGGGCTTGGGAATTTAATTCTTAAAGTGATTGGTAAGTCTTAGGCAGAAACCCTTTAAATGTGGGCTTGCCATCCTCTATAGAGGTGGGCACCGTCGGAAGAATGGCTTCTCCGGCTTACTGACACAGGCTCGATGTTGACAGTGACAGTGCACAAACCGTGCGATGGGAGCAGTAACCCGCTGCGTTAAACCTGAGCGATTTCTCACGTAATCCTGGGCTGAGAGTGCGCAATTTGGCTGATCAGTGGTCTTATTATAAGTTCGAGCCTCACGGCAAGGTCGAGGGCTTCCTTTTCGTGCCTTCAGGTTTTTTTCTCGTTTGGGAAAAAAGACAGTGATCGAGCATCACATTGCTGACTGATGGGAACACGTCACTGCCCAGCGGCAGCAAATGTTTTCAGTACACATCGGTACGCATTTTATTATCGTCCATTGCCAGTTGATTCCGACACGGCCCTTGTCATAACGATAAAAATACAAAACCCGGGATTAGCATGTGCTTCAAGCTACACAACATTGTCTTTTATTGTAGGGCCCGGTTCAGTTCGACAGCAAAGGTAATCGGGTCGGTTTGCTACAACTGCTCCAAATCAGAGGTATGATGACCGAACAAGATCGGTGATTACATCACAAATATCCATTGTTTATTTGTCAGTGGCAATTAAATAGGGACACACCTTCCATGGATTCGATTTGATGCAAAATCAGATTGAAGTTGTAGGCCTACTGTTTTGCTGTACTTTATTGTAACAGGTCTCCAGACTCTTCGTGTCGGCATCGTTGACCCTACTGTTGGTGCAGGCAAGGAGCTACAAGTGAAAGGTTACCCACCCATAGTTTGGCCAGGTGCCTTAACGTTGATTACTTTGTACTAAGTAAGCGAACTGTTTCACTACAATGTTTTATCCAGAGCTGACAATCCAGGATCCAGAGAAAGACTCAAACGAACCATCCAGAAACAAAATTACGTAGATATTAAGACAAGGGTAGACAGGCACATGTCATGTACATATGTATTTCAGTTATAATGTATTTGGCCGACAACGGTGTTTTAGACAAAAGTATGTAATATTGTTTAGTTTTCTTCTTTGAAATTTGAGGAAGTCTTTTTTTATTTCTGGAATCCAGGTGGTGCGCCCCCAATTGATTTCATAATTGAGCGGGAAGACCGACAAACTATCAAACAGCCTGTGTTTGTGACTGGCACCGTTTTCGCAACGCTGGGAATCGTGCTGGCTTCTTGTTTCTTAGCTTTCAACATTCGTTATAGGAAAAAACGGTCTGATATTGGATTATAAAATAAGATTGACTTTCTTTATTATATTTCTTTAGGGAGTACTCTTATGTGTTTCTTAAGTTACAAGCGCTTTTGAATAACCACTGACTGCTGTAAGTGTATATAGCTCTTCACTCAGGATTGGTGTTGGATATTACACTCAACAATGGATCGAATTTAGTTGCTATCTTTGGTGTAGTCAATTAGATTGTCCAGTGAGCTTTCTACTAGTTTTGATTACAGTCAAAATAGTTGAATTGCTTGACCGTCTCCGTCACCATCCCGCCAATATCTTCGTTCACAGGGTGATTAAGATGTCTAGCCCCAACATGAACAACGTGATGCTGATTGGTGGAATGTTAGCCTACGTCTCCATCATCTGCCAGGGTGTGGATACGGCTATTGTATCCACTCCGACCTTTGTGTGGATGTGTAAGGTAGATGCTGGTTGATTTCGATGATTGAAAGATTCAGACAACTTATTGCTTGTCAAAATGCAAAGATCAATGGAAATGGAACGAACACACACATACACACATGGCAGCAAAAGGGCAATCTGGTATGAACCGGAAAAGAGCCATTGGCGAGATTTCCCCCCTGTACTTTTTTTCTCATATTACTGCAGTACGTTTCTTTCAGGAGCTGAGCCTTGGTAGTTGTCTTAGAGTAACTCTATGCGGTCATTTTAACACCCATTTGGTAAAGATCAGACTTACTATTGTTTTTCCGAGACAAGGTCAGCCAAATTTAAAACCATATACTACAGCCTCTGTGTTGCTCGATATACGCGGGCTGGCACGCGTGTAGCACTGACCTTCAGAATGACCGTAACAGCAAAACCGTTGTGTTTGATCAATTTCAAACTTTGCATATGTAATGATAAGCAGTGTCTTTACATGCTAATTTTCAAAAACATCCAGCATGGCTCAGCCGAGTTCTTTGTGGAGCGGAGTCCCCCCCCCCGGCTGTGAGATGGTCCAAAATTACCCGGCTCTTTGAGGGTTAAGTCAGTAGTTGAATGTACACCTTTGAATCATTACAGTGACTTCAGTTAGAGCTTGATTGTATTGTAAACTGCAGGCAAAGACGTGGTTCCTGGCGATAGGTTTTTCAGCTGCCTTTGGCGCCATGTTTAGCAAGACGTGGCGTGTGCACAAGATCTTCACCAGAAAGACGGTCATGAAAATGGTAGGAAGGGGGTAGGCCTAGCTGGAATACCAGTACTTGAGGAGAAGCGCACATTTATTTAAAGAACAATTTGAATGATAAATGATGTGGTGTCTTTACAAACATGCAGCTTTGACGAGATCCTTTTGTGACGTCTAGGAATGTGTATTTGTTTACAAGCATGCATGACTGACACAATGTAGCAGACGTTTTTGAAGATCCTGCTCACCCACAACATCTGAGCATGTTTCGTTGCTCTTTATAACTCGAGAAAAAAACTGCCACACACTGCTTTCAAACCGTTTTGTGCATGTATCTGCCCTAACATACAAGAAATGGATGGCATGATAATAGACAACGTTGCAGTCGAGACCTCTTACGACCATAAAAAGACCTCAATGGACTATCCCAAGACGACAGCAAGCAGTATTGTAGTCGAGACCATCACAAGACTAGACACGAGACCATCACAAGACTAGACACAAGACAATGCACAAGACCAGTCATAAGTAACAGGATGTACGATGAAAAAAGGAATGCTTTTGTTGCAGTTCATTTGAAAGCTTGCGACTTGAATTCAGATGGGAGATCTTGTGTTGGTCTTGTGTGGTCTTGTGAAGGTCTTAAGTGGTCTCGACTGCAACCCTGGCAGCAAGACATCAAGTCAGAAGCTATTCAAAATGAACCACAACAAAACCTTTCCTTTTTCCTTGCTCTTCCTGTTTCTTGTGACTACTCTTCTGAACAGTCTTAAGATTATCGACGATTCTTACAATAGAAGGACACTCTCTTAAAGTATTTCCTTTCTGCAATCCTACAGGTGCTTAAAGACACCCGCTTGTTGAGCTTTGTAGCTGTTTTGATTGTCGTTGATATCCTAATTCTCACTCTATGGAATGTACTGGATCCAGTGACGGCAGCTGAAATTTACGGAAGTAAAGTGGTATGCTGCTCTGTTTCGTTTATACCGCTAATTGGCCAATCAAAAATCAATTACCGTGTGGTTAGCAAATTCTATTAGTGTCGTATTTAAACTAAGGCGAAATTTCTGCAGGGCGCCTGGAGATGCAACATTTTGCACTGCACGAGCCACCGACAGTTGATGGACCCTATGGCTTGCACATGGGTTGTGAATATTTCAAATGTGCAGAACCTTGGCACCGATCTCTGCCCTGAGGTGGGGTGCCTCCTTGTATATAAAGTTACGTTTACGCCACTAAATTAAATCAAATCGGGACTGTGACTTGAAGGAACTGAAGAAGCCATCATTTTATGGAATGAAGCTGTCAGTATACAGCAGCTGTTGCCATTATACGAAGACGATTATGATCATCATAGACTAAAAAGACTAAAAAGACAAAAAAGAAATTTTCATATTCAATTTGGAAACGAGCATGGAATCGTAAGTTGTAAATATAAATGACGTTTGTTGATCGGGATTTTTGCTCCACACAGATTTTAAATTATGACGTTCTGACCATTTCACAGGTTGATACCGATAACGACGATATCGTGTACACACCGATCCGTATGATTTGCGAATCAAGGAACCAGACCTACTGGATCGGTACCTTCTACATCATTAATGGCCTCCTGCTGATATTTGGAGCATTTTTGGCCTGGGAGACTAGGAAAGTCACTATTCCGGCGCTGAACGACTCCAAATACATCGGTACGCTGAAGTTTAAAATTCTGCGTCAAAAACTGTGCTTTTCCTTCGTCAATAAGTTGTATTTGATCTAATGCTTATTTCTACCGATCTATTAGCCGTTTCTGAGCATCCATGCATGACTAAAAAGGAAGATAATAGTCCCGTCCAATTTTCAACGACATTACTCCCAATTTCATCTTCAGGTGTTTGTGTCTACAATATCTTGATCCTGTCTTTAGTGGGCGCCCCAGTCTCCTTCCTTCTGGAGGAGCGAAATGCCAATTACGCTCTAGTATCTACCTCGATCTGGCTGGCCACTACCCTCACACTCTGTGTGGTCTTCGTCCCAAAGGTAAGTGTATATCAACTTAATTATACAATAAAGTCATTCACGAAGCCCAAACCAACGTTTTCTGATACATGTGAGGATTTCTTTCTTATAGTATTTGCTCCTTGTTGCACGCTTAAATTTTTTACAACGTGCTGCATCGTGTAATTTTTTTCCTTTAGTTATGTCCAGATTCCATATCGACGTAGACGCAGAGACTACCGCCCATCAATTCCCAATGATACACAGTCACATGGAAACGCTTTATCGCAAACAAAGACGCAGACAGATGGGAAAGTTAATTTTTTTTCAACTAGACTGTCTTGGTCGAGTCGTCGGAGTAGGCCCATCTAAGCACGCACGCTGCCGTGACGGCCATACAACGATGTCTCTTGTGCTTGATTGAACCACGTATTTTGCCCGTTTTCCGCACATGAATGAAGATTACACGCCAGCTCCCAAATACAAACAAATACATCGATCGAGAGTACCACCATATGGCTTCAAAATGTGGTTAAGGTACCTAAAAGGACATTTCAACTGCACGAAAATTTTCGGGGTTTCGGAGTCTCTTCCCAGATTGTCTGCGTGTCAACATCTAATTACGTACTGTCTCCTTCGTTACAACCCTAATAAAAGAGGGTTTAAATGCTCACTCTTTCCAGGTACGGACGAGAAACGACGTGCAACCGACAAAAAGTGACGTAGCATCTCACTCGAATCAGCCGGGCAGCAGCTCCTCTGAGTCGCAGGAGTTGAAGCTGCTCCGTCAGCAGTTACAACAGTTGAAGCAGAACTGCAAATGTTCGGTAAGAACAAAGATTAGCTGATGGACAGGTGGACAAGCACTGACATTAAATTCTGGTTTCCTTGGCTGGAATTTACCAGATAGTAATGGAGACGAAAAGTTCGGCATCCAGTGCTCAGCTGCTTTGATATGGTCTTAACTGGTGTACATGGGTTTCAACTCAAGAAAGAGAGCCCGCCTAATATAAAGTGTTTCTCTAACTCTCTGCAGAACCTCGGCGGAGTGGAATACGTGGGCCGGGCTACAGGAGAACCCACCACTAGTTCAAGTACACAAGGCAGCCTACTATAGGTTGCCCGGTATACATGCCTATATGCACACCCTGGATGTACACCTCGCATTGCCTTGACACCACATCCACTTTGGCTTCACTTGGGATAAACAAAACCAAACAACTTCACGACGCTGTATACAAGCTTGATTGTGGTATTATTACATTGTACTTTACGGTATTGCAGTTTATCTTATTCTGTTAATTCCGTCGTAATATGTATCATGTTGTGTTGTTTTATAGAATACATTACCATATCAACCGTATTGTATAAAGAGTTCAGTGTATGCTTTGGCTATAGCTTCATTTTATTTTCTAGTGTCCTTCATTTCAGTTATTGGTTCAACCACTTAGTACTGAGGCTGAGTACGAAATGTCCCGCGCCACGGTGGTCTTCATTCAGTGCAGAAATTTGTAGGCCCATGGACTCCTAGTCTTACGGGTCAACCGCATACATTCCAGTAATTCCGGTGGTTTGAATTGTGTTGTGAGGTTTCGTCAGGGTGTTAATCGCCCCTTTTTATCTTCAAATGGTTTTACAGATTCAAGAAATACAATGCAGTAATTTATACACTAAAAGAGCAAAGCTTGCTAATTAAGGTCCACGTTTACGATAACATAAAGGAAAATAAATGTTTTTGCTGTGACGTATAGGCCTACAGCTCTTCTTACGATGTACACCTGAGTGGGATTTTGTGGTCCTGTAACTGAGATCTCCCGCTGATTGAAGTGAAAAGAAGAGACAGGCCGAACCGGAAGGTAACACGCGACTTAGGTATTTATCCAATGGGAGCTGGCAGTCAGTAGGTGCGCAATAGCTAGTGTAAAATGTGCCCAAGAAGGCCGAACTCAAATAGAAAACCACCGACTCGTGAAAAGGAATGCTACGTGAATGTCAAATTTAGCCACAAAGTGTTGCTAGTAACCTCCTGTTCCTTTTTACACAAGATTTCTCAATTTTAGAAGTTTTCCCAGAACGACGAGATACTGCACATGACAGACCAGAAACTAGAGTACGCAACCCAGTCAATTTCATCTAGCTAGATTTTTTCAACTGTCATGAGTTTTAGACACCGTTTGTGCAGCGCGATCGATGTATTCATGTTCACGTGTACAACCACGTACCAAATGCCAGTTACGCAGGCACCTGGAGTATGTACTGACGTACGTTATGCATGGCACTGTACAGGTACATGTGGTGCACATGTGGTTCACATGTAACGTCTGGGCTATGCTGTGAACTCGTACGTCTCCTCGCAGTGTTATAATCGTGGCAAATAGACATCGGTTTAAGTAATGAACTTCCTATGAACTTAACACACTAATCGTCTTCGTCTTTCATTCCCGAAGCACTGTATTCAACGCCCACAAGGTTATACGATTAATGCGGGAATTTAGGTAATCTGTGTTGAGTGTTGGTCGATATGCAAACGCGTCCAGTCGGGAAGAGAAAAAAATCTTGGGAAAAACTGTCAACAAATCTGAAACCTCCACACCTCTCTCCACCTCAGCCCACTTGTGAAAATGTTCAATAAAACGTCAAATTCCTTGTTTCAGGCCTTCAAAAATCGTGCCAAAAGGTCAACTACTGCTCAAGAAAAGAGCTGTAGACAGAAAACACTAGCTTTTGTTTGCCCACTCTGTTGCTATAATTTTGATTTTTATCTTCACAAAATATGATATGAATGGGCCTAATTCTACCATGTAAGTATTTTGGTCCGATATTTTTATTTTCAATAAGTGAAAAAAAAGTGAAATGAAACAGCTGCTTGCATGGCACGAATTCTCACAGCCTCATTACGTATGTAAATTATCCTCAAATTGGTCATGCGTAGTTCAAAATTTCCCCACTGAACTAGTCTGGATATCAAATCCGATGATTCTGACTATTCTCGTCGAATCAAGGGTCCGGTATCACCAATGTCCACGTGCCCAAAACAGGAGTAATTCCTCCAGTTTCCGAAAATAGCCAAAATACTCTGAACTCATCCCATCCTCATTAGAATAGCATCGTTGATGTTCGGGCATTTTCTCCGGCCGTGTCTGTACGCATAAATTGATATGATATTTTTCTTTTACTTGCTCTTCACGTGCCACACAGTGATCCTCCCTTCCTACGCATTTTTTTTTAGTTTCATTCATGTTTTCAAAGTGATCACCAACATTTAACAGCCTGCACGTACACCTAAACATTTGCCTTGCACAGATAGTTAAGGAAATACGTCACAAGGGATCACATCTAACGACGCGCGGAGCATTGTGGGTAAATGTCTACCAGGCACGCAAGCTCACTCAAGGGGTTACACCATAGAGCAAGGAAAGCGGCGGTTAGCAATTTTACTTTTTTTTTCTTTTTCTTCCTCATTGCTGAAAATATTCTTACACTTAATTCGTTCATCCAAAATTGATCAAGATAACCAGTGATTTGAAATATATCACCAAAAGACACGTGATCAGTCACGGTGATACTTAGTGAAAAGATAAATTACAACGGTGACTATACCAAGGCCATGTTTTTATAATATAGCAGACACTTTGCCCCTGCCGAAGGGTTTCCCGGCATTGGTGAACCGAAAATATAAATAACGCTTCGCTAACAGGAAGTGATAACCTCGCGATCACAGGTCGTGCACGATATAGCTAATCACACTGCAAAGCCCCTTCCTAGAGCCCTGTCCGGGGGCTTAGTGACGAGCGAAATCGAAACATAGGATCCACCCAGGGCTTTCCTTGTGACCTTTGACATGTTGAGGTATGATCTATTTATATCCGTGGGTGATACCAGACCCAAGACTTTATCAAGAGTCTTTGGAAATCTTTGGTCAGAGAACCAGACTACGTCGAAGCATGCATGCGTCGTTGCTATGTAAAATCACGCCCTGGCTACATACCAGCCTGGTTCCGTCACCAAGCCTTAATTTCCAAAATCTCCATCGGTTTTAAAGTTATTAGAAAATAAAAATCAAAGCAACCATTTTGGAAACCTATGTATGCTGTAAGCCGAGAGCATTGTTATTTGTGGTATCCAGTATGAAGTTGGGTCCCGTCATAAAATGTTTGGTTTATTCAGGATCTAAAATTCCGTTGCTAAAAAGTCTTATTTCATTAATAATAATTTATGAGTTCCAATCCATATCTTTATATCAGAAACAACCGCCATGATGATTTCATTTTTGTGTGTGGCCAATATGTATTTGTCGAATAATGTACTTAAATTTTCGTTTCTCCTTATCTGGTCGTCTTCAATAATAGATAATTTTAATTAATGTTGTAACGAGGGTTTATTGTTTTTATTGCCAACTGTACTTTTACAATATGAACAAATAAAGAATTTTTTCTTATTATAAAAGTACTATTTTGTCAAATTTTGCACTTAAAAAATTGTAACATTGTCTCCGACTATGTATTCTAGGGAAAATTACAGGTTTTACAGAATTAAACACAGAAGTAATGATCGCAAACTACTCTGTCCTATTAAGAATTTGAACCACGAGTTTGTTTCAGATAATGACAAGATTCTGATCTAAAGGGGATCCATTCCACTGCCTGTCAACGTGGTGACAGGAAAGAAAATCTGTCTCTTTTTGTTTAAGCTGCAGTTTTTGGTTCCCCACCAGAAAAATCAATAAAGTTCCCATACTAGCCGTGGTCGGTTATTTTGCCTATCCATTCTCCCCAACAAGGGATTGCCCTGTCCAATACATCAGCATAGGAAATGAGTTCGTGGATTGACTTGTTTTATATGACAGAAATTGGGATGGCTTGAGGTCTTGGGTAGGTGGTTAATCCGTCGTCTTTTGATCTTGATCTCCTGAATGCCTTGCATGCACAACAACACAGTTTAGCACATAGTTCCTTCACTCGAGCCCGGAAAAGTTTAATCATGAAGAAATAAATTAAGATATTGAAGACTGTGTTGGAGATGAACAGCCAACTGGCTATAAATTCAAATTTTGGAGCGTTGGTGGAAACGTCAGAGTCGTCGACATTAATTTGTTCCAGTATCGTCCTGACAGTAGACGGTACCCACGACACGTAGAAGGTGAGTAAGATCAGGACGGAGACTTTCAGGAGACGTGAGTTCTGTTGGGAAAATGTCGACGTTTGACGGGTGTTTGAGCGCGGCTGCGTATCCGCTGCAGTTGGAGAAGTGCCGAACAAGCGTTGGCGCTGACGGGAGCGTCGCAGTGCAGTCAGCAGCATAACAGCGGAGGTATAGGTGATTATGACGAAACTCGGTATTAACAGCACACAAGACAAAATCCATCGATAGGTTTCAAAGCTGCTCAAAGTCGTCTTGCAGATGTACGCTTGGAAGCTGTATTCGTAGTCGCTCTGGAGAATGAACATTACGACCAAGAGCAACACCGATAAACTGCCACAGCAGGTGATGGCAGACCCCATCTTGACCTTAGTGACGAAGATTCTGTACCAGATAGGGTAAACCGTAGCGGCGTATCGCTCTAAGCTGAGTAGAACTAAGATTAAAAGATTGAAAGTGGAGCAGGCGTTCAGGGTGTAGGCCGACAGTTGGCAGACGGTATCTCCGTAGGGCCAGCAGTGTGCCAACGCTGGGTAGATAGCTAGAGCCGCAATGCAGCCCATCACGAAGCCCCCGACCGCTAGGGCAGACAACAGGTAACTGTGAGGGTTGCTGACGGACTTGGTCGTGCCAAGGGTTACCAGAATGATCGCATTTCCCGCTAGAATGAAGGCACTTGTCACTATGACGACGATAGGTTCGGCACGACCTGGTGACATGTCAAATCTCACCGCACAGGTCGCTAACGTTGCATTCTCACCACTTAGGTCAGTCAGAGCAGAATCATTCATTGTAAGAATTAATAGTGGTTCTGTAACTGCACGCATCTTCAACCAACGAATACAGTGTATCTAGTCTGCTCTTGTTAGAGGCATAGGCCAGCATTATGTGACATGACTCTGAGCTAAATGCCAAAGACAAACCTGCCAATATGCCGCACTCCTCCCTGAGGCCAGACATCACCACACAATAGAACAACATGAAGCGAGGGCTCATTTAAATACCTTCTAATCTATTGTGTGGCAATGCCTAACCTTAGGAAGGAGTCGGCTTTGTTGGCAAGCCTGCAAAGAAATCGATGATGCACCGCAATGAAGCGCGACGAAACTATTGTCACACAGGATCACGGTGGGCAATAGCCTGGTTCCGACGGTTTATAGTCAAGTAATAATCCAAACTTGATTGCGCAAATGCTCCGTTCCCTGGAATCGCACAATGTATTTCGTGATTAACAGGGGAAATTCTATTAGTATTTCGTTTTGAACGCCTTGCCAACGTTACTAGTAGTTCGTGGCAGAGTTCATTAAATGAGAATTACCGGCAATTTGTACTTTGAGACATAATGGAGATTTAAGGTATATATTAAAAACTGTAGATAAAACGCCACCACTGACTTTAGACTGCTAAAATTGACACAAGGAGACGGTATGGCGCCCTCCTTCGGTCAGTACAGTTTTGTTGTATTAAAAACAGCCTGAGCGCATTTTTGCGACATCTTAACAAGGAACACGTTTTGACATCAAAGCAATAACCAGGAACATGTCAAGGGTAGCCCACAAAAACCCCAAAGAACCATCTGACAGAGGCAAGCGCAAGGAAGCAGACGGCACTGCTGATGAATATTCTTTTTACTAAATCAATTTTGGCATGTTTCTCTCCAGTGCTATTCTCTTTTTTTTACAAACGTTCTAGCAGAAAAGTATCTCTTTGATTCACTGTATTTATAAGCAGACAACATGTAACACACAAAGACAAAATACTGGTGTGTGTGTGCACGCCTCAGCCAGAAGGAAATTATTCATCATATTGATGTGTCGGGCACCGAAATCTGGGCAGCCGATTTATCCTGCATGCGACACATTAAACCAATATCCATGTTTTGGGCACCCACAAAGGCCCAGAAACATAGCTCCATCCAAGCACGATTTGACTCGGAGCGTCCATTCTATATGAATTCTTAGAGCACCCACAAAGGCCGAAAGTGCCCATAGTTCCAAGCACCGTTTCACTTGTATTGCCATGTTTATCATTATTCACTGTTTGGGCTCTCACCAAGGCCAAAGAGCATCAACAGCTCCAAGCACCATTTGACTTGGAGCACCACAGCTCAATGACAATTACCATATGATAGGCCGAAGCGACAATTCGTTAGGACAGTACCAGAACACTTAAAAACTTCACCAATCTGTAATAATTATGTATTATGCAAAGTCAGCAAAAGAGTTTACAGACACCATTCTTTCTTTGCACTTACAGAAAAAAAGAATGGTTTATTCTCCCCTGTATACCAGGCAAGATATGGGAGGGAGGGGTACCCCCTTACCTGTCCAATCCCTATACACACTCTAGACTATTGTTACCTAGCACACCCCCCCCCCACAAGTCTGTAAAAAATTTCTGAGATTCCGATCAAACCAGTGACCAACACAAAGGCGGGGGGGGGTTCTCTCCGTCCCATATCTTGTTTCAAATGCTCCCCTAGGCCTGTTGCCCTTACTCAAGGGAAAACATGGTTACAGCAACCATTAGACACTAGCTACTCCATTGAGTTAATTACGTAATTCATCACAATGAACTTTATCTCTTCTACGTATTATTTAAAATTTCATAATGTCAAGAGTAACAATCATTCCTAAGCCATGGGGGTGTTTTATAGGAGGAGGAAGGGGAAAGTGGTGGGAAAAAATCTCTAGAAGAATCTGACTGTAGCCGTTGCTCCTTCATAGGCTGAGACAAAAGTGACAACACGGCAATCTGTCCTTCCCGCCCAAAGTTTTAACCCCAAAGAGAAAAGAACTAACCCAACTTCTCATTGGCTTCTGGCCAGGCCTTGCCAAGTAACAAAGATTAAAATCTCTGATTGGATGGTTACCCCCTCCAACCGTCTGTGCCATGATTGGCTGTTTTCTGGATGAGAGGATCCCAATTTTGTCGCAAAAGTTTCAATGGGTTTCCGTGTATAAATGCCTCCTAACCAAAGTATGTTTGCCTGCACGTGTAATGCAAACAGGTGTAACTGGAAGCTACTATACAACAATGCTATCCCTTCTGCCAAACACTGAAAATGAACACAGAGTACAACTGCCAAATTTGCTGCTTATAAATAATTTGATCATGAAGTGATAAAATTTAATAACAACAAATTTTAAAATGTGAAATTCGTTTTGGGGCGACGAGGTGTCTGTTTATTTGCTGTCATTTGGAACCGTTGCTAAACTAACCCGAACCCTCATTTCTCGGTCAGTCGGAACAATGGCGACACAGAGTCATAACCGTGTCGCGAAAACGCTAAAAAAAATTACCAAAGCTGAAACAAGTCCATAGTTCGGGTCTCCAAAACACGCCCCTGATGTATTTTAGTCTAAACATTGAGTACTTCGTCTAGTGGTCCCGCTCAGACGCATTTGTCTTTGGAAGGTCTTTCGGAACTTTCCTTCCGTTTCACAAGGCCTTGTTTACAGAGTATACAGACTCGTATGCAAATCAGAAAATGTTAATTTTATAGCATCCCCGTTTGTCCCTTTAGTTAAGTTAGTTGATTTTGGAAAGTGCTTGCGTTTGGGAAAACATTATCAATTACTATAGAGTGATTTTTGTCTCCGGGCAGCTTTCTAGATAATGGACGATGCAGATTAATTTGACTTCATAATAATTACCCCCGTCTTTGTGGCAGTGACGATGCATGCCGTAGTCAAGGAGGGTTGGGGGAACTGCCCCCGTTTGAACTCCCCCCCCCCCGACCCTACCCCTCTGAGAAGAGTAAGGCTACGTCGGACCACAATCTTGACATCGAAGGCGACTGGCCACGCTGTTTCAATTTACAATCACAGGGTAGCAAGCGCCGGGCAGGGCAGTGATAGACAATACAAACTTTGAGAAAAGAGTTGGATATATCCCACCATACAGGAAAATAATTAGATAATTCAATTATTAATTTGCTCCCCAAAACTTGATGATTGACAGAGAAAAGAATGAATACTGAATCTGACAAACAGTCTCGCACTATGAACAGTAATAATGTGCAATGACTTTCACATTTTCAATACCAGATTTTATATTAGAAACCCCTATGAACATCCGAATTTATACAATAATTTATTATAGTTCATTTAAGTTCAGTTCAACTAAGTTCCTATTCAGATCGACTCAGTTCAGTTCCCCAAACGCCAAGCTAAGTCTCTAGGTCGATGTCAGGCACACCAAACGCCCTAATTAAGCAATATAACCAAAAGACCAACCCAGGATTTAGTTCTGCAACGATAAAACAGAGAGCTAGATGTACCTGGTATGTCACGTACCGTACAATGCATTCGACCATGTGACTGAACGTAAAAGTTTGCCGCGAACCCAGTCGACAAATCAATGATAAAATACACACTTTCATAATCAAAATATGCACCCAAGATTCACACAGACACTAAAGTGTTAATGAGAGGATGTGAGATGATGATGATTAGACAGGAAATGTACGAGGAAAGTATCCACAGCACTTACAGTTTGAAGACCGGTCTGGAAAGGGAAGAAACCGCAGGTACACACGTTCCAGTAAGGCGCATCACCGATACTATCGTGCGGCGACCAAAAGTCTAATTATGAAGTTTGGTTTCTCCACTGCCCTTACAAACCACCAGATACATTCTCACAAAACCAGTAATCAATTATACAGCCATAAATTCAGTTTTTGGATCAAAGTCAATAACATATTACTTCTTGCTGAACGGACTATGTTAATTACTAGAGGATGTTCACCAATGACGCAGTCGTCTTGATTCAGTGATTAGGCTTGTAACCCAAAATAGCCAAAGCTACGGGATCCCTGAAAAGCCAAACCTCACTGGCCCTTACATTAATATGAAGGAGAGATATTAAGTTTTTAAAAAATTTGTCTAATAAAAATCACCACCGGATTTCTTTAATGCTCCCCTCGTTTCTTTAATGTTTAAGCCATCAAGAGGGCTTTCTTTTAAACGAACCGTTCACCCTATATTCGATATGAACAACTGGTAACAATAATGAATACCTGGAGACATCGTTATATTTTTAGGATCCACTAATTTTATTAGAAATCATGCCAGTACTTCTACTTTACGAGCAGATAGTAATCTGAGTAACTCTGTGTGTTCTGTTTGGCTCGCAGATCGGTGTTCCTGGATCACACTTTGTTCTCCGTCAATAAGACTAAATTTGGAAGGCATAGAGACACCGTAACTGTGTATCTCGTGGCTGCTATTTCTTTTCATTCTCCATGTACACAACTTTTATATTCAGACTTCATTAAAGATGTTTTTCAAAATGGTGTATCAGGTTTTGTACTGTTTACTTTTGAGCCGAGGGCCACACCATAACGACGTCTTTTGGGCGATCTGTCCTGGATGTCCTCTTTATGTAGCACAGTTCGTCCCTGGGTAAGCCGAGAGCACATCACTGCTCCACAGCGTGTGACGAAGTCGCCCTAATGTAGTCTTTCTCTTCACTACGCGGGCAGGCGAACACACAAGCCACTTATTGCAGTATTCCTGCATTCGACGTCAAGTGTACGCAGTGAGCGGTAGGAAGACTTAACACGTGAATGTTGACCCGATGCTCAGTGGTGTTTCGAATTCAGAATAAAACAGCTCGGGTACCAAAATGAAGACAATGGCAAAGTCCCTCGTCTTGTGGACTGTTTTGTTTTTCAGTGCATTTTTCACGATTTTGGGCTTGCTCCCACAGAGAGCCCGGACAAGATACACCAGGCCGGGCGATTTCGTGATAGGTGGCCTGTTCCCGATGTATTACTCCAGGTACGGCGTCTGTGACTGGGGTGTGTTGAGGGAGTACCTAGAACAATCCGAACTGATGATTTTTGCCATAGAGCAGATCAACAACCGCTCGGACCTGCTGCCTAATGTCACCCTGGGCTTTGACATCCGCGACTACTGCGGAGACGAGTCGATCGTGGCGTCCCAAGCCCTCTCCATGGTGGGGGTGATCGAATCGGAGGACGGCGCATCCGCCCCGCCCGGCACGGGGCAGTTCATCGGAATCCTCGGCGCCGCTGGAAGCACGTCAAACATTGCAACGGCTTTGGTCACAACCGTCTATGAGATTCCCGTCGTGGCGTACAAGGGTTCGACAAGCGAGCTGAGTAACAAACGCCGGTTCCCTTACTTTCTGCGCACGTGGCCCTCTGCCAATCTGCAGGTCGGGGCGATCGTTGATATCCTCTTGGAATTCAACTGGTCTTATGTTGGTCTGATATACTCCGTGAACAGCTACGGCATACACGGTGCACAGGAGATCCAGAGTCTCGCAGAGAAGAGCGGCATCTGCCTGGCCTATTCTCTGCCCATTCGTGATCGAGCAACTGAGAACGAGATCCAGGAGATCGTAGACAGAATCCTGGAATTCAGGAAGGCTTCTGTGATCGTTTTCTTCAGCCATTTATTCTCCACTTCAGACTACGACATTTTGAGAGCTCTTCAGCAAGCAGAACCCGATCATTTAGAGCTGAAGCTCGTGTCCAGTGACGGCTTTGGGCACGCCCCGACCCTTTTCAGTTTGGGCCTTGCAAATCTGACGGAAGGAAGCTTCACCATACGTAACTATTTCAAGGAAGTGCCCGGATTTGTAAACTACTTCCGGGAAGTCCAAGAAGGTGAAAATGCTCGGGATCGGAGTCCATGGTTTCAAACTGAAATTGAAGTGTGTAAAAGAAAAAATACCTGTCCTCTAACAACCCAAGGTGACAAACATTATGTAGTGGATGCCGTGTACGCGTTTGCATTGGCCCTCAATGAAATTCTGCAAGGAGATTGCGAAGGGAGTGTCTATTGCCTCACCAACGGTACGGTCACCGGGGCAGGTCTGGCATCCCGTCTGAAGGGCATCCGATTTCATGGTGTGGACGGTATGTTTCAATTCGACAAGAACGGTGACCCGGTGGGAAAGTACACCGTGGAGAGCCTCCATTATTTGGACGGCAAGTATTCGGGCATTGAAATCGGGGACTGGGACTCCCGGGCAATGGCTGGGGACAGGCTACATATTCATGCGAGAAGCCTTCCGTGGGGCGACGGTGACGTCTCACCGCCAAGGTCCGTCTGCCGGGAGGAATGCCGCCCGGGCTACAAAGTCGTTCCCCTGGAGGAGAAATGCTGCTACGGTTGCCAGAGATGCCCGGAGAACGCAGTGGTGGAAGGCGACTCTAGATGCGTTGAGTGTGGCGTGTACCAGTGGCCGTCGGAAGACTTTACCGTCTGTCAGATGATAGTCCCGTCCTTTGTGGACTGGCAGAATGCGTTGACGCTCTTCGTGCTCGTCTTGTCCTGCACGGGTGTGGCCCTCACTGTCTTGACAGCCAGTGGTATGCTGCACTACCGCCGGCACCCGTTAATCAAAGCCACCAGCCGGGAGCTGAGCATGGTCAACATAGTCGGTCTCCTGGCGACTTACCTGTCTCCATTCCTGATCCTGGCCCACCCGACCACGGTCTCCTGCTTCATGTCAGAGACGCTGATAGCGCTCTGCCTGACGCTCACCTTCGCCCCGACCATGCTCAAGGTCAACCGCATTTACCGGATCTTTCAGGCGGGCAAGAGGTCCACCAGGCGTCCTAAGTTCGTCGGGCCGCGAGATCAGCTGATTATTGCCTCCATCCTGACCTTCATGCAGGTGAGGCAAGATTACCTTCTGAGTCTAATTCACATTACGGTCAAAAGTGTTCTGTAACAAAAGAATGGTACCGCATCACCTTTTCCGGTATGATTTTTTAAATATTTAAAATAATTCGCCAAAATAGCAATGGACGCGCTCACCAATGCCGCCTTTTGACGGGACTGATAGCCCTTTGCCGTAATAATGTATCGCTGTATTTGCCACGGTACATGGAATGGGGGTCGTCGTATGCTATATGCGAGTAGTATAAATAGCACCTGTACGAGTTACATTCGGTCACAAGAACGTGAATAGGCGCGATCTCACCGTTTTTAGTTGTGAAAGATGATTCCTTGAAAAAAATTGGTGGTTACACAAAACAACTGTCTTGTGGAAACGGATATGTACTCCAGCTTCGACAGCGGTATATACACAAATGACCCTCATTCTATCCGAACAACACACTGCGATAAACACTGTAATACCTCATTATTACCCAGGGCTATTTTATTTATGTTGCAATCTACCTACTTAAAACTAACAACATTTGGTACGTTTCGTGCACTTTGTTTAAATGGGGCTTTATGCAGTCCGCATAATTATCTCTTTTTGTTCGCATATTTTCCGGTCAATTTTATATTTGATGTGAATATGCCCGAATTTCTTCCCGAAATTTTGTTTAGCTTAAATGTGGATTTATATTTAGGATTTACATGTGTAGATCTCATTTTGTCTGCTGTGCAACTCATAATGAGTACAAAATCGTACTTTGTAGTAGTTTGCAACAGTTTTGTCCGTTCAATGTGCCATTGGTGTAGCTGCGAGTATGTAACTTCAGTCAGTGCAAGACAACTACGCGCCTGTTAATTAAGACGCTTTGCAATGGAGGGGATTTATACGGTGGCCCTGGAGGGACATCGCCAATCGTCAATATTGACGTCAATATTTGCGACCAAATTCCCGACTCGTTGTATCTCGGGTCGCAAATATTGCCGAGAATTTTTTTCAGCAGGCTAGGCAGAAATGAACTGTTCGCGCGCACGCGCAATGACCTACATTTTTCGGCTCGATCTCAAGTCGTCATTCGGCTGGGCAGTTTTCACACAACGCAGGGAGCACAACTTTAAAAAGCAACTGCTTTGTTTATATTCCGGGCAACTTCTCCCTCTCCCTGGCTAGCTGCCGTCGTGTCTAGGGGAAATTTACCACTTTCGTACTAATACAGGACTGTTTTTTTTTCGAGCTTGTAAGGTTAATTAACACTGTTGTCTATTGCCACAATCGTAATATTGCATTTCACCGATGTAAACTTTCAGAGACCGATATTTCTTGTAGCCAAATTAAGAACCAGCACAGCCGGAAAATACAAGTACTGGGTTCTAATCCAGTAAGGGCTGAGGTGTTTCCCTCCGTCCGTTAGGAAGGGGTGATGGTTAGCTGCATCCTGATTTTTTTTTCTGTGGGGTGATTTTGCCTAAAAGTTGTAAAGATACGAATGTGAGGTTATCGATTCTGATACATGAACTGCAAAATAAAACGAAAATGGCTTGTTCCCTTAATATGACCATCGGGAAATGCAAATGGAATTATATGAAACACTGGCTCTAATGCCAACAGCTTCGCTTTCGCAGACCGACTTTCTCTGAAGCGGCATAAGTTTTGTCTCACGATGTTGCTCTCAAGAGCGGTCGAGTCCAAAACCTCAAGCTTCAACTGGAATGTTGGTTCGAGTTTCTCAGTGAATGCAGTTGACGAGTTTCTTTTTTTTTTCTTTTTTTTTTCGAATGAATGCAAAATATTTACTTTCGCATGCAATTATAGAAGAGGTGAAGTCGGAGATGAGTATCGACCACGGAGGCTGGGTTGTGGTTTTGCTTCGAATTCTTCATTAATTTGTTTCTGATTAAGCTTCAATCAGTGCAGCTAATCAGCTCCGAGATAGACCAAGAGAGGGCGCAATTTTCCAAGCAATGGAGGCTTCTTTGGTAGTAACTACGCATTGCTGGTTCACGAACGACTATGAACCGCGCAGGCGTTGCAGTCACATCACTTATACCAATACAATGAGCACTCCCGGCCGAACCAATATGACATTTTAAACCGATGAAGGGTGCTCCTGCTCGGGGTGGATAATGAATGAATGAATATCCCGGCACGATCGCTGCTGTTTTGACCTGTACGTGTGTGTGTTTGAAAAATCAGGTATTGAAAGGTCCTTGGGGACTGTGATGTAGTTTTTTTTTTTTCGAGTCAATTCAGAATGGAGCTAGCGGAGAAAGATAAAAATCATATCACAGATGCAGCTCGTTTTCCTTCAAGATTCCATCGCCCAGGCCATTAGTTCTTCTGAGCGACCTTCCCCGGAGCAACTCTTCAAACAGAAGAAGATTCGCATGGATTTTTTTTTTTATTTTGAGGTGCAGGAGATAAATTATGTCTCCGCATCCATGCGAGATTGTCGACCAATCACTGACTTTGCGCACTGACGCAAAGAGTAGGCAACGAAGCTTGGAAAATTAATGGTCGTTGCAGGGCATTTGGACGAGATAGCGATGGGGGGAAGGCTTTCTGCGTCTTAGCGTCTCTGCGAGGTTGCTTTTTGTCGACCGCTGTATATTGCATGTAGGCCTACGAAGTCTAAAAGCCTTGGGTCATATCAAAAGACGTCAAAGCACCACGTGATCGTCGTACGTTATCAAGTTAACCACTGGGGCTTTTTACACTGCTTTATCTATTTGCCTAATGGTCACCAATTGTGCCACGCGCGGTTGTCGTTATTGTTGGGATCCAGTTCTGGCTTTAAGTTTTTCTCACACTTTTTTTCAGTTATAAACTTCGAAGGCTTGCTTCCTTTCTAAAGAACATGCGTGGGGCCGTGGTCTTTGCCTATATGGCCATGATGGATGGGCGTCAGGCCTAGGACAGTTGGGTCATAGAGAGCCAGCAATGAGAGGGTGGCAACTGCCGCCCCCCCCACATACACACACCCGAAAATGACAAAGAAAAAGGAGGAAAGAGAAAAAAGCTAAAGAAATAGGGGAAAGAGATGAAAGGGGGGGGGGTATAATCACCAGTTTGCTCGAAAATACTCAAACTTGCCACTTACCCCCCCTTCCACCAATAATGCATGTTCGTTGCTAATGAATGCTTCTCCCGGAAGTTTGCCCCTGGAAAAAAATGGTCCCACCGGAAAACTCCTGGCGAGCCCAGTGTTAATGTGGCAGCATTTAACGAATGGGCATGCGCATACAGCGACGGCGAGGGTCTTCGAAAGATAAGAAACTGCTTGCTACATTATAATCAGAGAAAGAAACTTGAGCCTGGCGTGTACAGGCGAATGCAACGCGCAGGCGTAGATGCCAGCTGTTCTCGAGTTACAGTATCAGCGTCTCGAGACGTTGGGGATTTCTTACGGACCCTTTGAGATATGCCTGCATAAGCCATGGAGCTCTCGTGTATACCTGGGAGACAAAAGTCCTATTTATTTGTCTTCTGTCAACTTAATGCATGATGAGTGATAGAATTTCGGATGAGAGGATTTAAATCTTGGACGTGGCTTTACTTTTCGCCAGGCAATACTTTCAATGAGCTTTTCAGAAAACGAAATTCCCAGTAAGACATAAACAAACAAGTACCTTTCAAATACGTTGGGCGAAGGAAACATACTGTCCTTGAAAACATCTGACGTCATCCCCAGCATGCACGTGTACATCGGCGCTAGTGGCATCCTCGCGTAGCTTATGTTCAATTTGAAAGAAATGAAGGCAAGTTTGTATCTGCCACTCCTTGGCCAATTTCACGAAAAGCTTAGGCGCGCCTTAGGGAGGAAAACTTGTCTTATCTCGTAATTCGTCCAAGACTAGATTTCCCCAAATTTAAGATGACTGGAGTGCGTCCTTTCTTCCTTAGCAACTCACGTTAATGGGTCTGGGAGTCGTTTCATCTCATGAATATGTGCAGTAACCACCTGGAAACGAGAAAGGTGTGTCGTCAAAGAGTTATTATAAAATTAACAATGTCGAGGAAGCAAACAGCTGCAGAAACAGACGTGAAAAGATTTTATATATGTGCGTTGTTCTGATAAAAAGGGTTATAGTATAGTATAGTTAAATTGCATGCAAACACCTACTTCTCTTTTAAAATAGAATGATGAAAATGATAAGAAGCATTAATGACCCAATCTTTGTACCCAAACGTTTGTGTTCTATACACATGCAAGTCCATGGCCCTGCAGAGGATGGTGGTTTCCCTGTTCTTTTCAACGACTGTTTCGTCAAGCAGTAAAGAGAAACTTAAAATAGCCATCGAATTTCAAGCCTCAATGCTTCTTTTTAGGATGGGTTTTGTGAAATTGGTCTTGCCTAAGTAGGGACATATTGTAAGTCCTATGATGAGTTGTAAGATAAGATAAATTTCGTGAAATCCAAATTGGGTCACAGATAGGGCCTACTCGCGAAGGCAACGAACCGAGACATTCACCGCACAGTTTGGAAACAAATGTAAAAAGACTGGGCACCATGGCATTTTTTTCATACAACCGGAAAGCAGTATATGCATTATTTATACTCGGTGTCTGTAACTTGCTTAAGCAAACGGCATCCCTCAAACGCTGGATCGCAGACAACGTAATGTTTGTTTCGTAGTTTAATATACAATTCAGCGACTTAAAAACGATCATTAAATACGAGGAAAATTTCTACCAGTTTTGATTGGCAACCAGCTCTATTCCTCGGTTCAACATTGTTCAGAACATCCACGCTTTCGCCAGAGTCGCCAAAACATTCGGCCACGGATAAACAACCATAACTTCATACTGCCAAAATACATTCTGGTTTGGTGCTTATCATGCTGATTGTATTAATTCCTTGTAAATAAAGGGGGCCGAGGACCAATTGTCAATATCTTTCGTCCCGAGCGATGATAATAATATGCGCAATATACACGTTTTTGACATTTAAGCGACACATATGTACCAACATGGTACCGTGTTTTCATTCACCTCACATATCCGCCCTGAGTACAAGCACCCCCTCATCGGGTGAAAAGAGCCCTGCTGGTCGGAAGTGTTCATTTTGAGGACCGCAGGACCTCAGAAGACCAAAGCGTTTCCACCCTTACCTCTTGTTCGTCACATTTTGCGAGCTCAACTGACTGAATTGAACCTCGGATTTGGAAACAATTCTGCTGGTTTTTTTTCGGCATAAGGCAAATGGAGTACAGAGACCAGGTCTATGTTGTCCATTTGTGCTCATTTTCTGTGCAAAAAGAGTTTTGGAAGGTGACTGTTACCACAAAGCCCAAATAAATATGAGAACGTAATGTACACCTGCCAGTTTCCTTGAAAAGAATCGGTTCAATGGTTCGGATAAGGGAAAAAACTGAATCCATAACGAGGCCAAAAAAAACTTAAACGGAGAGCTTAGAGTGCATCGTAAATGACAAATTTTCTTCTTTCTAATAAGAAATTTGAAAAATCAATCCTATAACTTTATAATTATTAAAGAGAAGAATGTCGGCAGCTGCTGGAGTGAAAATGTTGACAGGAGAAACCCACATAATTCGGTGCTAGCCTTTCAAATGCCGGTTCATACTAGAAAAACGAACGCGAAATTGTGACGTCACATTAAATATTTGCGTTGGAAATTTGCAAAAGTTGAGCACGTTTCAACTCGGGCGAAATATCGATACAAATTTTCCGTGGCGTCGAATTCCGTTTGTTTTCGCATTCTCACAAAGTATACATGAACCGGCCTTAAGACACACCTTTCTGTATAATTTGACATTTGATCTTCCGTTCACGGTCGATTCCCTTCCGGTCAGAATTTCAAGTTGCAATTCTAAAAGGGAGTGGAACTTGGGGTGAAACTTATCCATCGAGGCTTCCCGTGCCCACGTCTCTCTCCCCTATTGCAGCAAAGAAAGGAAAATTTCATACGGTCGCTGCAATTCCGTCATAAGGGGAGTTCGGGAATGAATTAATCAATCGAGGCTGCCCGTACCCGTCACCCATCCAACAAAGCCTGGGGAATATTTTAGAATGACGCAGAAGCAGCATTAACATCTGTATGACCGAAGGGGTTCGGAGATAAAATAATCAGGCAAATCTGTCATTCAATACACACCCAGTCAAGCATCTCCACGGGAGACGCCAGTGTGCGTTACTCTGGGGACTCTAAGACCGTGAATGTTCACATTGATGCCGCGAAGTTTTGACGGCCAGTTACGCCCACGCAGAGAATGCTGTGTCCGCCAGGATGCGGCGGAAGTCCCTAGCGATCCGGTCATAGCGACTTATAGCTTCCATACAAGGCAAACAGTTGTCGCCGTCTTTCTTCGCTTCACTTCTTGTCCCAAAGACAAAACAGGGGATAGCAGGATGCTTTTATTTATACACGGATGGAAAAAAGTCTACGAGAACACTTGGATTGAAGAGAGGCTTTCACAAAAAAAGTCCAAAAGAAATCAATAGCTAAGTAAGTAGATAAAACCGAGCAGTCTCAATTACTGCAGTTGCATTGTAATACTCAATTAAGTGCACAGGCTTTAATTTGACTGCTGAGTAGAATTATAGGCAAGTCACAATATCCTATTGGATGCAGAGGATATAATGAGTGTGTACTGCCCAGTATACGAGTGTGGTCTAAAGATAAAAGCGTTTTGTCCTGTATCTATGGCACTTCCTTTTTGGGTCGCCGATATTAGTCCTATTGTGGCCGTAAAGGCCATGCTCATTTGAGGCAAGATGTGGGACGACCAGAACCTCCCTCCCTTTGTGTTGGTCATCGTTAGTACGAGAATCTCATGAATTCTTTCAAGACATTTGCAGGAGATGCGTTAGGTAACAAAAATCTCGAGTGTCTATATGGTTTGGACATGAAGAGGGGTACCCCTCCATCACATATCTTGTCTTGGATATCCCATTTAATAGATCAAAATGAATTTGATAGATTCAGGGAAAAAGATAAAACATGGCTTTCTCGCGAATGACGTCTATTTCAGTAAACAAATGAAAAGCCCCGTTACTGTGTTTGCCAAAACAATCTCTTCAATCGATCGGCCTTACAAACATACTCCCAGTCTCCCCTGAAAAACCTGTCTATTTTTAAACGACAAAACACTCATTAATCTCTCCAATTTCTTCCTCTACTCTCAATCCACTCTCTTTCGACCTCGGAAAGGGGGTTTTCATTTATGCTTGGCAGACCATTGCTCTGATCAAGCGTTTATCCAAACAGGAAGGGGCTCAATCATTGATGGAAATTGCCACGGCCACTACCACTCTATTACAACCTTAACGAGGATGTTGATGTCATTCTTTTACAAACAGCAACCGCCCGTTGGTCAGATTTTACCCTATATCCTATTTTTCTCTTATTTTCCAAAGATCACAAATTCACTTATAGTGAATAAAATTGTTTCAATCGAAAAACTTCACTTTCCATTCGAATTTTTTGTTTCAATTTTGCATTTGTTTTTTATTTTTTGGGCCTTTTTCTGTTTTGGGGGTTAAAGTTAAGTTTGAAGGAATACTGGAAATACAGTCTTTGACATACTGTTTTCTTTATTTTTTAGTTTCTTATCAGCATTTTCTCCGTCATATGGGCGCCCTCTCTGCCGAGACTTTTTCAGCAGTCTAAGTACGACAACCACGTGGAGATCTTCTGTGAGTTCGGCCGAGGGTTCTTGGCCTCGTGTGTCTACAACCTGCTGCTTATCCTAGCCTGCTGTTACTACGCCTTCAAGACCCGCAAGGTGCCCAGCAACTACAACGAGTCCAAGTTCATCGCGGTCAGCGTCTACTCCACGCTGGTGCTGTGCCTGGCCGCCGTGCCCGTCTACACCACGGCCGTGGCGGTCTTGCAGAAGGTGGCCACTCTCTGCGTGGCGCTGCTGCTTAATGCCTACCTGACACTGGTCTGCGTTTACCTGCCCAAGCTCTATGCCGCCCGCTTCGTGGAGGATTTGGAGGTGTCTGATTGGCGTAGCCGCCCGGAGGGCATCGCCCCAAACCTTGCTAGCTCTTTAGGAAACAGTTCGGGCTCTTGGGGACTCCGACGCGTGAAGGTCCTCCCCGCTCCCAGCACTATCGAGACCAACAATGGCCCCCTCTAGATTTATTCCCTGGCCTTTGGAAAGGGGGCCCTTCCTTTTCTGAAGTGGAATGGGACTCTAAATAGTCAAACAAGTGATTGAAAATCCCAAAAATCAATGTCAAATTGCCATCATTAAATGACCATTGAGATAAAACAAAAAGTAGGCGGATTATGACGAACTGTAGCCTACCTCAAAGTGTAAGCAACTGATTTTTTGACCAATTTAGGAAAAAAGCCAATTTGCTGAAGAGTGCACAATTTGGATTCTAGTGGACCTATTTGGACACTTTACAACTACTTCTGCGACTAAGCTCGCTGTAAATAATGCACCCCAGAGAGTACGGAATTGATCTTTTGACCAATTTAGGAAAAATGGCAACTTACTGAGAAGTACACAATTTTGGTTCTATTTGGACACTCCATTTTTACAACTATATGCACTTCTGCCACCAAGCTCGCTATAAATAATCCATACATGTATTTCAGTTTGGCATGAATATAACCAGGATACGTAGTGTTGTTTGGTCAAGTCTACGTCACCAAATATTCCATGCTCACGCGCTGGCGCTCCCCGTACTTTCACAGGAACTCGAGAGTTAGAACTTTCACCCACTACGCGTTTGATTTCCACAGAATGGTGTAATTTGTGGCTGAAAGGTCAAACATACCTTTCCGAATGAGTTCCTTTTGGGGCTTTTGCACAACTATACATATACATGCATAATGATTATAGATACATTATGCATAACACACTTCTTTAAGAACAAGGCAAGGTCTCAGTCAGTCGACAACTTTATTAATTTCCATCAACCTTTTATCTCCGACTACGCAACAAAATGTAGGAGTTCAACTCAAACTCAGAAAACCCATTGTGTAAGGCGAATATTTGCAGTGAAAACCTTGTGAAACACTTCTTCTGGTGTCCTTTTGTCTTCCCGAAAAATATATGTATCTATTCAAAGTCCCAGTTCTCGAAGGAAACGGCCTAAATGTAACCATGAAGCGCAGACGTTTAAATCACATTCCGAGGTTTATAATCAACTTGTAATAAATAAACCGCCACTATATAACCATGCGGGCGCCTGCATGCTTTCTTGTACCAGTAGTCGACGAGCGATATCCAGAAAGGTAACCTCAGGGAGGTTTCAAATAGCCGCAGTGATCCAGAATTTCATAAGCCAACTAGAAAACACTAATGACCCCCTTCTCCTTAATCCATAAAGGCAGTTCTCGCTTTCTGAATTTCATAGAAATATAAAAACAAAAACTGCTGCCAACTGCTTGATGGCTACAGCGACTTAACATACAATTCAGAATCTTTCTCAAAGGCCTTTGAGAAAGATAGGATCGAAACGTCGGGTCCTCTTACTTTGGTAAACTCCAAAAGTAAGAATTCACTCCACTCCGGTAAAATTCACTCCCTTTGATTGAAACTTGGGACAGCAGGAGTTCGAATGAAATTTATCAACAGAATAGATCGAGATTTCACTCAAGTTTCCACTAAAAGGGGTTCTTATTAAAGCTGTTCTTGTTGTCTCACAGCGATTTCGCTCTGAAACATCTAGGCCCTACAGTTTCACTCATCGGATTTAGAAGGTGACCTCCGGTGATCCTCAACGTAATCGGCAAAACACGTCATGTTTTCTAACAAATTTGTAGAATGCTAACTATCGAGTACAAATAAAATTTAGTTTACCTGCGCAGACAAGATTGGGGGAAAACAGCAACGGCTTTATGATGAGCAAACTCGGAATAAGTAAAGCTGTTTCATAATGGGCACAACAATTTTTTACGGGTAGTGAGTTGGGTATAGGCAGATCAAGAATCAAATCTCGGGGAAGTCCTTGTCGGGGATTTAAAAATTGAGAATTTATATTCTTTTGGGGAGAATCTAAATTGTTGACTATTTACATGCTTTAGTAAAGAAGAAGCGCTATAGGCTCCCAAAATAACCATTCACTACATTTCTGTAAGAAAAAAAATATCCCCCTTTTGGGTGGGGCATGGACCACGTTCTGCTACCATTCGCGAATGAGTACACTGCGAACACTGTCTTCAGCAGTTAAACACTTTTCTGCATGTTTAGTCGCTAAGCAAGTTTCGTGGTTTAGATGTTTATAGCTTAGAAGCTGAACATTTAGATTTGTGGAATTTGACAAATAATGCCTAACGCCTACACGTATTTCACAAAGTGATAACAAGATATCGACTTTAATTCCGAAGTAAACAGATTTTTGGAGCGTGGTGGCGGGAGCAACATGTTCAATAGGGTCCGAGCGATGAGGTCACAATTTAAATACTCACTTTTTGTACAATCGTATACCTTTCTTCCTTGTATGAAAAAATCTGTCATTCTGTTGGAGTTAAGTGAATTGAAAAGGGCGTTTTTTAGAATTTTGCTTTTAATTGATCATGCTCTACAAGATGACAGGGGGCGCTGTTGCAATGATGTCAAAAGGGGAATACTGCTCAGTTTGTAAGTTTCCCCATTCAGATATTGTGCACCCAAACTTTGCTCATTGGAAGCAGTTCCGAGAAAGAGTTATTCGTTAGTTTATTGTCATATACTTGGACAAGTTACCAAAGAAAAAGATATTTAGAAAATAATAAAACATCGAATATTCCAACAGTTTTCATACAAAATCAATTCAGTGTTCGGAATTTTTCCCTTGAATGACATTATAGATTTGCTCAGGAACATTGATACTTGCATTGGCATAAAAATCAACATGGTAGAAATTACCATTTGAAGAGAGAAAACAACAATCAAAACAAAGGTATTTTGAAACACGAAGGTTCATTTTCAAAGATTTTAATGACACATAATATGATGCATACACCCTTAGACTTTAGCTGTAAATAACTGATTTCGTTCCAACGATGTACTTAAAAGGCGTTATGAATACATCTTCTATTACTGTTACTAAAACATGCATTATTAAGTTAGCTGAAAGTAATTATTTTTGCTAGAGGAAAAGCTTAAATCACTCTTAATATTGTGCACGTGGTTATTAAATATCTTAAATACCTGTCTCTCTTTGCATATTCACGTATTTATTGGTGTAATTCCCGTACGTGAATTCCTCCTCGAGTTTTCCCGAGTCTTTCTCTTTCTCTCTCTATTCCATTTTCAGCAGCACGCCAAATAAGTTAGCATTCCGGCCTTCACTCGCTCCAGGCAGTCAATGAGTCGCTCCACCTCTCCGACTGCAGTGCGTTAACAACAAGTTGACTGATTTTGACTGGAGAAACAACAGCTCTGTCCAGAGTTGCGTTTGTGTAGGACTCCTGAAATTTTTCTTGTAGCGATACATTTACTCCACAAAACTGTTGCAAGATAATCTGTGTATAGCATGGTTGGTATTGTTTAAAAAATATTAATGTGCTCATTGTATTCACGTTTTGTCAATGGAAGCGGCAATGTGCCCTAATGTAATTTAATTTTCAAAAATTATTCACAGTAAATCTTAAATATATTTAATATTTCACGTATAAAATAAATCTGTCGTATACTGAGTTGGTTTAGTCTGTTACAGTGCAGTTAGTATGTAGTAAGCGTGTTCCAATTTCGCGTTGCCACCTATACGGGTACATTGTACATGTGCTTTCTTCCCAACACTGCAGTTATTCGTTAAAGTCAATATAAATATTCTTTTTAGTTCTTATTACGCCTGTATGGGAGTAGTTTGAGAAAAAACTATTTTAAACGCAAGAAGTAGACACTATACTCAATATTATTTAACATTCTATGCGGCTAAATATTGTGCAGTCATGAGTTCACAATCAGTTCACATCTTAAAGAACTACCGTCCACTCAGCCAGTTGGTACGGTGCATCAGGGCACAGTGGCCGACACAATGTTCTGGGGGTGGATGGTTAATCCTCCTGGGCCGCCCCCCCCTAAAAAACAGAGGAGATATCAAGAACATACCTGCACTACAAGACCCGTCTAGTTTTTATATCTACAATGTATAAACCGCCCTTGACTCGAAACTACTGATCCACTGCTGCGCCCCTGCAAGGGGGGGTCGAATGAGTCGGAGCCCCCAGAGTCCAAGGTTAAAATCTAATGATGCAAGCGATATTGCCAGCTGTTATAGTTTGAAATGCAGCTATATCAACAGACTCTGAACCCGCCTTGGCTCTCGCCCTCGAGTCCCCTGACAATGCGACGCTGTGTCACTCGTACATCTGACAAAATTTGACATGATCTTACTGACCCTGCAGACGCTTTTGCGAAGCAATGATACTCGTTCTCATGAATTTTGACATCTAGGCCTATGCGATCATAGTTACAAGCTTTCCTGTTACCCATCAAGTCTGAACAAACTAGAAAACGAAGGCAAGTTATTTCTGTTTCATTGTGTGTAAAGTCTTCCTTCTCCTCAAATTAAAAGACCGCGTACTTACTCGTTCAGTATTGAAAAAAAAAATCAAATATAGACCGATCTCACCAGCCCCACTCCACGCGTGAGTATATGGCAACATGTGCAACCTTTAAGGTCATATGCGCATTCGCCAGTACCCGGCAACCGCCTTGAACAACGAGCTCGGACGGGCTAATCTCTTTCGTAACCATGGTAACTGTAGTGAAAGAAGCACAGTCGTTGCATAACACTGCAATGGGTAGCTTGGTGTCTCAAGCTGCATCCGAATCTCTTGTCTAGAGCTAGGTCTAGGTCTTCGCTCCATTGGAAATGCGTGGAGACGCGCAGACAAAAGACCTAGCCGTAGCTCTAGAAGCCCGTTTCGGACACGGCCTCAGTCTATGCCCGTACACTTTGGCATATACATGTATTGTCATATAGCGATATATCGACCTGTATTGTTGTTCACATTCTAACTAGTAGATCGTTCGTCGTGGGTCAGTGAATTATTCGTCGCAGCCGCGGTGCCAAATCATATGTTATAGTTTGTGATTCATCCGGGTAAGGCAGAAATTTGTTGAGGCTCTAAATAAAGCAAATAAAGTGTTTCATTTCGGTGCGATGGAATTATAATCTCACCCGGTGACAGACGGAATGCTCCATTCCACTCAGCTTCACCTCCCAGTCGACGAACAGCCCATTCCTTCTGCCACCTCGTGAAATAATGCTCATCATTACACTCACAAACATTCACTTTATTAATGACAGCTCCAAGTAATTACGTCCTCTTATCTCGAGGAAGAACTCATGCGTGTTCCTAAGGAGCGCGTCTTTGGCAAATGCACGCAAATCCGACTTCTGTGATTGGCCACCTCACTCCAAGGGCGGGGCTTAACAGATCGGCCATTTATCAGTCAGCACCTTAGTACATAAGCCCCAGGCCCACGTTGTTGTTTCCCGTCCCTTTGCTGCTTTTGGGCTCGCTTTTCTTCTTCTTGCTTTTCAAGAGGTCCGGTTCCTGTAGAAGGTGAGCCAGGAAGACGAAGAAGATGTTGAGGAGGAAGAGGACGAAGCTTGCCAGAGCCAGCCAGTAGGAGTAGCCGAAAGACACCGAAGTGGTCCGGAAGTTGTTGGGTGGATCCATGTCTGCCTTGGTCAGGACATTGGTGGTGAGTTGCGTCAGGTATAAGATCAAGTACAACAGCCACGCAAGAAAGCTGCCGATAGCTATACAGAGAGTTTAAAACGGGACAATATCAATTTTAAATTATTGATTTCTTTAATTAATTAACAGCATAGGTTTTCTCACTTAATTTTAACACTAAGTTACCCTGCACGTGTTAAAACTGCTTCGTTCAATTTTATACAACGTTACCTTCCAATTTGTCTCCAAAATTTACGACCTTTCATACCCGATGCTCGATTTCGTCTTGATCGCTCATTAATTTTGTTCAACGAAATTTATACCTTACTTTTTTGTGAAGACAATTCAATTTCGTCCTGCGCAATGCCGAACGTACAATGGATCAAGCATTCATTTTGTTTCATTTCGCAATCAATGCTATAGAAATTTCATTAAAGCTGCATGATTGTCACACAATAGTGTACGGTATCTGTGGTATTGTTAAATTTCACCTGTTCACTTCTGGTTTGAACATATTTACTTTATTTTGTGTCTGTTTAATGTATAAAAGTGTATATTTTCAATATGCAAAATCATACCTTTTCTTCACTACTACTTGCATCAATTTAGTTCTTCGGCAATTATTTGCCTCAACAACTGGCAGAAATGAGGTCTATACATAGGCAAATAAAATCCTTTCCTTTTCATGCAAGAAATATGCACATCATTATGAAAAGCCAACTGAATAATTAACATTTTCACATCTTTCAGAAAGAAGCCAATTCAGTTCTTCCTCTTGTCCTTTGGACTGTTAGTTAGCCCTTCAATGTTTCGCAATACCCCATGCCAAAGCAGCCGATACCCCATGCCAAAACAGCCGATACCCCGTGCCAAAGCAGCCGATACCCCATGCCAAAGCAGCCGATACCCCGTGNCCCCATGCCAAAGCAGCCGATACCCCATGCCAAAGCAGCCGATACCCCATGCCAAAGCAGCCGATACCCCATGCCAAAACAGCCGATACCCCCATGCCAAAGCAGCCCAATACGTTTAAGCATGCTTATACACCACCGCAAGAATTTGATTGAAACATTCTTGGATTCGATTGAGCATGCATAATTCAATCCCCGTACAGCAGACGGATGATAGTCAGGTGAGACGAATTCCATTAAAATCTGAACGTCATCAAGTAGACAGATGTTGAAAAGACCGATCATAAACAACGTGGAATAAAAAAATGACTGAAGACGAAATTGAAGTGAAGCGTTTGTTAATTTGAATGATAATAGGTTTTACAATTGCCGGGAAAGCTATATTCCCTAGAGCAATTCCGTCCCCGAACATCATTGAGCTAGATTCCTAACTTTGATTTCAAAACCGGCCCCAACGGATTCAAAGTTAGTTTGTCCTAACTGCAACTATCCGTCTGTCACAATCGGTGTTTTATTGAAAAGGCGAAATCTTTCTTTTGTCATTTATTTTAGTGACCTGATCGTTACATTCAATCTGAATTATTATGGCCAAATATAATGTCCAGCTTTTTTAGACAAGTACGCGTTCTGTAATGATACTTTAGATATTTCTTTCTTCAATATGATAAGATAAGTTGACAAAACGCATCTTCCTTGACGTGTTGTTCAATCTATTCTCTGTATGAAGGATTCAAAGGAAACGCGGCAAATATCAAAACATTTATGGGCCTTCGTATGGTGGACTTGGAAATGCAAAGAATGCACTCTCTGAATTTAAATGGTCAAAGCGCTAAAATTGTATATTATTGACAAAATAAATGCGATTTCACTTTTCGATACCATGCCGATGCCCGCACAAGATGAATTTACCGCAGTTAGGACGAGTTTGAATTGAACTGCTCATTGAATAGAATCGGTGGGTTTGAAATAGAAATCAGGATCTGAACTCTATACGGTGTCTGAGGAAGAAATAAATGTATCGTTCCATAGAAGTGTTGAAATAACTGGGAAACCAAAAAGCCACGTTGAGTTATCCAGATGGGTGATCCTCGTGCGCATGCGCACATCAAGAGTTGAGTTTTTTCAGTTCAGGGTAATCACCAGAGTCACGTGAACACAGGTATAAGGACGCAATTGATTAAACTGAACCAGCAACCTAGAGTTATACACATTGCTCTCGAAATGGAGACGTAGAGTGACTACGAGAATTCAATAAAACATAACGACAGTTACATGGTTTGTACATTTTGGAACAACCATCACAAGAACATTTCATGATTTGGATGTACATATTATATGATTTTGCACATTATGAGCCGGATATTCCGAAGTGAAAATTGTCCAAACTCGCGCTGCGGATCGTGTCCGACTAGAATACCAAACAAGCTCAAATGCACTTTTCAAGCCGTTTGATTCAACATAATTTACAGTTGTGGGCTTAAGGAATGACCCATGCCTCACAGTAAAAGTGCTTCTGAAGATACATGTATTTAGTTCAGATCTTCTATACACCTCCAATCCGGTAACTCCATTCCACCATTTATCCCCCTCCCATCTTCACCGGTTTCTTTTGGTTTTTTAACAATTTTGTCCAACTACTATTTGATTATTGAAGCCACACAATGTCTATCGTTCTCACCGAAACCCTTATGGTCGCACAGAAAACATAGGACTTGACACGCAGGATACATAGTTTAGTTTTACTATACTAACACGTGAGAGATTACCTCCAATGGCGTTCCACAAGTACAGCCCCATTGGTCCGTGGAAGGTTTTTATGGGAACCGTCAGCGTGTTAACCAACCCGAAGATGGTTGACACCAGGGCAAAGGTGATGGCAATGGTCAAACAGACGAAGACAGCAATTGGGTAGCCCACACTGTACACATTTGCATGCTCGCTGAAAACTGGAACCCGGTAAGAAAAGAAAGGGGTGTGAAACAGTGTTAATGTCACATTCATTCATCTGTACGGCGTTAGCCTTCTTAAAATGCGTTGCACCATACACTCGTCTAACAACGTCAATTTCCATACTGTTTGTAATACACCATGGAGGAAGGAGCACACACCGAGTGCCGTCAACACCCATGGCTCGCGCTTAGAATGGCACCCGCCACGCAGGCACAGAGAGCCAATATATTTTCGATTGGTTTGCACCGTTCACCATTGATTCTGCCATTCAACGGCATGATTGTCAAGATACAAGATTATTATCTGAAGACATAGGCCAGAACGATGGTAAAACCTAAGGTTGAGTCAAATGGCCGTTTCAGATCGCGCCCCTAGTCCATTCCATTGATTGTACACCTTTAAATGGGAAGGTGCCTGACTAGTTTGAAAAGAAATCAGTGTTTGTCTCGCTTTCAATTATGCATTTTTTTAATTCTGGAAGTAAAGGTGACTTGCGTTTTCAATCCATTATTTGCCTCTGTTAGTATAATGCATCATCGTTCCCACGCATCTTAACTCGATCGAAATTTTCACAGTGATTGCCAGGCTTTCAATGTGACGATGGTCCGCTCATAAACAAGGCCCAAAATCTCCACTCAGCACGTTTTCCAGTGCTGTTTCGGCCAGACAAGACATTTTCAGGCCAAACATGATCAGGACTAACGATGACAACCATCCTATAAAAGTATTAATGCCGCATAATCAATAAATGATCATTTCAAAGCCACTCACAATGTAACTGTGAGTCTTTAGAATTAAATCTGGCATAAAATCCATTTTCTTCACGTCAAAATCAATGGAACATTATTATGGAACTTGGAAAAAATCTGATATTAACGTCCGCCTTGACATTCTTTAAATCAATGAAATGAGTGCCTGACATTAAACAAGAATGTAACTTTAACGACGAAATTCTATTCTTATCATGTGCCTTTGGGCGTGCTGACAAAAACTCAACAATTTCTGGACATATCTTTGGAAAAAATCTTCAACAAACTTTCACTGCCAACAAAATAATCGCAAACAAGCCTAACCTTGTACCTAACCCCATACTATTGACGCACTGAACAAAGCCCATTATTCACCAACTTCTTTCATAAACAAAGCTTTTGTTCATCACAATGGAACGACATGTACAATATCTAAGCACCCGGGATTGGCAAAGCCATGGAATGTACAACCTGTGGTTCCACGAAGTTGCTGCGTGAGAATTTCAGACAAAACGGGAGCCTGAAACCACCCACGCACAGAAAGTAAGCACTGAGGGCAAAATATTATTTTACATATTTATATCAATGTATAGAAACCTGTCAAGTTTAAGTGAAAAGGGTAAGGCTACAAATATTCCAAGCAAAACATTGTGAAGCCTCGCACCACTCTTGATATCAACTGTAACAGTTATGATTAACCAAACGCATAAGCATGCTACCATCACACACGATTCTCCATTCTCAAGTGTCAGCAGTGAAAACATAAGTTACTGCATCACTACATTAACTGTGGCTACAATCAAATCATGACCTATGTGATGTTTGTCAAAGAGAGTGGTTTTATTCCATGATTATCATTGTTTATTGCTCTTTCTCTATACTCACTTCACGGTCTGTCACAATTTGAAGTTGAAACCTTAAAACCAATTGTGTAAGTGGCGTTACTCTTTACTCTTTGTTTCACTAACATGCGATATATCACAGCGAAACCTACGCAAACTTTGTCGCTTAAGAGGGCAAACGTGAAACTTACATTATGCATGTAACTACTCCTTTAAGCTAACAGTCAAAACTTTTGCAGTGACGGGGACATTGTAGGAATTATATAAGGGAGTCGTGCATTTTTCACAACTTATTTTTTTGCTCGCCAATGGCTATGTTTCAGCAAATCCTGTGAGCATGAAGCTTTTGTGTTAAGCTAAATCAACCTACCGAAACAACAATGACGGCTTCATAATGTCAGATAAAATAAAGAATGCATCGAGGCTTTCTTTTTTCTCTCTCTTTTTTTTTGGGGGGGGGGCAATTCTTGACAAGCTTTAACCCTCTGAGCACGAGATATGAATTGTTGCAACTTTTTTCTGAGATGTTTGTTCGTGGCGTTTGTTACTACATACCGGAGTTCTACTGTTCTAGATGCTAACAGGGTCGGATCCAGGAATTTTGGGGAGTCAGGAGGGATATTTCTTTTTTAATGTTTAATTTTTGGATACAAGCGGAAACGATGATTAAACAGTACTTGACATCTGTGGGATGCTATCTGGCTCTAAAATTTAATTCAGTTACTTTCAATCAATAATAGCAATACATTTGTAATGGGAAAGTTCGTATTTGATTACACAAAGGGAAGAATTCTGTTTAGGCCCGTCACAATTTTGTTTCACAAACACCACCAAGTTTTAAAGGGTGCCTGTTAATTTTATTGGGACTTTAGGGGGTTAATTGCCAGGGAAAGGGTTTGATAAATAGGGTTCAACTTCTTGGTGCTTATAAAAGTCGAAAAGTTTTGAGGGTCTGAAAAGGAATTCTTTCCGAACTAAACTTTCTCCAAACCTTTATAGCAGTTCCATTCTCTGGCCCCGAATCCGTAATTGAACTTCTTGCAGCCCTGGAAGAGGCCGAAGTAATCCAGGCCGAGGAAGGCCCCCGGGTCGTCTGGGTCGAACTGGATGGGGTTGTTGCCCAGATAGTCCTTCAGCGGGAAGGCGGGGTCCAGCTGGCCCGTCGTGTTCTTCTGGAGCTGGGCATTGATCCAGTGACTAGTGACGATGGCCACGCCGGTGAAAATGAGCGAGACAAAGGCGCCCAGGGAGGCGAAAAAGAAGAAAGTGGTCCTCCGCTTGATGATCATGGTTTTGACGGGAATCTTGACTCACACTTGACTCTTTCTCCGTAAACTATTGCTAAAGGTGAAGGCCCTGCCCGCACTCACATCCGCGTGTTCTTAAAGAGCAGGTTAGGTTTAGTTTAATACCTCTCCGATGAGAACTGGCCACGATATGACTGCCGTGCAGTCCAAACATACAACATTCCTCCAGATGTTTGCATCAGCAGGAACATGCCATCGCGTATTGCATGTACTTCCCGTGCGAAAGAGGCCTCTTTACACGACTAACTTGATGAAGGATGCGCTGCAGTGGACTTTCTACAGCACCCACCCAACATTGGGGAGATCACAGACTGGTGTCACCACAAAACCGCTCGCGAAGCTTTGTACGTCATCCAGTCTTCAGTTTACGTTACCGATTACCGTCATGCAACAGTTATCCCGACAAACACAATGGCCGTCTGGGTGTGTTGTGATTTGCTCATGTGGTATACGTGTGATACCGCTGCGTAGGTTTGAATCCAGGAAGTAAAGTTATAACTCTGTGATCAATTCATTGTTTACGTGTCGTGTAATTAATCTTCAGACCAGCTAAGGTGATTCTTGCACAAGTCGCAGTGCGGGAGTCTTGAGAGAGTTGAGTTCAGAAGAAACAAAAATCGTGACGCGACGGTGTTCTCCGAACAATCGTGTTCATTTGCTAAAGAGTTCAGGCTAGATTAAGGACAGAGTATACAGACTGGTTCAGGTTGGAAAATCGTTATGCCTGAGTGAGCAAATGCAGAGTCAACGTCGGTTTGAATACAAGAGCGCAGTGGGAAACTTTGCAATCCGATCGGGGGAGGTCACAGGTTAATTCATTGACCAGTGTTGTCGCCTTGAAATATATTCACAGTGTCATCCGTTTTCGAAATGAAACTACGATTCATAATTAGCAAAATGTTGTTTTCAGGCATTGTGTTTTCGGTGCCTAAAATTAGAACCACGAAATATATGTTTCACAAAACTTGGAGGGCCTGACGTTTCGGTCCTAGCTGAATCTTTCTCAAAGGCAAAATGACAAGTGGACAGGACAAACAAGCCAACGGAGAATCAACCAAGCATTGGTGAATGCAAGAGGACACAAGGAAAAGTCAAGAAAGCTGCAGGCTGGATAAAGGGGCAAGGGGTAAAGGGGACTGCATGAAAGGCATGGTTGAATAACAAAGGAATGTAAGGTGGGAAGAGATCAAAGAAAAAAATACAATGGAACGAACTGGACCCCAAGTGAGAAGTCTTACATGCTTTAGTAGAACTATGCTATTTAGAGAAAATCTGACACACAAAAATGCAGAATTCTGGAAACAATATTAAAACAATGTGTATTGCTTTATTAGTCAAAATTATCAGTTTATTTTTATTTTGGTATTTGCTCAAATGCAGCTTACCGAAATAAATGCTCATTTAATATTTGAAAGTGATATGAAGCTGCTTCCCTTTTCTTCGGTGACATATACCGATTTTGAGTCTGGGTAATGGGCATTTCTCTCCTGATAAGATTTTCCAGTTTTCATCTGTAAAAAGCCCTTCCTTTATGAAGAAAGGTGCTAGTTCTATTTCTGACGCGTTGGCAATTTCAATTCCTTTGAAAATAATGTAAAAGTCTCCATAAATTACCTCCTCCCGATGGATACATTACTATTTTAGAGCATTTTTTAATTTTAACTGTTTTTCTTTCATACAAAAATCACTGCAGCGCATGCTGTGCCAAAAATAGCGGAAAAATCGAAAGCAAAACGACTATAAATATCGTAGCTCTAATTATAGAAAGATAAATCATGCAGAAACCGCCAGACTCTGAAATAAGTTATCTCAAGCATCAGTAGACAATACTAGCCCCAGTTTTTAAAACTTTTACCCAGCGCAAGCCCCACACTTCCAAATACAAGTTACCGCGCCACTCTCGTCAGCTTCCAATAAAGTCCTTAGTGGACCGTTCGGAGGTCATGACTACAAGGCACAAGGTACATGTATTCAGAATAACTCGGTTTGTTTTTTCATTGCGGCGATAGGTACTAACGTATTCAATACCAGTCGCTCAGAAACTTCAAGTTCGACTTCAGTTTATTCCCATGACGCCGTGAACATAATGCTTCAACCCACTTTAAAATGAATATCACACCCCAAATCAAAAACAGTCTTCTCGTAATGATACCTCTGTATAGGTTTCAAGCTTTTATGAAAAACCAAATACACAATTGATCATACAGCACATAATCTGTTGGACTATACTGTACATAGTATGAGACAAACAAATTTGTACGCATTCTTAGTACATCATTTCATCCATCCCAACGTTATTTTCTCCCTTGGAGAATTCTTTTTCCCCCCTCCGTTGCTGCAAGAAGTCCGGATCCGAGAGCAGCTTGGCCAAGAAGACGCAAATCAAATTCAGGATGAACAAGGCGCAGGCAACTACCACCAACCAGTACGAGTAGGCGAACGACACGGAGTCCGTCCGGAAGTTGTTGGGTGGATCTATGTCTGATTTGTTCAGGATGTTCGTGGTGAGTTTGGTCAAGAGGAGAGCAAGATAGATCACCCAGGCGACCAGGCTGCACACGGCTGCCGGTAAAAATCAAGAATTAAGAAAAGTAATAAATTACATTGATCATTTCTCTCTTTTAGTCATCTGCATGAAAGAGCCTTAAATATACACAGTTCTAATGGTTCCTTGGTGTCCCATCATCACAATTTGACTTTTAGATTCGCGGTGTGCCATTTTTAAGGGCATCAATGTACGTTTTGACTTTAATGCTCGCGTCTGTTAGCATGTTAATGACCAAAAGTGCTATGTCAGCCAAGGCAAAGTCCTCATTGTTACAGCAGTTTCTGTACAAATATTTGCTTGAATTGTGGATGCCATCTGGATTCAAAATTTGAACACATAACTCCGTAAAATTAATAGACTTCCTTTAATGACACCCAGAGCTGTTTTTAGAGAGTGGCGACATGGTTGGGACAAAATTGGTGTATTAATGCGTCAGTGCACATCCACAATAACTACCTGCTGTACTGCACACAAAGTAAACAGCCAGTTTGGCTCAAAAGTCTGAATTCAAGTTGGCGCGACTTTCTCCATTTATAGCTGTGATGACATCATAAGAATAGCGCTCTCCCTTGCCAGGAAAAGATCAAAAAGTGTTATTTGAAACGTCTACTTTTCACGTAGGCCGAGTTCGGGTGGTTTGTTCTCGTATGCTCACGAACAGCTTGATTTGTCGTTCTTGGGTCGGTCGCTCGAACGCTGGGAACGTACAATTAGTCATCGCTGGTAGTTAGTGACAAGCAACATGGCGGCGTCCATGTTGTAGTAAACTATTCGAGAGTTAATGCTTGGACAAGTGGGCTGAATTCTTTTCTATTCAAACAGGAACATTCACTTATGTGTTTTGAAAAATAATTAATGTTAATTTTGCAAAACTTCCCATTGTCTATGGCTTTGGAAGCCATCTCTCCACTTTTTGCAGCTGTTCAAAAATCAAAATCTCACGAGTTTATCCGTGTGTTCCTGTAAAACCCTGACGAGGAGGTGGAGTGTGATCCTGTTCCGAGAAAAGTGTTCTTGAGACGTATTCCCGCCGTTCGAGTGCGAGAGCAACAAACCCGTGTCAAGAACACGGCGCCCGAACTCGACCTAAGAGTCATTCAGAGTTGCGGTTGAGGATCCAGTTCAAAGATTCGTCTGGCAGTCGTTAGGTGATCGCCTGTTTTCGAGTTCACACTTTATAAAGTATAACTTTCAAATCTTCTGTCAACCTGACTGTCAAACGTGACTCGGATAGGCCCAATCGTCTTTAATTCCCAAAACTATACAACGGAAACATACGAGGGCGCGATGTGGCCTAGAAATCACCCTGGCCCTATACTAATCTCCAAACGAGGAAAGACAAGAAAAGATAAAACCTGAACATTCGTTGAAAGTGTCCTTAAGGTAGGCCTATTTTACTGGGCGAATTGAATGTAACACCGACGTGCAAGGCCTACCTTAAGGACACTTTCAACGAATTTTCAGGGTTTATGCGAATGTATGAACCTTTTTCCAATAATAAGCGCTCCCCCTATCCGGCTGCAACTTGGCCGGCGAATCGGACACAAAACGCTGGCATGAAAATTCACCGAAGCTAGAACGAGTTCAATTATTTTGATAATTGGACTTGGCTTCTTGAATGTTCAACGCGGCATCACAAATTAAAATGTCTGTTTCCGTCAACGCTGACCACCGCTGCTTGCGGCTTGTGTTGGTCAGTGTTACTGTTAATTAAGCCTCCTTGCTCTCCACGGACGTCCACCACGCGAATTCAAGCTCAAGATACAAGATAACAGATTACGACATTTCAAAAAGTTACCTCCAATTCCATTCCACACGTAGAGTCCAACTGGTCCGTGGATGGTTTCTATGGGAACGGTTATTGTGTTGACCAATCCGAAGATAGTTGACACCAGGCCGAAAATAGCGGCGATCAAAACAGACACGAAGGCGGCAATTGGGAACCCAATGCTGTACACCTCTGCGTGCTCTTCAAAAACTGTCGAAGAAGAGATCAGTTTTCATCAAAGAAGAATCTTTTCAAGCATCTTTTGAATCTGTTTTAAAATCTTAAAAGACTTAAGCTTAGGTCCGTTGAACATTTTAAAACAAAAGCAATAATGAAACTGAAGAAAACATGACCCTGATAAACTTAAAATAACTGTTTAACTTGCAGCAGCTTTTTTTTCTTATTAAAGTTGCTACAAAATCCTTCGGCCTCGTGCAGGCATATAGGCCTAGGTGGCATAAGTTTCCTGAATATGACAAGCTTAAGGTCGATTCTTTTCTAATGACGTAGGCTCTCCACGTTGTAAGAAGCGAACTAAAAGCAAGTGTCCGAACACCAGTAATTCAACGCTTTATTGCTCAGCATACAACGCTGCTATGAAGTTGAACCTCGAAATCAATGTGTCTGAAAAGGAAGGATATGCCTAAACTAGTTTCACACGCAGAACAGTTTCAGGGAATTTTGAACCTTTCAAGAAGTGTAATAACTACAGCACTCTCTCACGCGAATTGAACAGACGATTCAATTTCACAGTGTCCCCAAGTTTAATTTCACGTCTACATCTTGTTGAAAAGTACTATATATCATCTGTCGAAAATTGAACTGAAGCTTCAATTTCACGTCTTCACGGCGTCATTTTGTTTGTTGGGCAGTTTTGTGTTTTTCCCTTCAGATCAGTGATGAGATTTTCATCGCCTGGAGTACTTTATGCAGGTGTTTTTTCCCTTTCTCAGTGAAGACGCAGGGGTGTGTTCTGCAACCCTGAATCATGTTTCTGCTTAGGTCACTGGTTACCCCTGCGTGATATCTTTTTTTCTTACCAAACGAGAACCGAAAGTTACAGTTGGGCAGCCCCAGTTCGTTTGAACTGGCGGAAAATATAAAAAATATGCCGACAATTTTTGTTGTCTCTACAAAACGAAACAAAAATATGCAATCGTGTTACATGCAGCACACCATAAGAGGTAAATACTTTATTCTAGAATGTGAAAAGAGAGAGCAGCACCGGTTAATTAAGCCTCGCCGAATATTGAGTGAAAAATTATGTTTATCAATAAGGCCGTCTTTTTTTCGGTACTTTGTCTCTGTTGGATAAATGTTACAGTTCACATTTTTACGTCCCAAACACGTTTCTTTGTTTTCAAAAAGTGCAGTTTTTGTTTTTCCACGTTATTTTTTGTTTAATATATATTTTTCCAACTTTGTTATTACGAAATATGTATACTCCGAAGTTTCTTTCGGCGAGATGAATATTTTCAAGTCATTTTTATTGCAATTAGATTTTAGAAACATTGTAACTTGGAAACAAATCGTTCTCACGAGATACACTTTCCGAAGTATTTTTCCCAATTTATTCATGCGAGATATTTATTTGCAGGTTCGCTTTTATATCTCATAAAAGCGAACTTGAAAAAAAGTCTCACAAAAATTAATTTTGAGAAAATATATCTCGTTAACACAAACTTGGAAAAACTGTAAAAACGAGCATACAAGTTTACTTTTTAGACAGAATCGTTTTATGAGTAAGTTTTTGTGAACAGTTTTATAAATGTTTGTTCCCATGAGATACATTTTTTCTCGTTCCTATTCGTGACATTTAAAAACGAAATTGAAAAATATAAATCTTGTAAAAACGAACTGCGGAAAAAATCTTTCTTGTCAAACGAAGTTGGCAAAATCCTTCACTTTTTGAAAAATTAACCCTAACAGTCCTCAATCCCTCACCTGTTGGAGGAATGAGGACTGTTTGGGTTAACAATGTACATCTTGGCACTACTGCGTACAGGGCATGCAAAACACACCCCAGGCGCGCTTGCCCCGCTTCAGCAAAAGCGCCCTCTAGCACAGGTTACTTAAAAGAAAAATGGCAGCCACCACATAAGAATTTCAATTTCACGGTGCGCGAAATTGACATTTCAGGGACAGGAAGATAACCGTACAATTATTCTCATCTGTCTGAGTAAGTCTTTTCCTTTCTACGAGTTGGTTGTTCTTTCAAGAATCTAAAGAATGTAACCATGATCAGATGATGTATGCCTTAGTAGGCCGACGCATCCAAGGACAGGCAGCACCCACAATGGAAATGGACTAGGCATGCTAGGCCTACATCATGTAGGCCCCCTAGGCCTACTTCAAGAACTCAAAGTCACTACTAGTACTAGGCCTATCATGACTATACTCCGTCATGACGGAGAAGTGACTTTGAGTTTTCGAAGTAGACAAGGCCTAATGTTAGCTACTGCATGGAGGTACGAAAAGAGGCTACTGTCACTGTCATGCTTGTTGGTGGTACCCCCACCATGCCCACGGTAGCTTGTTCAGCTCTTTCAGGTGTTGTTGGTTCGTAATGTTTAGCACAATTTTTGAAAGTTAAAATTGCATCCACAATGTTTAAATTTGGGCAACCACAGATACAGCCATAAAAATTGTGCACAGTGTGCTAGAAATTATGTGGATACATTCTTGCAGTCGCACATCAGGGAACTTCTGTTCATAGGATTGAATAGCACGTAGGGTAAATGTGCCCCTTTGCCATGTGTTAAAAGTCCATAGTGACGTCATGCCGACCGCGAGAATGAACCACATGCAACAGTTGTATACGAGACATGTAAGAGACTGACATCAACTAACGTTACATGTACACATTTTGCACAATTTTGTTTAGTCTATTTCACGTGTGTGAGCTGCATGTACAGCGTGAGTGGTAGCCTATGGGGTGGTGCGGAAATCGGGGAGTTTTGCAAAATAGTGGGTAGCAACCAATGAAAACAGCTGAAACGAATGTGCACACGACGTACTGATCAATGAAATGATTGTGTAATCTGATCCTCTGACTGGCTGATGCATGTCTACGTCGCCACGGTCACTGTTTACATTGGTTACTACCTGCCATTTTGTGAGAGTCCCGGATGTCTGCGCCACCCCGTACCTGCCATACATGTATGTTCTTACATGTATGGGGCCGGGACAAGGTACATCACGTGCAACCCCTGCCAGGTGTGAGAAATTTTGCCATTCAAAAATTTTCATGAATATTGCCACATGAGAGCAATTAAATTTCCCTGCCGATATTTAATTCGGAATTTTCTTTCTTCTGAAAGAAATTCCTTGTGAGAACTATTAAATTTCCCTGTTAACATTTAATTTGGAAAATTCTTAGTGCCATACAAGTAGCCTATTCATATGAAATATATCTGCAATAGAATTAAAAGTAGGATCCCGGACAAAATACATATATAAATAACAATCAGTGTAATGTAGTTTCAACTTCTTTACAACGAAACCGTTGTACTTCTGACAAACTCACATGATCACACTTCTCTGCTAATCTATATGTATACTTATTTATTTCTACAGTAGTGCTAGGAGATGGGATACATTGTAAGTTAAAATCTCGAAGACCCTCTTCCCCTCTCTCTCCTCCTCTTTATAACCCATCTTATTCCCGTCTCATTTCAAAGAAAATATCTGTGCACTTCCAGAAGGTTAGTGTGGTCAGTCCAGGATATTGTGTGGTCAGCCCTGACCACTTCCAGTCCCTTAGATTTCATTTTTAAGACCTTCTCATGAGCCCAGTTTCCTCCTTAATTGACCACGACCTTCCCCTACATACTTGTGGTTCCTTACTCAGAATTGCTTCATGACAATCAGGGAAAATAAGGATTTTGAAATGACCCCCAAAACTTCATACTAGTTTGTACTGGAATCTTAGCCTCTACTCAAGGCAACAGTTTCCCAGCATGACTGGTGCCAGATACTTGTAGCTGAAGACTTCGAAGGGAATGGGAGTCCCTGTGCCACCGGCCCCTCCCGGGCTTGGTCAAATGCCAAACATCATGAATCCTTTAAAAACATACAGTTCGAGGCACAAATATTGGGCACATTAAAATAATGTGCCCAGCGTTATCTGCGCAGATTCAAAATATCTGCAACCTAATAAAAGTTGCTCAAGGAAAATTGCACAAGTTGTGCAAATTTGGAACATTATATGTAGTTTTAAACGTACTAAATTACAGTTTAAAAGTAACCCACCATGTTTATCCCCATAACCCTCTATCGGTGCTGTGCAAAGTTGTCGAATCATTCAAGCGATTGTGTAACATTTAAGAGTTCCCTTGCCTACATAAAGCAGAATGGACTGGCTATGTTTGTGGCTGTACATGTACGTAACTTGATATATATATACCGGTACATGTAATAAGTAGCTGAGTTTTGACTGGTGATGACTGTTCAACCATGCTTTGTCCACCAGTCATCTGCTTTTGTCCTTTGATGGAATTTGGTTACAGTACCAACCAATTGGAAGTTTATCTGAAGTTTATCGGACTGGTGGTGACTAGCCTGTGTACAGAGTGAGGTGGGGGAGGCGAATGGAATCTCGGACTGTCTGTGGCTCTTACATAACTTACAACTAAAGGAGTGTTTTTGATAATGCGCCTCATGTCAGCATCTGGTCTACAGCCCCTTTTCAGTTCAATCATACTACATGTGGTTTAAAACTGCTCCATTACACTTTACATGTTTTCTCGTTCACAGATACCTTCTTGTGTGAAAAGTCGTATCAAAGTCAAAAATTACCATTCTTTCCATCAAGTTAAATCACTCCATGTTCTGTGAAAGTAAACACCTGTAGAATCAGAATCCTTACTGAACAAGCTAATGAAGTAGCATACAACATTTAATGATATCTCCATTCACTTTTTGGAAGTAACTAAAACCCATGAAAGCATGCAGTCAATCACGTGTGTACTACATGTACATGTACGTGATGTCTTCACCGCAGACTTGAGAAAAAAATGACATGTACTTTGTACGTGTACTGCAACTGCAAATCTACTTACTCGAGAAATAAACGGGAGCACGTTGGGTAAAGCCAAAGTTGAAAATCTTCTCTCCGTTGAACAGTCCAAACTGGATGTAGCCTGTAAAGGGAGGAATCTGACCATTTTCGTCTGGCACCTGCGGGCGCTCGTTGTCAGTCAGGTTTTGCCGCACCGCAACGCCCGCAACCCAGTGGGGCGTGGCAGCGGCCGCGAGGAGGGCACCGACTGCCGCCAAGGAGAAGATGAAGACCAGTGCCAGGGGGACCTTGCTGCGTTTGGAGGCCATGCTTGGCTGGTGTGTGCTTGTGGGGACGGGGGCAGGAAGGGTGGAATCTACCTGTTTGGAAACGCGGCACCAGTTGATGGGCCACTATCCCTTGACAGCTGCCAACATGCGCTTGCAGCTTCCACGGATCTGTTGTGTGGCTTGGTTGCTTCTCAAATCAAGCGTCAAGTCTAGTAGGTGCTCCGGTGATCGGTCCGATCAAGGTGATTGTTTTATAGTGTGCTGAATTTGCTGAGGAGTTCAACCGCACAACTTGAGCACCAGACATACGCAGACTCTTCAGCAGCTTGCTCAAAGGCCACTTCAAGGAGTATGCACCGTTATTATCCAGCACACCTCTGCTCAGTACTGCACACAACTTACACTCAGATAAATTGCTGAATAGACTTAGTTCGTGGGATAACTCGTGCTGCTGGTAATTTGATATCAGACAGTCACATGTACTGTGTCGCTATGCCATTACTAGTCTCTCTGCATGTGTACCGTGCAATGTACATGTGTATCACCCACGAATGAACAAAAATACACACAACTACACATGCCTAATTGCATGTCACTTCTCTTATTGATAAGTGTGGCCAGGCAGTGGAGACTTTGGCAGCACTGGGAAAAACAAGATCTTTATTAAATCCCAAAATCAGTGATTACTTGTCAGCAGGCGTGTCCAATCACTCGTACGACAGACCCCGGACTTTGGCATCAGATGCTAAATGTATGCAGTATTAGCCTGTGTAGTCTCTAGATGCCATATAGGAACTGTGNAATTCAGCAATACAAAGTGGACTTTGATCCCTACAAAGGATCCCCTTTGTCTTTTGCACACCTTCTCATGTTTGCATCCATGTTTATAAAAGGAGTATACCCTGACTATTCCACTAGACCCTGCTTTGCAGGTGGTAGACTGGTGACCTGGCCTCATGTGGAAGGACAGCGATGCCCTCAGTGATTTTGAAATCAAACTGTTTGCTGTCTGCAGTTTTATTGCCACATTTTGTAGAGTTTCAATAGTCTAGTACCCAATGTTTACCATTTTTGCAGTGTACAAGCAGAGTATGAGTTGAACTGGATATGTTGTCGTAAAGACAATGGTGTTGTTAGACTCTTTAACAAGCAAGGTCATGTACATGTATGTCGTGAAACTGTGTACATATTGAGGCCAGCTGGCCACACTGCTTGGCTGCTCAAACAGGTCAACTGTGTGGAGAATTTTGATATCACTGTAGTAGACACAGTTAAGTTTTGCTGGTTTGTATTAGACAGACATGATTGTTGATCTGTGTCATTTGCTGAGCCGCGAATTGGACAAAGGCGCTGGTAAATTGATGATTAGTAGCAATAATTTCTGGTGGAGTTTTTTACTGTGGGAAATCCTGTATGAATGTGTACAAGAAAAGGGATACTTTCATGGTTTTTTTTAGAAATCCTCCTTGTAGAGTTTGATGTTATAATCATGATTGGCTTTGATGTGTCGTAATGTTCATGTACGTGTACAGTACATGTATGTATCCACTTACTGGGGTCAGCAATCTGAAAGGCGGTAGTACTGTTACATGTGAGGTGTTTGGCATGGTTATGCAGTTCAAATACATGTACATGTACAGTATTGTATAGTTTATATGTACATGTACCAAAGTTTGGAGTGTGACTCTTAAGCACTTCAAACTACCGGTAATTCAATTGCAATATTAGCTTAATTGCCAAGCAACTCAGCACAACATTTCTGATTGCCGACCCCTTTGAGCAGATGTGTGTGTACTCACAGTTATAGTGTTAACAATAGTGGATGCAAAAGCTTCCTGAGAAGAGGTGCTGTGCATAAACCGAAGAGGGCGCCTTGTTTACTGATACCATTGCCATGTTGCCCTGTGCATGTCATATTAACCAGCCTTTCTGCTTGATTCCTCAGAAAATGTCACCAAAAGTATTCTGAATTCTGCGGACGAGCCCTTACATTTTTCCACCCCTTGTTTCAGGTATCATAATCTTGGACTATGGCTGGCCTGAATGTTGCACCAGCAGACCAGTGGAGCCTTCGTGAGAAACTCTGTTTGGCTTCATCAGTCATCAGAAGTGGCGACCAAAATTGGTACGGCATGTTTGCCCAATTTTTTTTTCTTAGAATATTGTATGGATTTTGTCATTAACCCTAACCCCCTAGGCTCCTGCACTAGAAAGCATACTGAACCTCACAAAATCCAACAGGTTCATGTACTTGTCTATGTACTTGTACATGCAGGTTACTGTACCAAACAGNAAATCAGCAATACAAAGTGGACTTTGATCCCTACAAAGGATCCCCTTTGTCTTTTGCACACCTTCTCATGTTTGCATCCATGTTTATAAAAGGAGTATACCCTGACTATTCCACTAGACCCTGCTTCGCAGGTGGTAGACTGGTGACCTGGCCTCGTGTGGGAGGACAGCGATGCGCTCAGTGATTTTGAAATCAAACTGTTTGCTGCGTGCAGTTTTATTGCCACATTTTGTAGAGTTTCAATAGTCTAGTACCCAATGTTCACCATTTTTGCAGTGTAGAAGCAGAGTATCAGTTGAACTAAACATGTCGTCATAAAGACAACGGTGTTAGACTCTTTAACAAGCAAGGTAATGTACATGTACATGTATGTAGTGAAACTATGTACATATTGACATGATTGAGGCCAGCTGGCCACACTGCTTGGCTGCTCAAAGTATAACAGGTCAACTGTGTGGAGAATTTTGATATCACTGTAATAGACACAGGTTAGTTTTGCTGGTTTGTATTAGACAGACAATCGTTGATCTGTGTCATTTGCTGAGCCGCGAATTGGACAAAGGCGCTGGTATATTGATGAAAAGTAGCAGTAATTTCCGGTGGATTTTTTTACTGAGGGAAATCCTGTATGAATGTGTGCAAGAAAAGGGATACTCTCAGTGTTTTTTTTAGAAATCCTCCTTGCAGGATTTGATGTTATAATCATGATTGGCTTTGATGTTTCATAATGTTCACGTACATGTACAGTACATGTACATGTATGTATCCACTTATTGGGGTCAGCAATCTGAAAGGCAGTAGTGCTGTTACATGTGAGTTGTTTGGCATGGTAATGCAGTTCAAATACATGTACATTATTGTACAGTTTATATGTACATGTACCGAAGTTTGGAGTGTGACACTTAAGCACTTCAAACTACCGGTAATTCAATTGCAATGTTAGCTTAATTGCCAAGCAACTCAGCACAACATTTCCGATTGCCGACCCCTTTGAGCAGATGTGTGTGTACTCAAAGTTATAGTGTTAACAATAGTGAATGCAAAAGCTTCCCGAGAGGAGGTGCTGTGCATGAACCAAAGAGGGCGCTTTGTTACCTGATACCGTTGCCATGTTGCTCTGTGCATGTCATGTTAACCAGCCTTTCTGCTTGATTTCTCAGAAAATGTCACCAAAAATATTCTGAATTCTGCGGACGAGTCCTTACACTTTTCCACCCCTTGTTTCAGGTATCATAATCTTGGACTATGGCTGGCCTGAATGTTGCACCAGCAGACCAGTGGAGCCTTTGTGAGAAACTCTGTTTGGCTTCATCAGTCATCAGAAGTGGCGACCAAAATTGGTACGGCATATTTCCCCAAATTTTTTTCCGTAGAATATTGTATGGATTTTGTAATTAATAATACTGGCCTCTACAACAGAGGGACAGCGTAATGGAAGCAGCTCTGTGAATTCCTTGTTAGCGTCTCTTTCAATGTTTCATTGCAGGGTGTCAGTCAGCAGGGCCATCAAGCCATTTGGTGAACCAGGCAGGCCACCCGACTTTTTCTCACAAAAGGTAAGAACGGGCAGGATGATGCCCAAGCCCCGCCCACCCCACCCATCTCCTCACTTAAAATGGGGTGGTAATGCATTCTTTTTTTGTATAACATATGTAGAATAATAATCAGTACCATCTCCGAACAAAACCAAAAAAGTATAGATGAATTTATATATTGGGTAAAAAAAAAAGAGGAATGAATAAATAATTTCTTCCAAAGAATCAGTCATCATTGGACATCTTGGAATTTTAGGTGAGTTTAGATGGTTCTGAGCAAGCATACCTTGGGCCATTCGGGTGGTAAAAAGGGTGTCTCAATATTGTGTGTGTTTTATTGATGAAATTGCTGTCCTTTGAACTTGCTTCACAGAATTGTGCCTTACAGTACTCAGCACTGCTCGAAACAGTAGAAACACCTAAGTAAGTGTCTTCTTTTTTAATTCTTCCAAAAGGCAACGAAGTGTAGCAATGATCAAACTGTCCTTAGACGTTGTGGATTTCTAACAGTGTGTGAAAGTGACTGTAAAAGTTGACAAGTTTCTTACATTAACGAGAAGTTTTTGGCCGTTTCAAAAGTATGCTTCTTGATGCTTTTAAGCCAGTTTTCTTTTTTTCCTCTGGAAAGAAATGCTTCCAGGTGACTCAGGGTTACCCACTGCATCTCATTGGGTTACCCACTTCATCTCATTGGGTTACCCACTTAATCTCATTGGGTTACCCACTTCATCTCATTGGGTTACCACTGCATCTCATTGGGTTACCCACTGCATCTCATTGGGTTACCCGCTGCATCTCATTGGGTTACCCACTGCATCTCATTGGGTTACCCACTGCATCTCATTGGGTTACCCACTGCATCTCATTGGGTTACCCACTGCATCTCATTGGGTTACCCGCTTCATCTCATTGGGTTACCCACTGCATCTCATTGGGTTACCCAGTGCATCTCATTCTTGTCAACAAATCTGAATATTTATCACCACTCTCTCGTTATCCTCAGGCGGAAGCGAAGCGAGAGGGGCGAGGTGGTGGAGACGCCCGGCGACCTGATCGTGCGGAAGGTGACCAAGGAGCGCATCGCTGAGCTCAAAGTCCAGCTGGAGGAGGACAAGGCCAGATATCGGCAGCTGAAGCTGGAGATTGAGGAGATCCGCAGCGGTGGGGCAGACGACCGTCTGCAGTCCATGTGGGAAGAGGTCCAAGAGTAAGTCCTTTATATTCTTTTCTATTCTTTATATTCGATATTGTTGTTTGTGGTTTTAGTTTCGAAGTACAGTGCAGGTCCCTTCCAAATTGTTTAAGGGTCTGTCCAGTGTACACTAACAATTCTTTTGGGAGAAGAACCCATGAAAGTTCACCTTTGTCTTTATTTTAAACTCAAGTTTCAAGTTTTGTTTTGCTGTTTAAAAAATTATTTTCATGCCTCTTGAATTTGTGTGAAAACAGATTTTTATATTTCTGAGCAAAGCTCTGATGCCATACAGACATGGTTACTTTTCCTGCGTTGAAGACGAGTATAGGGTTGCACAAAACAGTGCATCTTTGAAAGATTCCTTTGAAAAAACCCTTTGAGAAACCTGAAGATCTTACAGATGATCAAGATGGAAATGTAATTCTAGGCATACACGCGTTACAAGCAAGATTCCATTATCCTGTTGTAATGTAACATGGTGTGACATTAAACTGTGACACGACCATCACCCAACACAAGGCCAAGAGGGCCTCCCCCAAAGGATTTGAGAAAAGCCATCAGAGTAGAAGAAAAAGATAAAAATGTAAAAAAACAAAACCACTGCAAGGTGCTCGTTGCTAAAATATGCCAATCTGAACAATTAAAGGGTTTGGATTCCAGCTGAATTTATTTTTCTCAAAGGTATTTTTGTCTTTCTGAAAGATTCCAATAGGATAAAAAGGTCAGGTCCTCTTTCGTTGTCAGATGTGAATACAAGAGGACCAGATTAGAGACACTGTCATAATATCTCCCCCACCCCTCAACCCCCTCGACATTCAGAACATTTTCAGGTTTTTTCCAACTTGCATGTATGATGATTCATCTAGAGATGTCACCAGCCTGGGATGTATTGGATCAGTGTGTCATCACCCCATTGTGAATAATCCGAGGCTGTTCAAACTTTGCCTGTAAAAATGTCGTCATCTTGAGATTGAATATGTTAGGATGTCCACCAGTTGGACAGCACTTCCACTGGTACCGGGGTAATAGGATTTGACCACGTTATTTGTGTATGTAATAAAAGGCCGAGAGACTATGAGCAGAAACACATGTACATGTACTGTATGTGTACATTTCATATTTACCGGTACACGAAAAGGTTTGCGTTGATGTTTTTTCACTGGGATCACTTTGGGATTAAATGTTGTCAGAGTGAAGTGTAATCCCTTTCCAAGAAATAATTATCCCCATCGCAAGATTGGATGGCACCAGTGGTCCACTCAGTGGCAGCACCTTGCATATCATTACGCAGAACAAATGCATGCATGAACGCCTGCCAGTCGATCGTGTATAGAGTACCGAAGCACGACATCATTTGAACCAGGAAGTGTGGCGCAAACAAAAGGACTACACGTGTTGTTGGTTCACGCGCTGGTTCCCGCAGTCATGTCTTTTTACACATACATAATTATGCGCACGATGGTTTCACTGCGGTACTCTGTATCACAGCACAGCGGTGGTAGATGTAATCCAGATGATGATATCTGTTGAGTAGTTAAGCGTTTTATTGACATTTCAGAGAGAAGCGTGCAGCCAAAGAAGCCGAGGAGACACAGAAAGCAGCCGCAGAAGCCGCTAAAGCAGCTGCTGTAGGTAAGCCGGCTTCCAAATTTCAATAACCTGCTTCCTGGTGCCAGGAACAATTTTATCTTCAAGGTGAGGGGCTCATATGTTTGTTCTCGGTTTTTTAATGATTTTTGGGAAGCAATCTGGTCATATTTTAGTTTCTCTCAACTTCAGTAACAGTTTCAGATCTTGCCATCTCTCTAAAATTTTCACTGATACCTCCTGACACCTGATAAGTACGTACAGAGTGTGGTTCATGATTTGAGGATTTGGAAAGAGGGCTACCTGTCTTGTGGACTGTTTATTTTGAATCAAGAAAGCCCATTCCTTGCCGTGCTCTTAACACTTTCAAGATTATGTCGCAAGTTAGCCATTTTAACGATTGTTTTATCTGTAGTAAAATTGCATCCCTCATGTGGAAGTTTGGACTGCAGTTTCACGAAAATTAGTGCTCACTTCACAGACCACATGGTTGTCACAGAAAATTGCAATGTCGTTTTGTTTTTTTGTTTTTTTCTGCAAGTTTCCTGAAGAGTCAGGTCAGTGTTTATATCCATTGGAATTCACCAATTGAAACCTCCTTTACAAGTGGGAACTATTTGGTCCCACAATCTCGTCAGTTGTCATGGTATTTTTGGGTCTCTTCGATGCTTCCTAAAAGACTTAAAGAATCTCCGGTCATTTCTCATTTTCACCCAGTCAAACCAACCAGCAAGCCCAACTTTCAGTCGCCCAGCAAACGTCGGCCACAGGTGCGCAATCCTCGCGTTGGAACTCGCACCCAGTCAGAGACCTCATCGGTCGGTGACAGCGTAGAGGTGGAAGACAGTGTGCTAGCCTCACCAGTCAAGGCAAGAGCCTGACTAAGGAAATAAGGGACAGATACACCATTCAACGTACACTGGAATGAGCAGACTGGTTCAAGGAGAACCAGAGGTGTCAGATTTCCTTGTCCACTCTCAAGATTTGTAGCCAAATGAAAGAGACAACACATTGGTATCAAAATAATTTGGGGTGACATATCACACATGCATTCAAGTTTATGCCTTTCAACCATCTGTTCGAGCATTCTCAACAAGTTTTCATTGGAATCGAATATTTGCGTGGGTGCTGGGCACCTTCTTGGCACTGTCATCCCATCGGCCTCTCTCTCTTGGGCACGTGAGGGCGGTACCTGTTCATGAGTAGATAGAACCTCTTTATCTGGGGTCGCCACTTCTCACTAATGCCGACAAGTACCTTGCACTGTTAACATACGGTACATGTAAATGATAGTGTACTTTGTTACCTACATGTAGCTATGACATCCATATCGAGGACGGTATGCAGTTTTTACCTGCAAGTCTTAAAGTTGGTAACGTGATACACGTTCGAAATCTAAGTCACCGTAAATCGGGTAAATTTTCAGCGCAGGTTTTCTTCAGTCATAATTCCATCAGTCGCCACTTGTTTGGAAAGAAATACGGTATGATGAGGTTTGGGCAAAATATACGTACCAGGTGACTGCTTATTTCTCATGAGGTGGATACATAAACCAGTGAGATGGGAGAATCAAATGGTAATATGTCAAAAATACCATCTTGGAGTGCCGTGCGTATGGTATGTTCAATGAAATTTCTTTTGGAGAATCCACACTAGCCGCTTCTGATTTTAGTGTACTAACCACTGGAGGTTTTGCCGTGAATCTTAAATTTCATGGCGTGCTTGGATATCTTTACCATTTAGGCCTACGTTGCAAGTAAGTACAACCGCCTTGCATGTCTGTTTTTTTTCCATAACAGCTTACTGAAGAATCGGGGTCAGGTCCTGAAGACATAGCAACCAAACAGAGTGAAAACTCAGCCACTGACTTCTTGACGTCGATCGTGGCAAACGAGTTACAGAAGGAAACAGAAACAGCGACAGTAAGGATAATCTCACTTCTGTTTGAGTTCGAGATTTTACTGTGGTTCCTTTCCCGGGCAGCTATTTTTATTGAGAGCTTTGAGGATCTTTTCTCTCATCTTAAGAGCTTCATTTAACATCAGTATTTGTGATGTAGCAGTCTTGTACGCTATTTGCCAGTACTTTCTCTTGGCATCAATTAACAATTGTTGACCACTGTGGTGTGGAATATGACGTTGTGGACACCCGAGGGAGGCATAGCACCCCGAGGTAATGCATCCCTCGCGTGTTCAGAATGTCATATCCCACACCACAGCGATCAACAATTGTTTTGTCATACTTCGGTCTTAAGGAATTTATTCAAAGAAACAAGCTGAACAATTTCAGAAGATGATGGGCCTACTGTAAAACTGTACAGTTAACGTATGTAAATGACATTGTTTGCAAATGCACTGTCCCCTCCTTTTGTTAAATGCGTAAATGCTAATGTGAAACTAGTGCGGGTACCATTGAGTACATTTATATAGTCTGGTTAGCGGTCCCCGCATTACCTTATACACTGCGGGCACGGGAACGAGTCTGTTATACAAGCGCAGTCATTGATCAAATTCCCCGGTAGCCCATTCACAAAACGTATATTGGGTACCGCGCCAAACTTCCCAAAGCTCTTGTTTCGTGTGCGTACATATGTGCGTGCACGCACCATCAGTAGAATGAGATGTCTCATGGTGAGTGTGACATGTGGATATGTCACCCTGTCATATGATCATTCTGGACCAACACACAGGAATAACAAATCACTTTGAACCATCATGTTTTGCCCAGGTATTAAGGTTTGTGATTTTTGTCATATTTCTCAATGATAAGTAGACGGTAACTCGACCAAATTTGGTCGCCATTTTGTTGTTTAGTTTTGTCAACTCTGTTGCAGTGATCCCACAGAGATCATGTTGCATGACTATGGGGCATCTTCAAAGTGGGTGTCCCTCTTTGTATTGCAAAAAAGTAAAGACGTACATGCTGATAGATGTATTTGACCTTGCAGAATCAAGAAGAGGAGGTTGCCGCAGAGGAAGACAGTGAAGAGACAGCAGAGAGATTGCTTGCAGGTGAGTCTTGAAGGGCACGCCCCCGCCAGGCTCCTGCCAGAGAACACCCCCCCCAAACAAACCAGTTGCTTTAAGCCTCAGCCAGTTTGTATCCGAAACACAGCTGTCAGTGGCAGTAGCACAAACATTTATGGAAGCTGCTGGCTAGCAGCAGGGCCCACGTGCCATAAACGTGTGTGTTAAGTTCCAGAGGCCAGTTGATCCAAAGGCAGCCCAAGTACACAGGCTGTGTTGATCACAGGGGCATCCACTCCACGCAAGAGCAAGAGATGACATGGTTTGACATAGGGAGGATGTCCCTTTTGTAGGAAAGTGCCGCTTACGGGCACAAGTTCATGCGCATTTGGTCGGTGACCCGCTGAGGAAGTACAACCAATTTCTATTCAGCCTATGCCTGTGCACTTTGTCTCCTCCTTCCCTACGAGGGACGCTGTTAGTCAGAGCGGATGCAATCACGGGACGACATGTGTCACTTCCTTCACCAAGAATGTATACCAGAAATCAACCGCAGCATTGTGCCTTTTAAATGTTTGTGTGTGCCACTCTCATTTATGTTGGTAACCATGCCAAATTACCCAACAGAAAGAGAAACAACAGAGTCATAATTTGCACCCCAGTAGACATGTAACAAAATAATGTCATGGTTTGTTTACATGTGCGCTTTCTTATGGCTGCGAGGTTGGCGTGTTCCGCATTGCTGCTATAGGAAAAAAACGCACATGTAAAAAAGAATGACGTTATTATGGTTTATGTCTAATATTTTTACATGAAGCACTGCTAGGATTAAAGACAGGTCTGTCAGTCCTTCAAACATGTATGTGCAGCCTGTATTTCTTCTTTTCCTAGAGCCGCACCTCCTCTCGTTCTGGTTTTCACTCAGTATGTACCTTACCCATTCCCTGTAGCCACTGCCAGCGATCTGGTTGAGCTGCTGAGCCCCTACCCTGTGGACTCGCCATCTTCCCAGAGTGTGGACGAGAGCTCGTTGCCCGCCTCGGAGCATGGCACTCCCGTCCCGAGGGTCAAGGAACCCCTCATACTGAAGATCGAGAAGGGCATGGTCAAAACCAGAGAGGTGAGCCCCAAAGGATTAGCAGCTTAAACCCCAAAGAATGAGGAATTTTCTTTCGTCATATTTTTTTTTACCAACTCCTTCTTTGATTAATGTCTTACTTTCCCCTAATTGTTACCTTTACATTGAGCTAATGGTTTCACAGAAATCTGATTTCAGAGAAACGATGACAGATGCGTGGTGGCCAAAAGACGGAATGAATATCTGTTTTCGTTCAATAACAGGGCTGTAGTCGAATCTGTCACAAGTCCAGCCACAAGCCCAATCAAAGGATGAATGACGAAGGAGTAACTTTTGTTACGGTTCATTTGGTTAGCCTGTGTCGCGGCTCACGACTGGATGACTTGTGGTGCACTTGTGAAAGATCCGTGATGGGCTTGCAGGGACTTGTGTAAGATTCGACCACAGCCTTACCTGAGAACCAAGAATAACCACCATAGTGGCGGTGCAAACCGTGTGGTTCCATGGAAGACACCGGATATCGACATCTTTGGAGATGTCACTTTCTTGATAGTTTACTCGACGAGCCCTTCCATGTGAACGGAATGCATTGTAATGGGGTATACCCAATATTCTGTTAAGTACAACTGAGTGAAATTTCCATTTTGTGACCTTTTATTGTCTGAATGTGTTATCTTGAACATCATGCAAAAGTCCAAAGTAGAAACCAAAGTGCCCGAGACTGAAGAAAGCCACGAAACAGAGATGATAAATGTGGATGAGCCAGTTAGCGACCGCCAACCAACAAGTCTTCAGGTAGTTCAGTTTAGTTCTCCCCAGTTTTGTCAGTTGTCAGAGACAAGTTTCCTGTGTATCCCCAAATAGTCAGTGTTTTTGTTTTTTTTAACCAGAACTCATGCCATTGTTGTAGCTGTCATACTTGTACTCGGATACATGTCTGGACTTGAACTCATAACTCACACTCATTAAATAAGCCATTGCCTTACAACTTAATGGTGATAGGCCTTGTATTGGTATTCGTGTTACCCCAGTGCTACAGCTGTAGTTCCTACACTCTCACTTCGACTCTCAAGAAAGGCTTAACTCATTTCTTTTTAATTTCCCTTTATCCATTCAAGTGTAATTGTCTTGCCAAAGTAGAACGACCAAAATTATTGACCAATTTTACCATGCTCTCATTGGAAACCTTATACTTGTGTATTGAAAAGATAGAGTACTGAAGGCAGCCTTATAAAGAGTAAAACAAACCCTAGCCAGTTGCATTCATCATGGTCTGGCAAGTGTGATTGGCCAGGCCCATGCTGACAAGAGTGTAATTTCAAAGTAGCAGAGCCAATAGAAATTCGTCTTGAAGAATTTTTTGTTAGATGCAGAGTTTGGAATTGAGACGTTTGTGGGAAGACCTGACGAAAAAAAATTCTTGAATCCTCCCATTTTTGACAAGTTTTAACCCATTGCAGTAGTGAGTCATATACATGTACATGTATCTTGCTTTGTTCACATAGATCGGTAACCTTTGTAGTATACATGTAGATTTCACGGCCTTGCTATAGTGTCAAAAGAATGTTCTAGCATCGTTAACCCTGACTTCAACTAGAGCTACAAAATGCTACTTGTAGTAAATTGTAGTGTGCACTTTCCAAGCTGTTTTTGTTTCAGGTGTTTGTTGTATACATATATAGATAGGCAGCAAGGTCGCCAGTACATGTCTATGTGACTTTAGAGACTGTGAGTAACCTCAAGAGGATCCTATTTCCTGAGGCAGGGGGCCTAGAGGACCCCTTTCTGGTCACCCATGGGCCCAAGTGGGACGTGAACTAACCGAATTATGCCAGTCCAGTTTATAAGACACCTCTGTTTAAACTGTAAACTTAGAAAAACTTTTCAGGGTTTTGCAACCGAACTGTTTTAAGTCAACCATTAACTCAAATGCAATTTAGCATGTAATATACCAATTAGAAGAACACTTCTGTTTTCCCTAGATTCAGTTTTTGAGAACCGTGAACCATTCGCATAATGTGAGGGCGCTGTAACCAGTCAAAAATTATGAGTATAACTGGGCACTGTACTCTGGAATTTACACATGCGCGATATGTTGACGCTGATCCAATTCACGCTAATACAAAGTTCATGCACTGACCCGTATTAGTGAACCCCATGTGACCATATTTCAGCCAACCAGGATAACAAAGCAGCAAGAGACGTGTTCAATGTTTTCTGTACCTCAGTGGTATCTCAACCAAAAAAGCATGATCCTGACGCGTCTGTCTGGTAACTTGACATCACAGTCAAATAGACTCAGTATTACGGGAGTACCTTTTTTATGGTCCTATCCAAACCAACTGGCTGCGGCTGGAAATAACATAGCAAGGGTCTATGAAACGTAGCCATAGCCTCTAACTGACAGCCTCTACAGTTGCCTGTGTTATATACAGCTGCTGCCCTGTCAGACATGGCTTATATCCCTCTGGGGGCTCCATGTTTTCCTACGTGAGCTTTGGCTGCCCAAAAGGTACATACTTGGTGTTACGTACATTAAACACTGTCACTTTGTGATAACATTGGTAATATCTAACAAAAACCTGGTCACTTTTTTTCAGGCCAAGTCAAGAGTTGATCATGGAGTTCAGATTTTTTTGGGGGGGAGAGAAAGGAATATTAGTTTTTGCTATGAGACAGTTTTTAAGATTGCTTTGTTCCTGTATGACCAGGCCGGTGCTGGCAATCCAGTTATTGGCAATAGTGCACCGAGGGGATCAGTTGAGTCTCCCCAAGCATCAGGCCAGCAAGGTGGTACTTGCTCAGAAAGTGGCCAGCCATCAGATGTCTTCCAGACAAACAATCAAACAGAGCTATCATCAGCTAGTAGCACTTACCCAGCAACACCCACTCAAGGGATAGCTCATGACGAGCCCTGCACTGCCCCTCAACCTCCCAAACAGGCCACACCAAAGTCCAAGTTCCGATCGCCGACAAGGAAGAGCCTGAGCCCGGAGGAGCAGAGGGCCATCACCCAGAAGCTGGACGCGGCCCTCTACAACCCCCAGGAGGGAGGCGATGCCGGCGATCCATCCCCTTTAAGATGGCTGCGCTCGGTCCAAGACCGAAAGAAATCCAAGCTGGAAGCCCCACTTAAATGCCAGGAGCAGGTGGCGCAGTCTAAAGAAGAGCGAGAAACCAGCACCAACCAGATGGTAGATGAAGCCAAGAAGTTTTTGCCGAAAGAGGAGGGGGCAGTCGTTCTTGAAACAAAGAAAAGGAGCAACAAGAAACAGAAAACTGAGGAATTAGTCCGCAGCTTCAGAAATGTGGGCCCGCCAAAAGTGGACCTCACCCCTAATGGAAAAAAGGCCAAAGCAGAGAGCATTACCACACCAAAAGCTGCCGATTCTGACCCGAGCAGGACAGAGTCGATTGTTACCCCATCCAGAAAGAAGAGCCCTCGCAAGGCTACTTCCAATACCAAAAGTGCGGCTGAGGTATACAGCCTTTTTGGGCACAGTTTCTGGGTTTTTTTTGTTGTTTTTTTTAGTTTTTGAGACATTATTCACATGTTCTGTTTGCTAGTCACCATCACGTTCAGAGGAGAAGAGGTCGCTTATTAACTGAGAGAGTTCGTGTTTGTCTCCAAATTGTTCTTCAGATTTCTGCACATTTTTGTCCATGCTGTTGACTTGTTGGGGGATTTATCACCCTTGATGACACAAGTACTTACATGTAAATGTTTGTTATTTTATTTCCAGTGTCATTTTACATTCTTAGTTAACTTCAACACGTTTCAGGGTTTGCTCGATATTTATGCATGCTCATTACTAACATGTTTAATGTAACTTTCATTCGCATGGGTATTCATTATTATATAACATCACTTTTTTGTCTTTTCACCAACCGTACATGTAATTTCCCATCAGAGAAGCGTCACAGCTCCATCAAGTCCTCAAGTAAACCTCAGTGTTAGTTGATATAGGATTCAAGCCTACAGTGTAGGTACCAAGGCAGCGTTTGCTGAGTGCCAAGTTGGAAACCCAGCAACACAAACATATTTGAGAGGATGTGCACCTGAGTGCAGTCCTTTGTCAGAAGACTTAGACTTGATAACAAATCCTTTTGTAGATATGTGCACATTTTCCGCATATTTTTTTTCTCCAAATCTCACATTCCTACTCCTTATAAGAAGCCTTCATACCAAGACCACCAGCGTTCTCTCTTTTTAATTCCTAATAAGCACCACCCTGTATTCTGTTATTTGGGGCCCAGGCTTTAAGTGCATTTGGTTTCCAGTCCATACTCGCTCTCGCAGGTTTTCTCCGGGCACTCCGGTTTCCCCCTGCCTTTAAAACTGGACCTTCTTCCTAACTCCGTAATGTGATGCTGATTAATAGAATGTATGAATAAACGTACAGTTACTGGCGCAAATAACCAGAGTTGCTGAAAGCGCCATTAAAATAAAACAACAACAACAGCAACTGGTATTTGGTTGACTTTTAGAAAAGGACTCAACTGCAGCTAGCTGTGTGCAGGCAGCACAAAGCAAAAGCTCACTTTAACACCTTAGCTTCAACAACCATGCCCTCATCTATTTCTATCTTGAAATCTATTTTGACAAGATTAAAAACTATTGCGTTCAAACCTCTGTGTAGGATAAGTTGAAACTGTGCATCCTGTGTCACGTGATGTGCTGTAGAAAATCTGTTGTGTGAAGCAAACTGTAGCTGGCCTTTGCCCAAAGCACGAAGCACAGTGAGGGGAGCCAGCCATGTCAGCTTTGTTTTCTTTGATAGTCAATGATAGAGGGGTGTTTTTTGCTGAATCACTTTTTGCCCTGAATCACTTTTTGCCCTGAATCACTTTTTGCCCTGAATCACTTTTTTGTCCTGAATCACATTTTTGTCCTTGTTTATAATCAAAAATGGGCAGAAATGGGGTTACTGTCCAGTTTGGGCTGAAAAGGGCTGTCAACATTTAATGAAAACTGAAAAAAAAAATTTCCCTTGGGTCTTTTTAAACGCTGAATCATAATTAAAATAGGTTTTGAAAAGTTGACGTCATGGAAAATGCTTACTCATCCTGTAAAAGCTACTGTCATGATGGTGACTTGGCATCATCTTGTACTGCGTACGTAAGTGCTCTTTCAATGGCATTGATTAATCATCCAACAGTGAGTCAAAACCCCTGAACTAAGGGGGGGATTCCAGTAAATGTTAAACCTGGGGCCAATTTCACAGAGCTGCTTAAGCACAAAATTTGCAACCAGCCAAAATTCCATGTGATGCTTATTGTTTTGGGATCGTATTTAGCTGTTTTTTGGTTAGCATGACAATCACATAGAGGTTGAGCTGGTAACCTTTGTTTTTTTAAGCAAGTTTTTTTCACGTTTTAGCCAATTTTCTGCTTAAGCAGCTCTATGAAATTGGCCCCAGAAATATAGGGAGTCTGTCTCGTGTTGTACAAATCGGGTCAACCGTGAGAACATAAATCACCCGATGTTCCAAACTTAGCTATTCTTTTTTTGCAGATTTATCGTCATGACAGTGACAGTCACAGTTGCCATCTCCCTGTACTTGCAGTACTAATGATGAATTTTTCCGTGCAATCGTTTGTCATTGCATGCCACAAACCTGTCATTTCTTCATAATGTTATCTGCTAATATTTAGGAAGTTTGCCATTCATTCCAACCTGTGTACATGTATGTGTGCATTTTAGATTCATTCCTTATCATTGAGTTCATACGGGTAGACTTCACAATTTCTCCTGTTTTTTTGTCTGAAACCAGTCATTAACCCTAACTCCCCAAGCATTCTGGCTGGGAACTGTTTTGAATCCTCCAAAGTACCCTCCCATGAAGCAAACCAACAGCAAATACTGGGTATCAAGTCCCATGTAGAAAAAGCAGTGCCCTGGTTTACCCTTCTCAATCCTGCAAAATCCTTGAAAATCTCCTGGTGGATTTTGAATGATTTGGTTTTGTTAGGGTTAATGATGGCACTCACATTGACTTTTCTGCATTTACAATGAAAATAAACTCACAGAAACCTAAATTTTACTGACCTTGACTTGACCTGACCTGACCTGACCTGACCAGTATTTATTGTTCATTAACCATCATAGCTGTCTCTCCTCTCACAGGAAACAAACAGTTCTTTACCAAAGTCTGTTAATTCTGACAAAGTGTGCCAGTTTGCAGTTATTTGTACTACAACACAAAGTCGTGCATGCCTTCATCATTGATTTTTTAGCTGATGAATGTCCCCCCCCTCCCCCACCCGAAAAAAAATTGGTATTCCCCTGGAAAAATCCTGGCTGCACTCACGGTTGACCAGTGCCCTACAGTCATCATACTTCCAGGAATCCTTCCCCAACAGTCCTGCACCAATTACCCACTTGTGCTGAGGTCAAAACGGAAAACTTCCCAAGGCAGCATCAACGCTGTCCAATATCTGCATCCTATTGTTTTCTGTGTTAATTAACAGACAGGGTTTTTTGGGATGTTTATCTGGTTATTGTAGCAGGCTGACAAAAGTGCGGATGTGACCCCAGTGACAAAACCCAGAGCAGAGCCCGGGGAGGATGACTACCACCATATCGAGCCCCCTTCCCCTGGGGACAGCTCGTCAAGGGAAGACAGCGACATGAAGTCCAAGCGACGGGGAGCAAGAGGAAGACCCCTGGGCAGCCAGCGCAAGAGCTCCCGGATACGCACACATACTACCACGGTATTTGGCCAGTTTTCTTGTCTCTGGAATCCAAACAACTAATCTTGCTTTCATTCATAGTAAAGTAATCAAGGATTTGATTTTTCTCAATTTAAGTATTTTGATTCCAAACATCACCTTGTGCAATATGCACCGTGTGTGGGTCCATCTCCATCGGGGTAATTCCAGAAATTAGGGGTCCAAAAGTGGGATGCAACCAGCCAGTGCTTTATCAGGTGATAGTATTGCCAAATTTAATATAATATGGGATCTTTCTCATTGTTGTGGGTAGAATGATTTGGTTTTTACTGTATGCTTTATCACTAAAGTTCATTTTGTATCACAAATGAGAAGTTGCTCTCTGATAGAATGTTTTGCCCCTAGGGGAATTTGATGGGCAGATTCTACTTGCAGACATTTTAAAAAGCTGCTTTTAAAGCACAAGATTTTCAGATTCTAATCACATGAATCTCTTGCCGTAAAAAGTTAAAATCTCTCCCAACCAATTTTCCTGCAAATTTCATTGTTTTATTTTAAGGAGGTCTTCATCCTGCTGAACCATGTGAACGATGCCAGTAGTCTCAATGGTCAGTTCATTTTTTAACAAGTAAAAAACTCCCAGTGTTTAAATCCTTATTAATACAGCCTTCCTTCGCTTTTCCCACCACAGGAGGAGGAAGATGACCGTGCACTGGATACTCCCTCTGGAAGGAGATCGTCCGGCAAGGATGGCACGGCCAGCAGCATTGTGTCACTGATGGATGAAGACAGCAAGGACACGCACAGTGAGGCTGGAGACTCGGACGTGACCGACAAGCCCTCGGAGAGTGACGACCTGTCCGCATCGACCGGTGCCCTGCAGTCGTCATATTTCCTGGACTCCCTTCCCAACAGTCCTGCATCGGTGGCACAGAGGTATATCATTGCTGTTTTGAGTTTGGCTACTTTCATGTACTTGCGTTGCATGTACACAGAAAGAAACAGGCAGAATCTGGGTTATTTTTACAGCCAGCCAGAGTTTGCAGAAAGTTCACCCATGATTTGTAGAAAAGTTACCCTTATATTGCTTATTTTGTTTCAACGATGGAGACATTTTCATTCAATATTTTCTAGAATTATTTATTATTTTGATATTTCAATACTTGCATAAGATATTCAGTTTTCCTTTTTGTGAAGTGCTCTGCTGGTCTTCACACCCACAACCAGCCTTAGCTCAGCCAATATGGCTTGCAGTAACAGATCTTGTGACATAGAAAAAGAATGGTCTGTTATTCTGTGTTTGTGAGTTTGATGTTTTGAGAACCTTATACAACTTCACAGACCATTTTTGAACTGTGTTCCTTCTTGCAGCGAGGAAGACCATGCCTACAAGACGTGGCGTAAGGCCATCATGCTTGTCTGGAGGGCAGTCGCAAGCCACAAGTGAGTACCAGTCCTTTCCTATGTTGTAATGGTAGACATTTGCGATCTGGTAATGTGTCTACTTAAGTTATCCCTAGATGTCGAACTGAAAGATATAACAAATCTACAGTCCCCTCACTGGCAAAGTTCTTCATAAGGGATTCCTTTTTTCCCCTGTACATTTTTACTTGCCTCCCAACTACTCTGTTCTTCTTGTTATTTTCTTTAACTGGTTTCATTTTTAAATATAACTATCTGTTTTAGGTTACATAATTATTTTATGTATTTGTATTCAATTTTGTTTATGTTTCATTTTGTAATGACTATAATTCAGCCCTTCTTGCTGCCCTGTATCAGTCTTTTATCAAATATATAAATAAACCAATTAGTGATAATAATGCATTGAGATGAATGACCCCAACAAAGAAAATAAGATTGGACAACAATGCAGCCAAATCTTCAAGAGAAAGCCAAGCATGTACAAAGTTAATGAGTTAACTCTAAGGAGAGCAGTCCTCTTGCTCTACCGGAGACTTTAGAAGGTTTGTCAAGTAAAAACCTCTGCAAACCGTGCATAACAAAATAACATATACATTAATGAACTATATGCCGTGTAAGATGTTTATTTTGAGGGACCAAGGAATGTTTGGTGGGCATACAGTGCATGTGTCACACTAGGCACTCGCTGGCACTACGAGTCCCTGTGTAATATCACAGTGGACAGTGAAAGACCTCCTTCCCAGGATTTAGAAACGGCACATAGTCAGTTGAGGATTCACAAAGCCAATCCATAAGGCGTACCAGGTTTCACTGAAGCTTGAGTTACCAGAGGCTCAGGATGAGAAGCCAGTCATTAGAATCACTGATTTCATTGTCCTTTTACTTTAAAAGAAAATCAAAATGGTGGAGAGTGAATCCCAACCCCCCTCAATCCATCACTTCCAATTCTGTCACTGGTAATTTGGAGGTTCTTACATTCAAAAGACTATCCTGTCATGATTTTTTTTCTTTAGCAGCGAATGTTTCTTTAGGGAGAGAAGTTCAGAGTTACCGAAAAAAAAGTGAGCCAAGATCGTTTGATGCAAGCGCCTGTTGATGAACTAGAATGTGCTTTTCTCTGGCCTGACTGCCGTTATCCCCAGATTATGCATTCCCTTGGCCCAACAGGTATGCCAATGTGTTTCTCCACCCCGTGACGGAGGACATAGCGCCGGGTTACAAGAGCATCGTGATGCGTCCCATGGACTTGATCACTATCAAGAAGAACATTGAGAATGGCATGATCCGGACTACGGAGCAGTTCCACCGCGACATGATGCTCATGTTCCAGAACGCCATCATGTACAACAATGCTGACCAGCATGTCCACCAGATAGCCACCGTCATGCAGGCAGACGTGGTCAAACAGATTGAGGTGAAGAGAGTCTTCGCCCTGCTAGTCCATGGGTTCATTGTGATTTGTCTTTGTCGAGACTTAACCTAACTGGAAGGGGCCAGTGCTGTAATCAAGTTTGATCCAGTCGCAGGTCGTTTTGTAAATAATGGGAACAAAATCATAAGTATCGTTCATGTGCTTGTTTTGAGGACTGAGACTGGTTGACTCAACAATTAGTGGTCGTTCTCAAGTCTAGTAACTTGAGGGGATTCTAGGAGTTTGGACTTGTTACAAAACACTCTAAAATGTTCTTCAGAGGGAAAAGAACTCCAGATAATGTGCAGAGATCATTGATCTTTATCTACAATTACTGGATAACGCATGCCCATGTAGCCTTGGAGAGACAAATAGGGCTTCTGTGGCTTACTTTTATAAGCTGCAAAGAGGGCTGCCAACACACTCCATGCAGGGCAAAAATTGTAAACTAACAAGTATTCATGCCGCACCAAAAAGCATGGAGCAATAACTAAATCATTTGTGTTAACCCTAACCCCCAAGGGTATATATAAAATTGTATTGAAATTGGAGGATTTGGGACTGTTAGGGTTAATAAAGAGAAATTTTCAATTAAATACCCATGGCATAAATATAAAAAATGGCCTGCGAGGGTTACGACACAAAATCCCTCTCTAAGATCTCCCAGTTAGACATTGTTAAGGTCTTGAGCACGAAAGGGTTTCCTAAGATGGCACCTGGGACTGTCCATTTGTTCGATCTCAACATACTATATCTAGTTGGCATATGGCAATTACTGGAAGAGACAAACAGTCTTCCTACAACCAATTTCCAACTGATTGAAGCCGAATACGTAGAGTTTTCTGTACGGTGAGGAACGTACTTGAGTGTAGCAGCGCACTAGGAATAGTGCGCAAGTGTTCATCAGTGGCTGAAGTGTTCTGCATTTTTACTTTTTGTAGGGGGATGAAGCTAGGCATAAAATGAAGAGCACTAAAACTCCAGTGCTGTTTGTACAGATTTCCAGTCATGGCAGTGCTTGTTTCTATGCCAACCCATTTCCAGGGTTCTGATTTGTCTGTGTTTGTGTATGACAGGAATTTGTGTCCACTCAGCTGTTGGTACAGCAGCCGGACTCTACCAAAATGCTGAGGGGGAGAGGCAAACAGGGACAGGGGGTGAGTTGAGACGTTCAAAGCCCCAAATTCAGTCACAGCTAAGAACATGTACAGTCGAACCTCGTTAATAAGAGCACTGTTAATACAAGAGTCTGCTTATAACAAGGAAAATCGTAGGTCCCAATCCTTTGTTTATCATTGTTTTCATTCCTGATAATACAAGGTTCCTGTTATAACAAGGTAATTTGCCAAGTCCGAAGGGCCTCTTATTAACGAGGTTCGACTGTACTCTATGACCAGCTTGTTGATCCTTTATAGTTTATCTCTTTACAACTCAACCAGCAGTACCCAGCTTGGCATCCATTGTGTTTCTGTGTGTGCTCCACTACCTCCACCCCCTTTTCTTATCCTTCATTTTCTCAACTAAATCGCTCAGTTCATCAGTGATGGTCAGTCTTTTTCAAAAGCCTCAGTTTAGTTTTACACCTGAATTTATTCATCCATGAGCAGGATGACCGTAACGTAAACTCAAAAATTGTAATTATAATTTTAAAATCCTAAATTGTAATTTATATTTCAACACCATTATTACACCATTTTACTGAGTTTACTTTGAACTGTGTGTATTTGTGTATATTTATTTGTGTGAGCAGTCTGTTGACCCAAAAAATTATGTAGCTTAGCTTTGTGTATTTTATTACTTTTAACACGTTTGCCCCTGCTGAACTGTCTTCAGCAGGTGCCCCAAAATAAAGCCATGAATGAATCCTTTACTGAAATTTGGGTCCTTCCGCATGTATCACATTTTCAGAAATACAGTTAACTGGAAAACCAATTTCCCTTTGTTGTATAAACAGGAAGAGGAACGTTCACGGCGGAGTTCTACCGAAGCGGACACCTCAGGAAAGAAGAGACGAACAAGGGCTGACGAGAACTAGAGAGGGAGCTAATGCTGTTGGCAAGCAGCAAAGACCAGCCTTGGTGTGGGGTGATTCCAGGGGGCAGGCACTTGACCCCTCCCCCCCAAAAAAAACAGATCTGAATTTTGTCCAATTGCAAATCATGCTTTCAGGGTCCAGCCATACCACCCCATTACGTTGGTGTTCTGGTATTATCGTTGCCTTTCACTGCTTCGACCTGAGTTCCGATCCCTCGTAGGCCAACATGTGTAATGAGTATTCACCTAGTCCATATTGGGAACAATAGTGCTGGGGTTATCCTCACACCTCAAAAACTGGACATTTCTTCTTCTGTTTCCTCAGTCTCTTGAGCTACAGTGTCTCTGCATTTCTGAGGAAACCCCATTTTTCTCAGTAGACAGAAATAAAGTAACCAAATGTAAACATATTCTGGTCCTAAAATGTGATCCTTGCTTGAATAAGCATGTTTTGAAGTCTATTGTCTTTTTGAGCCCTTGGTATTACACTTTAATGCAAAGTACTACACACCATTTTTGTTTCCACTCCAGGTGAAACATTATGTTTGAAATAAGGCAGTTTTTTTCATCTGGAAGTTCTGGGTTTTTTTTAAGTTCACAAACCTAAACTTAGTACAGGTTACAGCAAGGAAATGATTCATCAGAACCTAAAGAACCCAAAGTTGCAATGAGAGTGGAATAAGTAATTTTGGTTGGAAATGTAGCAAAGTGTTTGGACACACTGTGTATTCGTGTTGGGCTTTTAACAAGTATTTGAGATCAGGCCACAAGTTTTTGTGTCTTACCAAAAAGGTTTTCTTGAAAGTTGTTGGTAAATACTTTAGAGTTGGCTTGAAATAAATGTCGGTTGAAAGTCAAACTTGCTTTGTTTTTGATATATGTGTTGGGTGATTTTGTACTGCTTTTTGAAAATCTCCACTAAACTAATCCAGAGCATTGGTGTGTGCGCAAAGGTGGTGGGGCTGTCATGGGGGTGGGGCTGAGGCTAGGATTTAACCCCCACAAAGCTTGTGATGCTCAAGCCCCCCTCCTCCGCCGCACCCCAGTTGGAACAGGGAACTGGGATTTACAGCCGTATCAGAGCTTGGAATTTAAAGATGTAGGTGAATATCATATCTTCATATCCACTCTTTACTGTCTGATCGAGTTTCTTCAGCTATCTGAGTTTCTATCTGTACTACCACATGGCTAAGCAACCTTTTTGCTAATGGCATAAAGGGCACTAGCGTATGCCATACATACCATTAATTCTACAAAAAACAACAACATATCTTCAGTTTTAGAAAGTAAAAAAAAAATTCAGGGGAACCCTTATCAGGTGCACCACTCATCCTGAGTGATGTATCAAAAAGTGTTATTATTTTAATTATTATTCAATTTACCTCATTTGTAAATGTTAAATCAAAGCCATCAAAATGTAAGAGGGCAATGTCATTTAAGAATTTTAAGATTTTTTGGATTTGAATCAAGCAATGCCCTCCATACTAAAAGGCCTCTGCTGTCTAATGCATCTCCCCCCACATAATTTTTAAAAGCAAAACGATCAGAAATAGATAGTGAATTTAAATTGGTCGCGAATGGATCACGCTATATGCTACAAGCGTGCATGTAGTCATTCACGCGTCGAGCGTACGTGTGATGTTGCCAGGCCACAAAAAATGATGGATAACGGTGATCTTTCCCACGGTTGATGTGTTGTGTTCTTGGGTGTGTAATCTTGGGTGCAAGGATGGATAGCCACGATGGTACTAAATGCAAGTTATTATAGGAGATGTGTTCTGTTTGGGGGACAATGAAGCACTGTGTCCATTCGCATGTGCTACTCTCTTCACTCTGACCATGACAGAGCCCCCCCCCCGGGTTGTTTAGCTTCTGTTCGTGCATCCGGCTATGCTCGTGGAACATGAGTAACATGCTCTAATCACCGTCCCTACTGCGATCGCCATTGCTGTTTATATAAAACTCTTATGCTATTGTCTCTTCTCATCTGCTGTTCAATCTTGTCAGTACTTCTCAACGGAACTTGGTGTGAATAATATCTTGAAATTTAACTATTCAACAAAAACCCCAGTGCTTTACAAATCGCAGGTTTCTCTAGTGAACCAGTTTGTCAATAATTTTCCTTGCAATAACTTGCTGATGTTCAAGTGTTTCAATTTGTCAGTGTTTTATTTTATCTAGCAATAAAATATGCATATGTTACACCTGAAGAAGGTTCCAGTATAATCTAAGACCACGGTAGGCCCATAAAAAACAATTGTCGCCTGCTGTGACGGAGTGCATGGGTTTTGTACACCCTCGGGGGCAAATGGCACTCCAGTGTACAAAACACCATGGACTGTAGGCAACAATCGCAAATGTGAGCATCTCAGCTCAGCTCCGGTGAACTCATTCAACTCACGCACCTCTGCGGGGGGGGTGTCATGCGTTATGAAGCCGCGTTTTTATCTATTTCGCTGGTGTCCGTCAAGTTAGTGCTGCGGGATAAAAGAGGCAGTGTGTGACCCTTGTACCGATCGTAGAATGCCTGCGCGGACAACCAGGGAGTACATCGATCGTGTATTTGCACTACAAAAAAGTACAAGGAAAGGGACATCATGTCAAGACGCGGAAGTCGACCGCCAAATACTTCGCTTTATGTGCGAAATATACCTGACCATGCACGGTAAGTATTAAATGTACACTCTGAAGGATAAAAAGAAATAGTTATATGTTCATCATGCATCTGTCAAGATACAAAAATTGCGATAGAATTGAGTCGATTTTTTAACGTGTCGAAAATACACGGAAACGGGGTAAGCTTACACTTCATATTTCACTGGTCTCCATAGAATTTTTCAGACCAGTCTTATAGGGTTTGTGCACAGGGTGTCGATGTCAAGTGGCGTCCTTATATGGAAGTTCTTTTCAACTTTCCCTTGCTCCTCTATTTAATGTCCAATTTCAAAATTTTTGAAATTTGAACTGAAGCCAGCATTTGATTAATTGAAATATGTTTTCCTTAGAGGTGCTCTTTAAAAAACATTAAAAAGACAATGTGATGTAGCCTAGGCCAACATAAAAGAACAAAGATTTTACAAAAATGTGAGTTCTGAGGTTTTCAGTGAAAATCCACTCACATTTTGTCGTGTTTATGTACAAAATAATTACAGTTTGCTCTCCATTACACATGTGCAAAAAACAACTCAAAACATCCCCACTTTAAACCGATTTTTCTTTGCTTTGCGTAATCTGATGGAATCCAAATATATATCAAAATATGGAAAGAGTTCCATATACGGACGCCACTTAACACCCATTGCACAAATCCAAGGGACTGGTCTGAAAAATTTGAAGTGTTTTCTAAGTAAACCTCTTGGTCTTTTCCCTCCTAAAATGAACTTTTCTGGACATGTTTTTGCTTTCTGATGGCTAATACATGTAGGTCACTGTATGGAATAATTAGTGTCCGTATATAGGACTATTCCCCGAAATAATTCTTACATCCTCTTCAAGGCAACTTCAAAATGAAACAGAAAAAACATGGAAAAATTCATTTTGGTTAGGTTGTCATGGTCACCTCCAAACTGTGGATTCAGCATGTTCAGGGCAAGACAGTGTATGAGCTATTTTGAGTGAAATACAGGAAAAGCCTATATGAACGGTAGGCTTAGGCCTGCTTGGACTGTGGGCCAGCCTTCGCCTGAGCATATCGAGATGTTTTTTAAAAAACTGATTAGTAGAGGCCAAGTTACTCGGTCTGCTGTAAACAGGTTGCAGAATATTTTTAAAATACAGTTGGCAACAAAACCGCTAAACCCCTTGTTGGCAATTGCAGAACTGTAGCAGCTGATATCACTGAACTTGGTGTGTGGCGTTACTTCACTGAAGCTACATGTTTTCGTGTAGTTTATGCAGCAAATTGTGAAAAATTGGACAAAAGCTACACACAGCAGAAGTCCACATCTTGCACAAAAATCGTTTGGCAAAACTTATGCAATCATTGTACGTTAATAGTTGCACCTCACAAATTTGAAAGAAGTTTTATTTACTAATCAAAATCGCTGAAGGGTCGTCATTGCTCAAATTTGCAAGGTTTGTAAGACGAGCGTTAAATTTTTTTGAGATGCAAAATTTGATTGGCTTTGAGAGGAGTTAAAGATTTTCTGCCTGGTTCAAAAAAAAAGACCTCATCAAAAGGGCTAGCAGAGCGCATTTAATGACTGCTCTATGACTGCTGTAATACTGAAAAAGAGACAGCCACCTTTAAAGCCATGATTATCCTTGTCCAAGAAGTTTAATTTAAGCAAATACATTTCCCAGGTGAGCAACATACCAGGAAATTGACTCTGTGATACATGTTGCTACACCAAGGCATATACATGGTGCACATTTTACTACAAGTTTCATGAAATAGGGTGCTGGCCTTGTAAAAGTGCTATGTTTCACAGTCACCAGAAAAGTTTGTAATTGCTTTGGATGCACATACTTGTCTCTGCATCTTAACCCCCTTTCAATTTGGTGTGTATACCTCTTTCACAGGCCAGATGATATCCGCCAGATCTTTTCAAAATACGGCCCCATTATGGATGTGTACATTCCGGTGGACCACTACACTCGAGAGCCGAGGGGCTTTTGTTACGTTCAATATCCTTGTGCATGCCTCCCAACTCATGAGCACTCTTGTTGTGTGCATCCTAGTGTCAGTGTTATGGCTCTGCTCTCTTAACGGGAGTTGGTGTTGACAGTTGCTCTCACAAACTTTCATCCCATTGTCTTTATTTGTTTCAAATCCAGCAAAGATTGGTTAACGTAATATATGTGTTTATCATATGCATGCTTGAATTCATGCTAAAATTCTGTGCAGACCTCTTGGATGTGCTGTTCCAGACATTTATGCCGAGCCTGAGGCACTGAATCTTCACGTGAGCAGAGCCATAAAACAATGCCTTCGCTGGCATGGTTGAAAATATTACAGTGCTAGTTTTTGGTCACTAATGCAGTGTAAAATGCTGTTGTCAGATACACGTTAAATCTGATTGGAAGTGACAAGACAGAAGATCCTTGTTCAACCCTGACTCATTGTTTTGTTTCTGTCTGTGCCTGCTAACACATATTGTTATTTTTGTCTTGCTCACACATTTATAGAGCACAGGCCCAAAGACAAGGGATCGTGGGTACAAGTAGTCAAGTCACATGACCCTCGCCACTTGTGCAAGGCTTGATGCATGTGCTGAGCTGACGGGCATACTACAGCACATGTTACTCAACGACAACTTAGAAAGAAGGCATGAAGTATGTGGAGTGGTGTAGGCCAGACATGAAGGGTTGTGACTCGAAGAATTCGATTACACATAGCAGATATTCTCACTTTCATAAAATGGCAGGTTTGGGCTTTCAGAAACAAAAGTGAGGGAGTTAATGTCTTTGTTCCTGGAAATAAAATTCTTACCACCAGAACCTCTGAAAAAATACCATTGTGCGATAATAAAGACGATCACTTGATATCGATGTGCTCCAAAAGTGCATGATTAATGAGCATTTGTAGCCACACTTGTTCAAAATTAAGGAAAGTCACCAGACTTTTGACAGAAGTGCTAGAAAAGATGTTACACATGACTACGCCAAATGTAGGGGTGGTTGTGCATTTAGCAAAAAGAGAATTGCCCGGCTTACAGTGCCACTCCACATTTCATGTGTGAAGGACTCGTTTAGCTCAAGAGACAAGCAAGGGTTTCAAGTCAAGATTTTGCTGTGGGTCGGTACAAGATTTCAAGAATCAAGCAAGATACTTGCCTTAAATGAGGCTTGTCTGAAGGCCAAAGCCAAGAGCTCAGCTTTTTCCATGCAAGAATTTCCAAGTCGATTTGTCGTGCTCCAATGCTTTAACAAGACAAGTAGCAAGCAAGGGTATTCAAGTGCGGACAAGATCTCAAGAATCAAGCAAGTTGGCTGAATTTTTTTCACAAGACCCATTCCGAGACCAGGGTATTCTCGGTTGTAGAGTTTTCAAGCGTGTTTTTTTTTTGTGAATGAGATGGGCACGTGCCTCGTCTTGCAGGGTCACCAAATTTGTGCACCTTGGGAAATGGATAACAGGTCACACAACATGCAAGCCCATCATGACAAGAAATTTCTAGCTCAATTCCAGAATGGCGATTGGGTAAATTTACAAGGGTGCATCCATACTGTAGACGAAAGTCTGTGGACCAAGCTTCTGAACAAAAGTCAGTTGGCCGCTGGACCAAGTCAAGCTGTTGGTGTGGGATATTGTCAGCCGTCAAGCGCTGGGTTGGTCATAAGCAAGCTTCCAAGCAAGCAAGATTCAAAGATGTATAAAATGTCACAGCGTGCCTATGTTGTTGGCATGTTGTGGAAAGCCAAGTCCAAACCAAGAATAAAGTCGTCCGGCACAGCCAACATGTTTTCCGTTAGGCCCAAGGCAAGTCAAGAATGAGGTATGGTAGTATCCTGCCATTCAATGTTTCTTTTGTCAGTTCAGCTTATAGCCCGTGACCGGCTTACTTGCATGGGTTTTTAGCGTACTGTCTTCTTCCGTCCAAGTTAATCCTGTGATTGGTGCTTCTTTGGTTTGTTAACCCTAACAGTCCCAAATGCTACAAAGTACTACTTAGTAGTAAAATGTACTACTCAGCCCTGTTGCTTGTAAGAGGACATGGCATTATTATTCTCTGAAGCCATAAAATGCAGTAGAGAAGACAATGTACAATACAGTGCTGTGGCACTATGAATGCATGGTTTCATTGTTCTCTGTACGAGTAACAACGGAATAAACCTAGCCAGAAATAGTAATTTGTAGTGCTAGGTCCTTCAGGCTCAGAGTGTTACATAGTATTTTGTAGTACTGAGTATTCTAAGCCAAACAACGCCCAGTACTGTTAGGGTTAAAAGGATAGGCAACAGTGTGGCATTAAATTGTAAAATGGACACAGTGCCTCATCATAACAGGCATTTTGATAGGACTACCCATATGTGACCCACTCTGCAACAAGGTGTGTTAACTCATGCAATGCAAAAATGCGTAATGGCCCATTCCACGTGTTGAGGGTGAAAACATTTGGAACTATTTTGAGGCCAATTGCTTGACCAGAAAAGAAAGGAAAAGAAAAGACCTGCTAAGAAAAACCAAGAGAGTGTCTAATTTAAGTTTTAATGTTTCTGTTTTCCTCCCATGCACATCCGTGAAACTGAATCATTAGACTCGTTCAAGATTGCACCGAAGAGCTTTCTTTATTCACAAGCCTTTGATCAGTAATTGGATTTTTATACATGTACTAGAAACAACTAGGCATTTTGAAACATTGTGGAAAGCGCATTATAAATGTTGTCAGTTATAGTTAGTTATGTTTGAAGGGCAATATCTCACAAAGTACGTGATAAAATGAAATTATATGAATATACACATGGCAAATAACTCCAAAATGCAAAATGCCACTGGGATGAATTATATATCAAATGAAAACTCGGGATGTGAGCAATTTGAGTGCATAACTCAAATTCAAAAAAATGTGACATAATACACATTTTTGCAGAGCCAGTCACATACACATACATGGAAGAATTGGAAGAGGGAAGTGTCTCCCACATCCCAAAATATACCATACATGTAGACATTGATATTTGCAATCTTTTTCCAACAGCAATGTCGTCATTACCTGTGCAGGTTTCCAGTAAATTGTCTTGTATTTAAGAAATACAGGTAATTCTCAAAGGAACCCCCAAAATAAACTCATAGTTGACCTTTGCACCAAGTGTCATTAAACATGTCTGCACAATTTCTTTTCTCAGGCAAAATTTGTTTCCCCTACAATCTCTACATATATATGTGTATAAGTCCACCAGTCTTTCTGTTGGTGTGTTTGTGATTAAGTTCTAGTCACGATTGTTCATTTTTTTATCCATACTTCTGCCTTGCGTGGCTGGCTGTCTGTCTGGCTGTCTGTCTGGCTGTCTGTCTCTCATCCTTCAGTCTTTTTTGTCATGTGTTTTGTTTTTCTTTGACTGTCCCACTTTCTGTGCACATTATCATTTTGGTTTTTGTCTTTCCACCTTGTGTTTTGCCGGATAGCCCTCCTATGGTTTGGACTGAAAAAATTCCTTCACAAAATCTTCCCACTTGTGTAGCATGCTGGCGTGGGAAGGTTGATAGATACAACCCAAGCAGAGATCTGTCCAAGATCTTTAAAAAGTCCAACGGAATTTTGAACGAGTTTAGAGGACTTCTGAAAGTGGAGCATGGACACGTTTTACAATAAGGCTTGACTCTCCATAACATAAAGTCTATTTGCTATTGGAGCTTGGACCACTTTACGATTTGGAGGTTTTAGGAAGGTCGTGAATAAGATGTGAAATACACTGTAGTTGTGCTCAAAATATTTGTCCATACCCTGCAAAGTTCTTTTGAAGTGTCCGTCACTACAAATAAGACAATGATAAGCACCGAGTACACCTTTTTTTCCCATTTCAAAATAAATTCAAAGTTTGAAACATATTGTAGGCCTCAGTATTGTGTTTATGTGAGCAGTGAAAAACCCCAACTTGCAAATGTGCACATAGTTAGCTAAGAAGTATTGAAAAAAAAAATCTGGATTGATTGTAATTTTTGAAATATGTGCATTGCCTTTGTATGCTTGCCTAATCATTCCATCCTGACCCGTTTTCTCACTGTTTTGTCCATTGTCACTGCTCTTGCTGTCTGTTTGATGTTGTGTTTTCCTTGTGTTAGTCAGTGTATCTGCACCCTTGCATGGGTCTCTTGTTTTCCGTTCCATTCTTTTCCCTTAACTCTTGACCCTGCTAGCACATTTGAGTACGTGCGTGACGCCGAAGAAGCCATGTACGGATTGGATCGCACCCGCTTCTTCGGACGGGAGCTGGATATTCAGTTTGCTGAGGGAGACCGAAAGTGTGAGTGGCTTGTTTATAGACCCATCCGAGCACAAGAGAGGAGGTCGGTGTTACGGAGCCGCAGAGCAAGCTCAGCCATTCCCTTGCTTTTGTCACTTGACTGAATCCGGTCACAGATCTGACTTTCGGTGGCTGGTCTGTATATAAAGTGTAGCGTGGGGAAGTGTATTGAATTTTGTCACTGACTGTACAGCTAATGGAGGGCTAAGCAATATTTTCTGCTTTGGTGCTCCATGAAATTGGGCCTGGTATAGGGATGTGCATTAATGGGTATGGGGAACCAGGGACTGGATTGACAAAAAGCATGGTTACCAGTTGTAAAATCAAAGCAAATTTGTATCTCAAAGTTTGGTAACCATATGGTGTATACAGATAAGATCTGCAAAATAATACCAACTCACTGGTGTGTCAGTATACCCCACAGGTTACAAGTTTGTAGAGTGAACAGAACTTAATGCATGGCTTTACAGTGAATTCTGGCAAGCGTCATGAGCATACATGTAAAATTGTAAATCCATTTTTATTCTATGTCATTTGGTTCTCGGTCAGGAAAGCCTGCACCAGCTCAATTGAAACTTGTCTAAGAAACTACAAAAAGACGTGTGAAGTATTTACATCTGGTTCTTGATGTGATCTGATCAGTCAATCACCCAACTACCTGTTTCTCATGCATATTCCTAGCCTGGTCCATTCAGGGGGCTCTCCATCAATGCAGAATCATTTTTACATATATATATATTCATAACAGCTGGCATTACTGTGGGCTTCCCTAATGTACATTTATCTGGGCTCAGACATGTCAGATTGCCATTAATGGCTCCCCAAGTGTCCACCTATGTTGTGCTCGGATCAGTCCATGACCTCAAAAAATAGACTGAGTTTGATCATACATCACGCAGTATTTTTGTAATGGATTTTGTATGAGTTGGCATATTGCCATGATGATCGTCAGACCTAGTGCCCGTGTATTGCCGTTTCCGAACATCCTCAGACATGCTTCATTTGGGGGCATGCACGGTTGGAATACAGAACTGGCTCATTAACCCTAACCCACTCTGGCCATTTTGCTAGGGCACATCCCCAATCCTCCAGTGGCCTTACTCTGAAAATTGCATTTATCCTCAATCCTCCAAAAATCCTCCAAGTTTTGCACTTGTGCTCAGAATGAGAGGTACCCAGCTCAATCCTTCAAAATCCTCCAGCAATTCCTGCCATCATGTTGGGGTATGGCGAATGGTTTTCTTGAGCCGCGTCATTGATTTCAAAGTAATGGCAAGAACATGTACATGTACATGACTAAGCATAAACAACACAAGATCCAACCCACAGCCTTTGCACATGGCACGGCCTGCTGATGTCAAATTCTAAAACAGTGCCCCCTATTGTATCCCTTAGTAAAATCAAAAGTATGGCGCTCTGTTTTCAAATAAACACACTAATAAAGCTCGGGGGACTGGCACGCTGATGACGCGTGATTTAGAAGATTAGTAGGTGTTAAATTGCAAAAGTTGTGTATATTTCACCGTCTAAGAATGCCTTGTAAGCCTAGTAAGTTCTGTTGTATTTGCTGAAGTGCAGTAAATAGTAGATTTTATTCATTTAGGATCTATAAAGGTGACATATTAGGCCTTGTTTCCTGCTTCAAGATGAGCAGGAAGGTGATTTATGTACATCGTGTAAACTGTAAAATATGCGCAACCTTAGCGCATCATGTGCATTGCAAACAAACATGAAGTGCACAGTAGGCACAAAATCAGCGGAAAATGCGAAGAAGCTTAAATAAATACTCATTTTCACCCCCCGAAATTTGCTGAAATCAATTATTATGAACAATTTAGAGAAGGGATAAATATTGATGACATCATCACTGGCACTAGAAATTGGCATCAGAGGCAACTTTGTGACGGACTATTTTCCATAGTGTGAGTCGGTTGGTGAGGTTTCAGTGGTTATGTACGAGGAGGGAATGATGAGTATTGAGCTGGTTTCGTAGTTTCAGTGAAAAAAAAGTGGGAAAATTGCATTTTATATATTGTTAATTATTAACAAAGTTACACAACTTATAATTCTCTTATTTAGAAGTCAGTTGGGTAAATTTCCGGATGGAAGATGACCTGTTAATGAATATTTTTCCATTCATAAATTTCAGTATGCAAATTTCAAACTTGGGCCAGGCATTGCAAGCATGCCTAAAGGGCGTACTGTGTTGACTTTTTTAATAGTTTTGTGCACGGTAATAAGATACGGCGAACCGTGATGGCGTCCTTCCGAATCAGCCTTGCATTTTTGCCGTTCATCCTCAATCCAACAAAACCACCCAAAGAATTTTGGGGGATTGAGGAGGGTTTAGGGTTAACTGACAAGGAAACTGTTGGCATCTGCAGCTCCTGGCCAAATGAGAAGTCGAGATCTCTACAGACGGCGGCGCCGTTCATACAGCCGCAGTCCCGACTATGACAGACGCTCACGCAGTCGGAGCCCCTACCGTCGATACAGCCCCTACAAGCGCTCAAAGAGCAGGAGCCCATACCGCAGTCGCCGTTCCCGCAGCAGGACACGGTCCCGCAGCCGCTCCCCAGAAAAGTACAAAAGGTGGGCAATTGCTGTTGTGCACTTTGTGCTGAAAGGGATTCCTGTAAATTCTGAAGACTTGTGGAAGTCACTTAACTTGTATATCGACTGCATGTAGTGTTTTTCACATTTCTGTGTCATTTTAATGAGAGAGCCTTAGGCTGAGTTTGGGCGGCTTGTTCTTATATGTTCACAAACAACGTGATTCGTTGTTCTTGGGTTGGCAGCTCGAACGCTGGGAACATACAACTGGTTATTGCTGGTAGTTAGTGGCAAGCAGCATGCAATATGGCGGCGTCCATGTACATCATTCGAGAGTTACTGTTTGGATAACTGGGCTGAATTCTTTTTCTATTTAAACAAAAACATTCTTTTCTGTGATACGGAAAATGATCAATGTTCATTTTGCAAAAAAATTGAAACCAGTGTGTTCCCATAAAACCCTAACGAGGAAGTGGTCTGTGATCCCGTTCCGAGAACAGTGTTCTTGAGTCGTGTTCCTGCTGTTTGAGCGTGAGAACAAGCAAATGATGTCAAGAACAGGCCGCCTGAACCCAACCTTATTGTCATGGCCAATGATGTTTATTTCAAACATGATCTGAAAGTTTGCCGCCCGTGGAGGATTTGCCATATGATCAATGTCATCAGGAGTCCTGACAACAGACACAGCGTACTGCCTGAAACACTGACTACCCCAGTTCTCTTCAGAACCCAACTCACGAGTGATTTCACATGGTGCTTCCAGTCCACAAACCTCCGTCACAGTTTTCTTCAGATCTCAACATAGTCGTTGCCTTAGGCCGGGAAAAGAGGTTAATTTTGTCATAACTGACTAGGGCAGTGGCACATACGGTAAATTGCTGCCATTATAAAGCATCCAGAAACAGTTCACCAAAGGAACGTAGTTTCTGTGCCCCTTGGCTGCACAAAGATTGCTTGTTATCCTCCTCATCTGCTTTCTTTCAAGCGAGTGGGTGTTACCAGACTGTTTTTTTTTTTTTTTTTATTTGCAGGCGACGCAGGCGACGATCCTACAGCAGATCTCGTTCTCGCTCAGTCTCACGGTAAGAGACACGCAAATTAGAATGCAAACAGCATCTGATTTAGATCTTCGGAAAATCAGATTAAAATTTGAAATGATTTTTGACAAAGTAGACAGCTTTAACACAAGAGAAGCAGGTACCTGTTCTTACACACGATGCTCGCCCCTCTGCCTGTGTGTCTGCAAGTAAAGCATGGTGGTGTGGCTCAAGAGTATTGATCATGACGATGATTTGTAATGTAGCAAGATTTCTATTTGCAAACATTGAACGACTGCAGATATGGCACTCAGTGGGGCAGATACGCTCGCTCCTCATTTCACATTGACTACACAAGGAAACGTGTAAACTTGTGTGGCCTTGATAAGCATTGTATAAGCCTATGGTGAAGCTTGTCCTATTACCAATTCAGCTCATCGAGCTGCCCAGGCAGTGTTTATCTCAGGGTTCCTTGGTAAGTTGGGAAAAAGTGACTTGCCCGATGTGACAATTTATGCCCAGTGACTGGATTCGAACCTCTGACTTAACCCCTTCTGATAATTGGTATTGGCATGCTGTTCACCACCACCCTCCAGTCTATGCATTTCATTTTGACAAGTGTTTAAGGTGCACACTAAACAGTCCAGAGGGGCCATTTTCATAGAGCTGCTTAAGCATATAGTTTGCTTAAGCAGGAAAAAACTTTGCTTAAGAAACAAAGGTTACCAGCTCAAACTCTATCTGATTGTCATGCTAACCAAAAGACAGCTAAATACAATCCCCAAACAATATACATCACAGGCAGTTTTGGCTGATTACCTGATTTATCCAGTAAGGTTTTTTCGCGCTTAATCAAATTTTGTGCTTAAGCAGCTCTATGAAATTGGCCCCTAGAACTGGCTTCTCTTCCAAGTTTCTGGACACACACTTGAATCCAGTGACAAAAGAAGTTGAGTTTCAAGTAGCTCAAGGCCAACACTAAATGTAAACACTTACAGTGGTAGTTATCATTTTGTTCTTTCCAGAAGCCGAAGTCGCTGAGGCAGAGTTTGCCATGGAGGAAGGCACCGCTGTCAATAACTTGTACATGTCTGTTATATTCCCCTTTTTTCTGTTTTCATGAAAGTGAACATGCAAGAACCGTCATCTGCATTTTCCCCGTTTGCTTTTTTCTAAGTGTTAGAGGTCAGTCTGTGCTGTTACGCCAGTTTAAACAATTGTAGAAATTTTACACAAGAAGTACCAGTTTCACTGCGTGCACTGTTATTGTCGTTAGCCTTGCACTTGTTAAATCATGCGGATTTAAGAAGTTACCTTGTATTTGTGGGCAATCGAGTTCCAACATGGAATGAAAAAAAAAGTAACCTGTTTGTAGTTCAGTCCCTCTTCGGGAATTTGTTTTTAAGCTCAAAGAAAGTGCCATCCAGTTAAATTGGTTTTTATGAGAAAAGAAATAGGTTTGAAATCCTGCATAGCATTTTATAATGATAATGTTTGCCACAGGACCAGATTTCTATCAGCCCTGCCCATCCATGCGTATTTTTCATTTTTGTATTGCTTTAGTTTTGCTTTAACCATTTCATTTTTTTCCCTCACCGCTGTTGAAGAGTGAGCCTTTTTTCATTGTCCTAGTTTATAAACAGGTATTGTTGGAAATTGATTTCAAGCTTTTCTTTATTCTTCCTTGACCTTGAAGATTAAATTACTTGCCCACTGCTTTGAAAAAAATAATAACCACCCTTGTTTATTGGGAAGCAAAAAGGCTGCATCTGAAATTCCGTTTTACTACCATCTGATGAAAACAAAGTCCATTAAGAATGTTCAAAACAGAGTTCATATTAATTTAAAAAAAGCATAATTGCTTTGTAAAGACACAAACACAAAGTTAATACGGGCGCATACATTATGGAAATCACTGCTAGGTATGATAGTAAGTTTGAAGTACATGTACTACTACTGTTTTTACGAAAAACACATCTGTTTACTTTCGTACTGTTTAAAGGGGAAGAACACAGCGATAATGTCCACTTTAAGTAAAGCGATCGACCATGATACATGTAAGTTAATGATTGTATTGCACTGCATTCGTGTTTTTTTTAAGTGTGGCAACATGTAGTAATTTCATTAGCACTATAGTAATGTCTTAGCGCTGTTTAAAGTTTGGTTTGGATACAGTTTTTACAGCCATTAAAATGTTTCTTTGAGAGTTCCAGATTCAGGTTGGATTCTTTTTTTGCGAATAGGGCGCTGGGCCAAAGGGCTGATGGCTTTGCACTGTGATCACGGACGTGTATAATGTGATAAGCTTCTTTGTGCACAACCTCCGACCGCGAGGTTATCACTTCCTAATAATAGCGAAGCGTTAATCTGTGCAAGGCCATCAGCCCTCGGCGCCTTGTTCGGGCGTTGGGTGACGGCAAGGATTCTCCTTTGAAGGAACATATGAGACGGAGCACCCCCCCCCCTTTGTGTTGGTCTTGTTTGATCAGAATCTCAGGAATTCTTTACAGACTTCTAGGAGGATGTGTTAGGTAACAGTAGTCTAGAGTGTGTATAGGGATTTGACAGGTCAGGGGGTACCCCTCCATCCCATATCTTGCCTGGTACAAAGATTCTTTCGCGTCTTTGAATTTCGTCGGGGGGGGGGTTGTTAAAGTATGTTGTGTTAACACAGACTTGTGCGGGCTTGTGTGTGGTTTTTAAATTCTTGTTTCATTGTACAGTCGTGTTGAAACTAGGTAGCGCATTCGCTTGTATGATGACCAACTGCGCAAGATGGTGATTTCTGAGGCGGCGACTCCTGTGTGAGACTGCAGGTTGCAGCCCACTAAATAACACCCCATTATCCACATACCTGAACTTCAAAAAATCAGGAAAAATACCAGCTTCTCAGGTTTTCCTTTTTTCCCATAGTTCTATTCATTAACCGATGACTTTTTAGATATTTTTTTGCATAGAAGGCCACCCCTAAAAAAGCTGTCGTGTGGCCCCTCGCCATTTTGAAAGATTATGCCTTACACTTCTCGAAAAATCTATGTACATGTAATGTAGATCGTTTTCAGGCACCGATTTCTTCCGAGTCGTACTCAGCCACAAGTTGAAATTCATTTCGGTCGCCTCTACCTGTCCTTTCTACAAATCTTTAAGTTTGTCAGCTGCGAAATACTCTATTAAACAGAATCTAAATGCATACAAAATTGTGATTTGGCCGGCGCATGCGATTTCGGGCCTATTTACTGGCCTGCAAGTTGCAACGATTGTGAAATCGTATAGCGCCCTCTTGAAATCACATGTGCTGTTCCGATCGTGTGCCGACGCGACGTGCGTGAGAGTAATCTTGCCCAGAAAGTGAATCCACAATGGAAACTATTTTCAAGTTATCCCAAAATTAAATATTAAAAATCTTTGATAACAAACACGAGCAATAACTAATTACTAGGAAATTGCCGATTTGGCTGTGGAAATGAGACTGGTCCCATTAGACATGTCTTTGCTGTCACCCGAAGGAGATTATCTTAGGTTTATTTTTATTTAACGACATGACCCACCGTGGCACGGCCAAAACTCGACAATTCTTCAACTCTTACATTAATTTTCCATCATCCAGAGGTGGTAAAGACTTCATAGATATTCCTTGCGTGAATTCAGATATTAATATAATCAAATTTTGATATAATTCCTTGCCAAAATGATGGAATAAATTTTAGTCGAAAGTAAATACATGTACAATGTACAAGTAGTTTACGTTTCAACATGGTGGGTTCAACGGGACATGTGTAATTTGTTTCGATCAATCTTTTATGTCAAATTTTGCACGTGATCGCGGGTATTCAGACAGTCGTATTTTATGATGTGTATTTTTGCCATGGAAAGTATTATACAAGGCTTTGTTTAGGTAAAATCGTGCGACTCCACATTCGTCTTAAAGTTCACAAGTGTTACATTTTTAGATATTAATTCGGCCTTAGTTTGCTGCAGAAGTCGCAGCACCAACACCGTTGGTCTTGATCAGCACCAATCGTACCCCCCCCCCATTTATGGCGGATCTAGAAGGGATGCGGATTGATTACCTTATCATGGCAACCCTCAACTTTCTGGGGCACTTAGGACCATTTTCCACCCGTAGTTTTAGCCATTCTGTTCTCATGAAAGCTCAAAGACCGAGGGAGTTGATCCTGGCAAGGATTTACACAATCTCACCATTTTGGGGGCCAAACAATCTCCTTTTTCAAAAGATACTGTGGGGGGGGCACTTTTAATGCTAATGAGCTGGCCAGAAATTCTCACTGGAATTAGTGATTGGGCACCCTTTGGTGCGAGCATGAATTTTGGTGGGACTGCGGGGCCTGCATGTCCTTGATTGGACTTTAATAATTGTGTTCAAAAATGTTACGTATCTGGCCCAACTTTTCGAACTACAAGGGTTCTTCGTTTATTTTTGCTATTGGGTTAATGAGGCAATCAGTATGTTATAGCACGCTAAGTAACTTCGGCAATTCCAGCGACGAACATTCTTATTCACTCAAGCTGCGGGCAAAGAGCGTATTATTATGGTCAACTGAATTAACAGCCGGTTGAACATTTTCAAGATTTGTAGTTTTCTACATACGAAAGCAAATAAGGGCCTACATCAATGGCACGATTTTGAATCAAAAAGGGTGAAAAATAGAAAATTATGTAATACCTGACTATGATTGGCTCTGTGACTTTATTCATATTTACTTTGATTTGTTTTGTCCTTTCGATTTTTCTCGTAATGTTCGGTTTCTACTTTTATTTTGACCTCTGTAGATCTGAAGAAACGGAGGTCATATCTTCCCGAAACATCAGAACAAAATAACACCCACTGTACCGGCAATGGTGGTTCTCGTTTCGTTCTCTAGTTTAAATATGTGGATTTTTTGTATAATCTTTTATTAAATTTGATATAAATGTGGACTATTGGAGCAATGGTGAAAAATCCATAGCAAAGTAAATGGAAAATTCAAATGAAAATTAAAAAAAAAGAAATGACAAATGACCCTTTCTAATTCACCTACCCATTCTCACATGGCGAATACGTATGAATCCACCCTCAGGGTATAAAATGACTAGAACCCCAGTCCTTCCCTGGAATTAAAGGCAGAAAGGTATTTTTCCAAACTAATCTTTCATTTAAAAATCTTAATCTTCAGCCTTGTTTTACAAATGGGATTTTAGAAATAATAGCAACACAAACCTTTTTTTCAGTTTCATTATATTCGAAATTGTCGATCTTCCAATGGATGTTTCTTTAGTGTCTCATATTTATTAGGCCATTCAAAATATATAAGTAAATAAATTAGTTCAGAAATAAAAGAAATTGCACCCCCCCCCCAAAAAAAACTCCAGCTTGACAAAGTTTTTTTTTCATCACCCATAATGAAGATGGTTCATAAATATTTATCTGCCTAGTTTTCGTCTCAATTGGGTTCAATGGCCATGAAAACTGGTTTGCATGCTTCAGTTTCTGTTTAGGCATTCTGTTGATGGATCAGTGTAATATTAAGAGGCAAGTATTTGGTGAATTTTAAATTTCAAAAACACCATCCATGACTAAAGGCAAAGCAATGTAATTCAGGTTTCGGATGTCAAACTTCGACAAGCTTCAACTTGTTGGCAACTTAATGCCACTTGACAAAGAGCACTCTTGAAATTTTTTTCTAGAAACAGTTATGGTCTGTAATTCCCCTTACAACCATTTCCACTGACTCACAAGGATTCCCCATTAGCTCATGCAACGAATACTGAAAAGTCAGACCATTACTTGCATCTACTTCTGCAACGACGTTGTTTACATAAGCCCCACGCTAACGGTTTTCAAACTTGTTTACTACATGTACTTGGGGTCTCGGAACTATTGTGAACAAAGTGAAAGGAGCGAGCGCGACCACGCATATCCTCGGTAGAGATGTGACGGCTAACGGAACAGCTGATTCGATTGTGTTTTAACCACATTGCGGGGCCACAAAGCCTAGCCGATTAACATATTCATAAGCGGTTGCAGTTGCGATAAACAGGTGACGTCAGGTAGTGTGGCCTGATTTGGATCGTTAGACTTTTTGTAGGGATGTTCCTTATACTCATAGCATATTTTCTAGTTTTCATTTTCGATTAATTGAATTTAATTTCTGAAGAAGTTATTCATTGTCATATTAAATTGAAAAAATCGTTACTCTCTTAAATTCATGTTTAAAGTACTTTATTGTAAAAAGTACAGCAAATATTGTTTGACATGTACAGCAAATATTGTTTGACATGCTTAACTAGGTAAGAATAGTTTCCCCCAATGAAATCAGGTCAAAAGGTCGGGGATTGCCTTGCAAGCAGGGCGGTTGAATTTCGAAATACCCCACGTCACGTACATCAACCTGTGCGTGTCATAGCGCCAGCGTAAGGCTTTCACGCGTACGTACGGCGGACAGATCAGTGGCTCACTCGGAATCGCGATACGAGCGAAGGGGCCGCAGCTGACTCTCAGCCGTTATTTACCGCGAGGATGGAGGAGGTGGCCGCTTTCGGAATCACTTTCTGTATTGTGCTTCTTAATCTTCCCAGCCTTTCCGAGGTAAGAGAAACTTATGCAAATGCTTATCGAGGTTTTTCCGGCAATTCTTGAGCGTTTTTGTTGCGTTGGTCGCTTATGTTCTGCAATCGAGTTGAGTGAGGAGTTTCAATTAGGATGTTGCAACATCGCGTTGCTGGGGGCCTCTATTGGGCCATTTAAATGCATTGTCCCAATCATCAAGTACACGTACATTCGCAGCTAGCTAAGAATATTTTTCTTTCATGCTGGCCGTCATTTAATTATTCTCAATCATATATTTCTTTTTTAAAGTAGACCTTCAGAATCAACAATTTAAACAAATCCGACGAGCAGCATTTTGAAATTTTAATGTGAGCTGTGAAGTTTTCTTGGCTGTCGGGCGTTGCTTGAACAGTTTCGCAAGATCAGCTGTGCAATATTCATGTTGTAATAAGAATCAAACGGCGAAGGCCTCCATTGTCTAGGTCTACGTCATGTACTGTACGTGTAATGTCCTGAATGTGTCATGGTTGACCTGTCGGTTTTGATGTTTAGGCATACAATAGGAATTCATTCATTAATGCAGCTGTAAACAACATTTTGTGTCTTACAAAGGGGAAATGGTGAGTTGTTAAAAAAATAATAACCTAAAAGATCAGTGACTTGATTAAAACCACATAGGCCTAAAAACACATCATGCACCGTATCCATCCATGTGAGTTTGGTGATCGGGGAAGAGTTCCATATACGGACGCCAGTAATTATTCCCTATAGGGTGACCTGCATGACCTATTAGCCGTCAGAAAGCAAAAAAATGTCCAGAAAAGTTCAATTTAGGAGGGGAAAATCCAAGTTGTTTATGAGAACAGTCTGATAGGGTTTGGGCACAGGGTGTCAAGTGGAGTCCGTATATGGAACTTTTCCCGAATTGACTAACATAATTGCAGCTGATTGTTTATACATTCTTGAAACTTGAGCATTGGTCCAAGGTTTATGATAAAAATTGTTACACCGGTATACGGTACCTATAACTTATAAGAGATGAGAAAATAGTTACCCATATCAGTACAATGGAACAGGTCCACATCACCAAACTAAACGAGATGGTCTATAATTCATCGCATTCTACCATATGTAGTCATACCTATATTGTTTTATCATATCAATTACTAAGACAAAAACTTTGATCTATTGACTGCATAAGAGTGACAACACGTTATCTTTCTATGAATATTGCTGATGAAGAATTCCTTACTGGTGCTGTTAACCGACTTGTCGTGTCCCAAAATGTAAACATGTGTTAGACTTAAGCTCACCCACTGCAACTTTGAGTCTTAATGCAGCATTGGAATCTTGATTTTAAAAAACATAAGGGTACACAAAAAACCTTGAAAGAAGAGTCTAAGTCATTGAGGGATAAGAAGTGTAAGTGATTGAAAGGAAGCCAACATTCAGGGAAGGCCTTGAGGTACATGCATGATCACGTCTCCTGCCTCTTGACTTTTTTATGATTAGCTGAGCAAATATCATGTTGTTGCTTTGCAGTTTTTCAAGTCTATTTTAGAAATGTGGGGATTCTGCTTGATTTGAGTCTGTAGGCCTGATTAAAAGATTCAAAAGGGTAGACTTGCAGCCAATGTTACATAGTGTGAATAAGAATAGTGCCAAATCTATTGTCAACGGTTTTATGATGGCATTGCTGTGTGTTGTGCAATGATGTACAGGTATTTCCCAAAATCACCAAGCTGGTCAGGTTACATCTCGAAGTAGAGATGAAAATTTCAGGTTCTCTTTCTACAATGTAGTTAGTTCCTTTTTTATTGTGAACAAAATAGATCAGGGTTTTGGCATTTATCTGCTATTCCAAGCATTGCTTTTGACTTGGTGAAAGAAGTTGCCAAGGACCAGCTTCGGCGAATCGTAGAGCTCCAATGCTTAAATGTAATTCTTTTCAGAAGAAAAGATTTGCTTCACATCAGAAGGTGTAATTAAAATATGACTCTTGTCAAATGTCAGTCAAAATGTGAAAACAGTCTGTCTTGTTTGGTGTTACGAGGGAGAAATGGTTGAAGTAAATTTTGTGCATGTTGGTTCATTCATTCATGAACAGCCAGACATGCCACTACCTGCCCCTCCTTGGCCCTTTCAAGCTATTGGTGAAGTTAGCCTTCCCCCTATTTACATGTTGGCCTATCATATGTTTACACTACCACTTCTCTGTTGTATTTTAATAAGAATTGATCTGGGGGCATGACCTGATTAGCATACAATCACACTGTCAGCCAAAGGCTGTAGTGGAAGTGTAATGCTTAGGAAGCTCAGGTCAGTGTGTACATGTATTTGTGTGTTGTGAAAGCGGCTTTCACTGAGATGAGCAGATATTGGATCTCCTGTCTGGTTTGCTGTAAGCCTGTAGAGCTTGGGTTTTAAAAATGGAGCTGAGCCAGAGTTTCCTGTAGGGAAATGTGGATTGGGGTCGTTAACCCAGTTTTTCAGATTCTGCCCAGGCATACCAGTAGAAGGGACTAATGGTACAGTACCCCCCTCTCACTTGGCATGGAAAGCTCTGCTTTGGCATCTTAGGTCAAGAAGTTGTAGTACCAACTCACAAAGCCTGAGGGTGTGATTTTAGTACAGTGTGATTTCAAGACTTTCACTGAAATTCATGAGTTATGTTTTGAGTTAATGTAAAGTGCAAGTTTAAGGAGTCACCCAGTGTTACTATTGGTTGGTCATGGCTCTAAAATTCACTTGTGTGTGATCAGTGTGTTTGTTATTTATGAATAAAAAATACACATTTTTTGTTCTATCAATTGAAAAACAATTTGCGAAATTAATGTGTTTTGGAGAAGGTGCAAGAAAACAGCAGAATGTCTTAAAACCAGATTATCTTAATATAATGCAGAGGAATGAGAAATGTTGGCATGAAAGTAAGAAAGTCTTAGGTAAACACGAGCAGCATTTTTAAATTTCTACCTTTTTTCGTCAACCCACCTTTTTCTGAAGAAAAAAATGCTAGTGATACTTCCATGTTTCTGAAGTCTAAAATGATATATCCAAATTAACTACATCATGTAATAAGGCTTACAGGAAAAACAGCCAAGACCTGTCCGTTATATCTGGTACAGGCTCCTGTTAACTAATTTTCAATTCCTTTTACCACTGTTTTCGTCATTATCACTAGATCATAAAATCCTCTTTGATAAATCTGTATTGCCTTAAGCAAAATGTGCATGTACATGCACCATGTACCAGTAAATGTCAAAAAAGGGTGTACTGAAGATAAACATGAGCTGGGACCATTCATTTTTGTCATCTTTTCATTTAAGCGTACAAAACATGTCCTCTGACCCCCCCCTTCAAAAAGTCTGTATACGCAAGAAAAGATTGACCGCTGATCTGAGTTTTTCCAAGTTTACAAATGCATACCCTCCCCTCCTGGCATACATTTTGTACACTCGCGAAAGAAACGGGGAAATGCCTGACCCTTAGTTGTGCAAATGGATGACATGTACATTTGTACATGTATGTACATGTACATGTACAATAGTAAAGATGCTCTGTCTCATGATGGACCATTTGTTTGTTAATTTATGTAATGAACCTCGTGTGAAATTAGCCAGTCAAAAGATCCGGTTGCCTGATAAGTAGGAACTACAATCAAAGAGGGACAGATAAAGGGAATGATAAAAAGAGAAAAAATATCCTAAAACTTTCAGCACGACCTGATAGTTGTTTTGAGTTGTTGATTCGATTAAGATTGTTTGGCCGATTTAAAGAGCATTCATGTAGCTTCATTACATACTGATACATTTATAACCTTAAACAGCAGTCATAGTTACAAAGTTGCTTTAAGTTGCCCTTGAGGGGTTTCCTCATTTTTTGTTTGTTAAAAGAGTTTGTCTAGGCAATTTCTTTTGTGTTAAGGGCATTCAGGTTGGCCTCTGAATCTAACATGGACACTTTAAAATGGCTGTTATCATAAGCAAAAATTCTGTAGCCAGAGTTTTTTGTTCACTTTGTTTCACTCACTTTGTTTAGAGGTTTCTTCCCTGCAGCTCATTTTTTTTTAATTTCTGTAAAATATTCATGCTTGTATAATTGGATGCAATCAAATGCGGCCTGCATCAGATTATCATGCTAGAGCTAGCTTGGTTCACCGAGTATCCACTTCATTTCCTGCACGCTGCCATGTTATGTATTTTGCATACAAGTTGAAATGGCAACTGTTGGCCAGCGATTAGCTCATGCAACATGTTTTCGTATGTAAAAATGATTGCATGCTTTAAGTGTTGAGAGGATTTTGAGTAAATTCACCCTTGGCCCCAGATATTTTTTCTTTTTGGGTGGGGTAATTTTTTGAAAACACTCTGTGTGCAGTACGATAACTCTTTGCCTGAACTTAAGTACTAAAGGTTTACAGCCAGCAGGGGTGAGATTTGTCAATACATTTTCTGATTTCAGGATGTTTTCATCGATTTGAAGATTTTTCAAGCAAACTGTATTTTAACTCTGAAAAATCCAAAGTTTACATTTATGGTGTTTTTTGCATAACATTTGATATCGAACGCAAGAAAGGGGTATTTTAAGGGAAGCCTTTAAGCAAACATGGAACTTACACTGCAGTTGTAAGTATTTCGTTGATGTTTTATTTTCTTCCAATCTCACCCTTGACCCAGTGAAAAGTAAAAAAAAAAAAATGGACTTGGCATGTATGGAGTATTCTGGTCGGAATTAAAATTTTGAACATTGGACTATCAGCGTTCATGAGTTAGCCAAGCCCCAAATTAGACAACCCTGTGGAATTTTTTATGCCAAGTTGTGTTTGTCTCAGATTTTGCACTTCCTTCGTCCATCTTGATACATCATGTAAATTGGACAGTAATTCACAAGACACAAACTGTTTTGGCACAATTCTCCTACAGTACAAGTGGGTCAGTTGTGAAAAATGAGAGCAGAAAGGATTTTTGGTCAACTCTTAACCGGCCACATACGAAGGAAATGAAATTGTGAACAATGACACGCGCAGCTGGTGAACTATGCCACACACAGCCTTGTGTTTTCAGTGCATGTTCTCATTTTGGGGGCCACGTGGACAATAACTTTTCAATTTTTACACTGGAATTAAAACCTGAATGTTATGAAAAAACTTCAAAAGGTTTTACACACTGTACTTCGAAAGGTTTTATACTGAAACAGCTACACTGAATATCGGTACCAGTAGTCACAAGACTTACAAGCTCACCTGAGTTTTTATTTTATTTTAAAACTTGCAATTTTTTGTTAGCCTGCATTTCCTGAATATTTTGCTGAAATATCCTTATTGTATATGCTGAAATGTCTTCAAGTTATGCTTTAGTAATGAGTTTGACCCAAAATTGCAGGCAGTCATCCACTACTCATAAAGAAACTGCCATCCAGTGCAGTGCCTTGTCATGGGCCATCTCTCTTACGCACCTATGGTTACTAAGGACTACAGCTGGCTGTTAGTAAAGGGCCCAGCTGATTGGTGAAACCACAAGTAGTGTTTCCCAACCTCTGACCTTTGCTGCGCTATAAATAGCATCGGGCCTTCTGGTTGATGGGGTGATATGCTAATGAGTTTTCTTATCCAATCCTGTACTGTGGGCTGTGCCTGCAGTGCTGACCTGCTCTTTATTATTCATACCTGCCTGAAAGGTTGTTTACTTCCCCCTCACAGTCACTGTCTAACAATTGCTTGCTGTTCGTACAATCTGCGACAAAGAAACTGCCAAGTCTGTAGGCTGGCTAAACAATGGGGACTATCAGCTTGTGTCGGATAGGTTTGGAAAATAAAAATTGCAAGAAAGTCTTTAACAGTAATCCCGGGACAGCCAGCAGCTTTCAAATTAGGATATGTGCAGGTAATGCAGTGTTCTTTGATGCATCAAGGCTACAGAGCAAGGGGTGAAGGTTTTGGATGGATTTATTTCATCCGCCCCTCGCAAGTGTTTGAATCATATCATAGGGCCTACCCATTGCCAAAAGCATTGGTCTGTGAATTTGTGTTTAGAATGTGATCTGATTTGTAACTTAAAGTATAACCCCCCCTCCCTTTTTGTCTATGGTGAAACTGACCTTGAAGATCAGAATACAAACTGATGATGCCAAAAAATAGCCTCCAGTCAAGGCCCCCTTAATTTGTAACAGCCATATGCATCAATGCATATATACAATGTACATGTATGTTCTAGCCAAATGAGCTTGTTTTTTGGTAGAGACATAAAACATTGCATGGCCAACCATGCATACCGGTACATGGCCATCTTCCAATACTCGACTTTGTCTCCGTCTCAGGCTTTGTGTATGAAACCAATCCCCGATTGTGGGCTTAAGCGTTTAACTTAAATTAAAGCACTGTAAATGTTTGGCTCTTTTGCATCTTTCTTGATGTTTTATGGTACTATTGGACTTACTATTGCGCTTACAACCTTAAAGTCAGGAAGTAAAAAAACAGTTGAAGCCTGAGATGGAGCCCAAGTCGAGTACTGGAAAACTGGCTTATGTACCACTAAAGCAATGTCTCCCTTGGTCATTTATTACGCCTTCACCCAGGTGCTGCATAGTGCTGTGCTGTTATTTTGGACCCCTGTAAAACCAGACCTTTACCAGGCCATTACATAATAGCTGCTTTCAGTTTGGAGGTCCCTAGATTTAAGGCTTTCGCAACAAAAATATGGCCCCTGAACAACAATAGGCCAGCCACAGTCTGGTTGACCCAACTGCCGATTATGACCTAGGGGGGTTTTGTAATTGTATCCTTGAGAGGGTGTGATGTCATACATGTCCATGTATGATACATGCCCAGGGAAGATTTGACCACCATGCATGAAATCCTAGATTAATAGGCACACAATGCATTTGTAATTTTGCCAAAGTGCAATTGAAATCCGTATGTCTGGTACACATGTATTGATGTTTTACAGAAAATGTGACTGAGTTCTGTTTTTTCTGTGTTTCAAATGTTTAAATTGCCCTGCATTGTGGTTTCTTCCATTGGTTTGTCCTCTGGATTTGTCAAACCAGAAAATTGAAGTTACACAAGTTACATGTACATAAATGACCATAGTCCCTGCAAATCATGCCAGAGTTTTGTCTTGCACATTTATGTATAATGTACATGGTACCACAATGACTCTGGTGGTACCCGTAGTGGTGGTCATTGATGTGGCATGTTGAAGCCTGTCAATCAGATCAACTGTGGTTTTTGTAGTCCACTTGAAGTGTCAAGATAAAGGGGGACCTTGATTGCCTTGTGGCTTACTGTCAAGAGAGCAAGGTAAACTCACTGATCAGTACCTCAGGATTGTGACAGATGATGGCAGTGTATATGTACAAAAAATGTCCTTGTAAACCTGCCCAGCAAACTGAAATGACACTGGGGATGCATTCTGTGTAAAACATTCTTTGACCCTCGGAAGAAAAGTAATGCCAAGTGTACTGACATTATTAAGTTTATAGCTCATCGGATAGGCTTTCATTGTAGAGTCTCAATTGTTGAATCAAGTTGAGTGGTGAGTGCATGGTTCGTAAGCCAAGTATCAAAAGCATTTTTAGTGCACAGTAGTGGGCTGAGCGCTGCTCAAAGTGTGGTGTTTGTAATGTAAACCAAGAAATGATACAGTTTTCACTTATTACAGATTTTTCCGCTGGTTTCTTTTCAGGCAAGGGAGTTTTGTTCAGTGGGAGGTTACTGGTGTGACACAGGACACTGCTGTGGCAATGGAGACTGCTGTACATATTACTATGAACTGTGGTGTAAGTATTTGACAAACTTCAATATTGCGGTCTGTCTGTGACTGTGTTCGTAACTTTCCCTTCGTTCCTCTCCCCCCCAAAAAAATTGTGCCACTCATTAGCCCTATGTCTGTTTTCAAACAACTGTTGTCAGAAAGACAATTCCTCATGACGGCTCAGCGTGTAAATCGTGGAATTCCAAAACACAGACACTCATAATTTCCCATGATTTAAATTTAAGGGTAAAACCTGCATTTCATCTAGTTTGTGGAGCTCGGATAAACTTCTTTGTCATTTCTACTGCTTTGTAGGCAAAGAAGTATCTTTACTTTATACCATTCGTTGCTCTAAATACATCAGGTTTTTTAGTCATGTGTTATGTGTGTTTATATGTGTAACTCTGAATTTTTTTCATGTTCATCATCAGGGATCTGCCGCTGCCGGTCGGGCCCGACCGGCACGCAGAATTGCCGAGCG